CTTTGGCAACACGTAATTGACGAAAAATAAAGTAACATCCCAGTAAGAAATGTACTTATGTATTCTTCCTAGGTTTTTCCGTGATGTCCGCAGATTTCGCTATGAGTTTTGCGTTTAAACAGTTCTGTGGAAGTACCCCAAAGTGTGGGGAAACAAAGCTAAACTTAGGGGAAATTTTTGGGATAAACACCAACGTTTGGGGGACTTCCCAAAAGTCAGGGGGAATTTACCCAGTTCCGGAGAAATTTCGGGGTTTTTCTCCCATTTCCCCAAAGTTTACTATAGCGGCTTCCCCAAAATACGTGAAATGTCCTCCAAAGTTGGGAGCCTGGAAAAGGTTTGAAATCTGGAGTACACAATTTTGGAATGCTTTGAAAAAAGATATCATAAAATGATTCACGGCCCCCAAATGCCCTGGTATGGCCGAGAGTGGGGAGAGTCCGCTCACCCTCTCCAAATGCTCTCACATGGCCACGCGTATATAGCCTCTGCCAGGGAAGTCCTACTCACTGCCTTCTCGTGGCAGGGTGTTGTTTACGAAAATGAGAGGACGAAAAGCGAATGTCCGGCGCTATAACCGGATCCAAAACCAATGGCGCACATGGGCTCCAGTATCCTGAAGGAACAAATGGTGTATGAACCAATCGTTGGTCACCGGCTACCATGGGACTGCATCTCCTTACGATGCTCCACTGTCTTGTGGGTCAGACGTTGAAGTCGAAGGCTCGGGGTGTGGCTCCCAAAGAAAACCACCTACTTCGGTTTGGGCACCCGGGCAGTACCACAGCCCTCACACAAATCAATTGAGATTCGTGTGGCGCATATGTATTTGGTGCCTCCTTGTACCAATACCTATGTGTTTAAATAAATAAAATCATTCATGGGGATTTAAAAAACACTACATTAAGTCATCCCAACCCAGTGCATATTCAAGGTTGTGCAGATAATTAATTGAAGAGTTGCAATGCAGTTCACGAAAATGGGCACAAGTTTGGTCAATGTTTGTCCTGTGGTAGTACATTCTTTCGTGGCTATCTAATACTTCTTGATTCATCTGCGTTATTTCTGGGATTCTCAGTTTGTACTATAACTCAAATACTCCTAAATATCACATACCACAATTACGATACGCGTTTTGACTTATAAGTCAAAGTGGACTATCTTCAATTCCTACTATAGTAGGACTATAGTCCACTTTGTTAATTAGTGATTGACAGTTAAAATTCAGCAGCTCGGTAATCAACAAACGACTAACGTTCATTCTCGTCATTGCACATTGCCAACCACCACGATGTCTCTTATTGTACTTTTTTGTAACTTGTGCAGCGAAAGGTCGTAAGCTTTCCGTAAACGCGCATTTATAGGTTGGGCAGTTAATAGATATAATGAGGTGTTAAAACAAAAAAGAAAACAGATAACCAATTGAAATATTTAATTGGCAGAAACAGGCAGTATAGATATTCAGGGAGGGCGTCATTATCACCTCCGTTTCCCCTCTTTATCCTTCAATCCCGTCTTCTTACACACTACCAACTAAGTTATTTATCTGTTCTTGAAATAATCACCTCCTCTCAGGAATCGAATCATCACTTCATTGTTTTCACGACCGACCAACGTCCTACCTGCTAATGTGATAGCTATTACTACCAAAATCCGTACCGCCCTGGGAAAAACGCACCCACTCAAACAACAAGATATAAAATTCCGCAAATAATTTTCAAACTGACTAGAATTGGTGTAGTGGATTGGATAGACCAGTACCTATTGGATACAACAATTTATGTGGAACCTTACTGAAACAACGAGAAGCGAGTGCAAAGAAATCAATCGATCTGTAGTGTAGGTAGTTGAACTATCTGTTTCTATTTTCAACCCAAAGACTGTCTTTACCCGAGGTTTGAGTTATTGCTGATTGTTGTCGATTACTGCCGTCATTAAATGTAAGTGCGTTATGTGTATCGGTCTGTATTGTAACTTCCAATTTGGTATTAAAATACCTTTTTTAGCACCTCCACACCACGTCTAATTATTAGTACTAAGCAAGAGGTATAGTCAGAATCGTTTTGGGGATTAATGCTATTTTTACAAGACCCTACTCAGGTATGGTAAAAATGATATCAACCAGCATTTTTTGTTACAATGTTGATAACCGTAGTAGGGCGGTACATTCCTCTAGTCACCTACTTCCAGGGCAGGAAGTAAATCGACCTATATTATTCTTTGTAATTTGTGGTCACGTCAAGATCCTAAGTAATTGACATGACACTTGAGGAACTCCGGTGACCTGATCAGTCTATTATTTTGTGGTTTATACACTTCGATGTACTTTTTGCGTACATTACTAGTTTACCTCCTCTTTTACTTCCCCGATGACATATGATACATTTCATGCCTTATCACACCGTCCGCGAGGTCGGGAGAAAGACAAGGTTCATATAGAACTGTGATCTTCATTTCGAACTAAAAACAAGTGTTACTTATTTCTCCCATCTTTCACCTAAGACCCGTCACGTTACTCTCGGTGCAATAATTTTCTCTCAGGCATCAACTGTTTTGATGGTTGCGAGTAGACTGCAGCTAACAGTAAACTGGTCATTTCTGTGGGAACCAACAGATACGAGGTTTTTACCTCCATGTCGAGCTCATCAAATAAGACTTCTGTTGGTTCCCCATTTCATGGGTTGTTGGTCGTTGTCAACTGACAATGAAGTGTATGTTTGAGTGTCATACCTTTATTCTGTAGACTTCAGTTAAGTACTTCTGAAGTCTATGACCATCAGGATAAGAAACGCAAGTTGAAGTCCGGATTCTCTGGTCACCGTAACTGCAAGCAACCTAAAGTTGGGTAAAAAAAAACCCATCTGTATTGTTACCTATCGTACACATAACCTTCGTCTGAACAACTACACATCATTTCAAGCACCATATGACAGTCATCCTGGTTCATTCTTCAGTACTTTCAATGGTTTTCTTTCTGTGTGTCTTGCGGATTACGGTTTTCGTATCTAGCTCTAATGTTCAAGGACCATTTTAATATCGGTCTCTGTTACGTCAGTTAGGTTCCTGATAGTGGGTTGTTTTTTAGGGTTGCTCTCGATTTAGAATATCCCTTTTATATTTCAGTTCTTCACCCATAGAAGCCAACTAGTTGGTTTGGGGTTGTAACGCAAACTAGCGTGCTAAACAACAAAACTGATAAATAACAAAAAAGAATTCGATACCTGAAAATCAATAAGAGTATTTCCAACAAGATGACTTCAGATATCTATTTGCAGAGATTCCAGCAATCTTTCCAAGCTGATAGTCGAAGGTCAACAGTCAAATACCGAACCATACCATGATCTTTGGTTTAGTCAAACATGACCTTCCTGTCAACAGTCCGGCAACATGCAACAGAAAAATTAACAAAATGTAATTCTTTAACCCTAGTCACATAACAAAAGCTTAGACGAGGAAAACTGTAGAACATAATGTGCGGTTAAAAGATACCTAAATGAAGCTTACGATACACGACAAATAGAGGAAACTAAAGTGACAATTTAACCGTTTGGGAAACTAACTGGTTTAGATATTACTAACTCCGTTTTTTGTCCTAGAGGATCACATTAACGAATGTGTTGCAGAGTTTTATGAAAATCTGTCCGATAACCACCTATTGTTAAGCCACAATTCACTGTTGCGCACCTACATTTTCCTGGGGACCAAGTACAATAAGTCTATGTGGACTTTCATTTTACCTTCTTATCTATAAATGATTCCCGTTTGCCATAGGTGTTCTTTAAATATTGATTTAGGAATAATCTTTGCTTACGTTTTCTGAATCTGGGGACTGAAATTACAAACCGCAAAATGAAAAAAATTCCGCTATTTCAAGTTCTTAAAAGTTTTGAGTTGGGAAATGTCACCAGAAACAGCATACACAGGAGTACGTTTTCAGTCGTATTGACCACATTTAACTTGAATATAAACCCATACAAGCTATTCGTTGTGAAAAAATAACTAATCCGCAAATTATCAGTATTTCGTATCCATAGTAAAAAGATGATAATCAAATATAACACTTCAGACATCTAATACTATTGGACGATAGGTAATAGGGTAGCACTTACGTAAAGTAAGAATGTTTTTCTAAACATCCTTTGAGTATTTTTTGACGAAAGACCGACAAACAATTATTCTATATGTGGAATGCTGGATAAAGTTAACAAATCTGTCAGTGAAATTCCAAATATTTATTATATAAGGTAGAAGACTTGCAACGATTTTTCAACCCCAACCTATTTTGAAGCGTGACGCTGATTAACGCGAAAAACGTGATTAGGTCAGAATACGCTAGAAATTAACACTTATTGATGCGAGATATGCAGGGAAATGCGTGCTTTTTATTTGGGAATTACAAAAAAATAATCATTACGAAAGCCTGGAAACTATGTGATAGGGTTCAACATCGATCATAATGTAACCGATACATCCACTTATTATCATATTTCTTTAATTTTTATACACTACATTTTTGTTTTCTCAGTAATCCTGGTATTATGATTTAAAGTCGTCTGAATTTTTATTCTGTTACAGATTTCCTTAAGGTATTACACTATGTATGTATCTCTGAATCGTAAACCTTGAATATGGGATATCTTGGATAGAGGAACAAACGCTCCAGATTCTACGTTGTTTATGAATGAATGACTGACGAACTAATTGACTGAATCCATTTATAAATATTCGCACTATCCGAGATTCTAAAGCAATAAAAATGTTTACTCATTTTATTCTTTAAGCAAATATTATCATTAGGTCACAGAACAAATGACCAAAATTTTAAAGTACTTGTCATGAAAAATTTTAGAATTGTTATTGGCTGAATAAATTAATTCGAAACAAAAGGGAGAAAAATGAAAAGAACGTCCTTTGAATTCTTTATTTGAAAAAGAGTAGACTGAATTTTGTTTATTCATGTAACTAAATACACAAACAATAAATCCCAATTAACCTCATATTTATTTGCCTTCACTTTCTTGATGAAGTAAGTCTTGACGTGAGCTCAACACTAGCGCCTGTAAAACGAGAATTAAAGTGTAGAACTTTTAGATAAAAAGATTCAATTAAAAAAATCATAAAGCTCACTAATGATTGAACCCCTCTCCGATTTTACACTTTCGAATTTATATAACTGTGTGTTGACAAAGTTTGAGTATCAAACATTAACAATGGTTTTAGTTAGTAATATATTCACACTCAAGGGATTTTAATTACATGACATAATTTTCATTGATGCAAATACATTTTACGGTTATTTATAACCTTTGTATAAACATCTCAATTTAACAGGCACCAAGTGTTCGAAGTCTATTAGTGTATTGAGTTCGTCTGGCGGATGATACTGAATGTAATCTTATATGGTAATATTGAGTAGTTCAAAACATACTGTTCAAAATTTTTAGACAAACAAAATTAGATAAGTTTTTTAACATTTTGATATAAAATGAAGCGTCACTAATATCTAATCAAGTGACACAAGAAAGACAAGTCTGTGGGAGAAAACCAAAGTACCTTATTTGCTTCAATAGTTTTTGTCCAGTCACGAGCACCAATCAATCTCACAGCTTCTAATAAGATTTTTCTAACTTGACCAACACTTTTATTAAACTGTTCCAAAACCATATCAACACAGACCTGGTAAAAATGAAATAATACATCAAAAATGAGTTTGTTGGTATCAATGCCAAGGGTGGACTTGATGGTTTCAAATAAACTGAGCATTCAATGGAAAGTTAATAATATTCGTGTAAACCGAGAAATGATTTATGTCTCATATTCAGTAAGAATAACCTTTAGATGGTTATAGAGGTTTTATGCTCGTCAAAAATTTAGGTCATACATCAGTGAATGTGAATTATTTGAGTGCCGGATACTTTTCTTTCCTATTTCTGCTTAGTGATCCATTGCATAACAGACTATATCCAATGTTACCCTTGGGGAAACATTTTTTACCAGAAGTAATAATTTTATTCCATTTAATGAAATAGACTAGAAATCAGTTCCTAGTTAGTCAACTACCTTTAACAATTATTCAATTTTTAGCTGTTTAAAGTTTCATTAGTGCAATGCAATATGACAATATGTCTGTCATAAAACACCATTTGATTATTCAGACGATCAGTAACATAAAATGAATAAAAGGCGTTGTTATAAAAGATTCAGTTACTAGTCCCACAGTTGTAGTCCAATTCTATGCTTAAATTATTATCCATCAATCAAACAGGAAAAATGAATGACAATGATTCCAATCAAAAAGAAGCCAGCTAATCATGTCATCCAATTTCTGTCAGAAATTCGACTCCACTATTGATTGGTTATCCATCTATTTAGTGAAGAGATTGGTGTTTGGTTGGTTAATCAACAATAAGAATTATAGTGTGCCTCATATACTAAGTAAAGAATTACATACTCGGGTTTGAGTCACACTATTCTGTGGAAGGAATAGTAATACAACCTAACTGACCAGATAGAAGTAAGTAAAGTTGGGTTCGAATCCGAAATCAACTGGTTGAAAAAACTGAGTGCTCTAATTACTAAGTCACAGAAATTCCTAGATTTTTTTCTATCGATTATGAACTAGTATAAATTAAAGTAGCCCGGTATACTAAATAACAACTAATAAAGATTATACCTTAGTTTAGTACTTCCTAGAAATACAATGTTTAAGAATGTATGAATATCCTCAAATTTAAAGACGAATACAATCACAATTTTATTTAAATCCATAACCCTATACTGAGAATATAACAAAATAATTGGACATCCTTATGTGTGTATCTATAAAATACTATACAAAAGTAGCCAGTAAGCATAACTTTCTCACATGTTCCTTATCTGCTTTCCAACAATCAAAATCTGTAACAATTGCTATAGAAGCATAACTTAAACCAGCTTCACGAGCCAATGAAACTTCAGGAACTAATGTCATATTAATCAAATCGAAACCCCATTTTTGAAATAACAATGATTCGCAACGAGTTGAAAAACGTGGACCATTAATAGTAATTACAGAACCTTCAGTATGTACACACGGATGATTGCTAATTGCATCTGAACTACACGTTTTATCACGAATAGTCAGTGATAGACATTTAGCTGCTTTGATTAAAACCTGAAAAAATAAAGTATACAAAGAAGTTGGTGTTGAACTACCAAGTATATTCAAACAAAATCTTCACTACTTCCATTTACAGCCCCATGATTTAATCAACTGCATAATGGAGACTAGATACTGACTGAGCAATTATTATGTATGCTTAGAATTATTACCTACGAGATAAAACGAAGTACAGCCAAACTATGAAAATATGTTTCAATTAGACAGATTGCAAGGGTATGTTTGGAGGAATATCGAAACTGAAGATTAAGAGAAAGATAGAATAAACGCCTCTGCAACATTGTGAACGGGTTGATGAGCGAACTCTAACGGATAGAGTGGACTTACCCCATACCTCAGGCCAAAAGTCAATGATTTTACGGATTAATGACACGTCTTGGGTTGGCCGCCCATAGCTTTGTTCCACATTGTACGTTGATGTAGTACGCTATGTTTAACTTCAGAACTCATTCAGTCTTTCTATGATATGTGAGTAATGTTATGAAAATAACTATGATCAGAAACTAGTTGTCTATGCATGTATTTGATCAATATTTACAGCCTTAATATACAGAGGAAACTGTTGTACAGTACACACGCGCTGTGATTAACAAACGGAAATCTCATCTATACCACAAGTGACTCACTCTGGCAAAGGTCAACTGAGATTTTTGAATCCGTGCTGAGATTTCCTCAAACACTAAACCACAAAGGCTGATGAAATTTCCAAGGTGAGTGGAGTAGTCAATGTACTCTACTACACTCCTTACTATTGTATTAAGCATTGACGCAAACTAGTTCTGAAGCAACACTTGAAATTTCGAAGGATAGAAACACATCACGAACATGCTTATGATGTTGCCCAAGGCAACCAATAGATTTTGAATTGTGTCAGCGTCTTTACCAAATAAGACTATGTCACCTGCCTATTTTAGGTCGATAAGTAGTAGAACAGTAACCCCTGGAAAGTTAAGTGAGGTGCAATTTCTTAAAATCTCCAGTCACTAGTAGAAAAAATTCTACAGGAAACTTTATGGATTTACGCTCTCTGGGTTGGATGGTTTGTTAGAAATTTACCTGAAGTTTGTGCTGATGATTTCGTTCAGAATAACGATGAGATTCCCACGATAAAACCATCCAGCTCAGAGAACAAAACTAGATCAAAATCATCCACCTGAGCTACAAATCTTCTCTACCACTCCAGGAAACCTGTATATTACCCAGAAATATGAGAATATCCTGTGACTAACATTGCTGTTGTTTGTTAAGGGTAAATAGAATTCATTATTGTATACTGTTGTTTAGTTTTTATTAACTGCTCTTATTCTCGTACTGCCTATTCATGCTACTTATTAATATTCAGTAAACAGTTGTGTTTTTGGCAATTTCAACGCGCAAGTTTAACGTTTAACATTTCATAATATTTACATATACTTACAACATCTATCGTATTTATCATTATAATCACTTTCTTTCAATTCTTGTAGCAGTTATTCGCAAATTTGCATAGTTGTTTAATCCTTTTTTAAACTCAACAGTTTCCATATTGTTTGCTCTTGGTTCTGTTTTTGGTTGTTGATTAACTGTCATCAGACACAGCTATCAGCTGTCGTTTTCACTATCGTATGTCGTAATTATTCCTTATGTTGTTATTGCAGGAAGCCCTTTTTATTTCAGACTCACAGACGAGCTAAGCACCACAGATACCTCACAAGTTGAGGTTTGTAACTAATTTATGTATAATACTCAAAAGAGAACCGCTTATTAGACAAATCGCTGTTTTGTGAAATTTGATATCGCGCGAATCTCAGTCGTGTGATTAGACGCTTCGATAGATTTAACAACTGTAAAAAAACATTTGAAGGTTTTTTAACATTTCCAATCCAAGCAGAAGAACCGTCAGCACGTGACAGGATCTTATAACATAAACATTCAAAAAGCACCACTGAAGACAAACCATACAAGGTTGTACAGTTGAGAAGCTTAGTGCCAAAATATTAAAAACTGTCTTGACCAAACAACTAACATCTCCGAGTGAATTACGTTAACCCTTCACTAAAAACATGAAACGAATCTTTCTAGTTAATTATCCAAGAACTCACCTGACGTGTTTCTTCACAAAATGGGTCTGCCATCGGTATATGTAAGACTCCTTTCAGTGAACCAGGGCCACTTCCATAAAACGTAAGCTCTCGATTCCGAGTATTATCGTAAAACTGGTTAGGAATAACAAAATCACCAGGTTTTTTGTCTTTCTGAAGACTACCACAAGCGTTAGTGGCCAATATATGAGTACACCCAAGTTCTTTTAACGCCCAAATGTTGGCCCGATAATTGATTTCGCTTGGCGGAAGTAAATGTTCCTTCCCATGCCTGCAAGACAAAAGTGATCAAGTCATTCACAATCCATGTTAGTGTTATCGAACAGAGTAGTCCTTAGCCTTCATCACGCTCAGAAGTACTTATACACTATGAACTAACATTCATTTCAATAACATGTAAGTTTAGGTGAAAATATTTTCAAAGGTTTGTGTACAGTTCCAAGGATCCAGTATAGATAATTGTTTCATTAAGCTTCAAAATACCTTTGTAATTATAAAGGAATGGCCGCAATGACTTATACATCCAGCGTTTGAAGATGCTGATGTAATTTTCTGTACAAACATTTCTCGAAATTAGACTATTTGGGTAGCTTTCCAAAACTTTTTGGTATGGGATTGTGGATATTTCGTTTTTAATAAATCGAAAATAGTATGCCATAAAAAGGACTTATTCAAAAATCAATTTGAGTGGTGAGTATCTAGCAAATATTGGAAATAGATTCACTTGCTGCAAGACCATGAATTATGTCGGACTGACAATATTCAGTTGACGCTCGATGGTCAGGTATACGGACAGTTCGTTAAAAGGTAGATCCAATAACTGGTTAGGTCAGCATACTTTTTACATACTGAATTCAGTACAAATGTTAGCAGCTCCCTAGTTGGACACTAATCAATGTCATTAAGTATTCACATGGTTAACCTTACTAACACCAATCTTCCTGAAAAATTTAAACCTTTATAGTCAGTCAGTGAAGTTAAGTCATTTACAACTAAATGTGCACGAATATCAATTTATAACATTTCGTTAAACAATCAAAATAGTGAAAGCACTTGGACCTAACAGTTTTACAGATTCAAAAAGAATTATATTATTTTTTCTAATTGAAACGAAAATATTTACCACTTAAGTTACACAACTAATGCTTAACTAATGTTCGGATGCGATTTTTATTCGGGTAAAGTGCTTCTACAAGACAGACAAGAGCTTCTGTGAATAATTGTCACATATGTGAGAAACGATATGAAGAAAAATCAGTTTCATATAGCAACAGGTAAAATTACTTATAGTAAATTAAGCCACCTTTGGTGCTATTAAGCGATCAGCGTTGCAGCAAAACGTTGTATTGTGAGTAGTTCTAATTAACCTTTGTTAAACCTGGTATTTTCGAGCTGAACATGATAGAAGAATGGACTAACTTACAGTATACAACCGAACCAATAAAAAACGGGGTAAATTGTGGAAAAAGTTATCAAAATAGGATTAGGGATTTGTGTTATGAACCACAATTGAGTGTTAGGGTTGATGTTTTCATCACAAACTGACGTAAACTACAATGCATAAATCCTAAAAGCATATCCTGATCCAATTCGTCGCATGACAAGTCATTCATTAATCTTCAACATCCCTTAAATGACTGAAACGATTAGCACCTCAAGGTCGTTCAACAATATACTACAGGTTTACCGAATACTGCTTGCACTGACCGCTGTTGTACTCACAGGATTGTTCACATTAGACAAAAATATCGTATAATTAGTGTAAAGGTTCGGTGACTTCTTTTTGGACAAAATCAAGATCTGATAAATTCCCATATTGTGAATTAAAACAATATGTATAAGCGAACAATATTGTTTTCGATTACATCAACATCAGGCATTAATCTAATATACAGTAATATTTATATTCATATAATAAATTTTGAAACTAATCAAGGCAGTTAGTTGATGTGACAGTGATAACAGTCGAATAGACTACATAAAGAGACATAAGTGAAAAATACGAATTGATAGTGTGATGACAGGTGTACTAGTTGTGATAGGAATAACAAAGAATCGATGCTTCATAATGAGAAATACGCGCCCCCAAATGCCCTGGTATGGCCGAGAGTGGGGTGGGTTCGCCCTTCCTCTCGAAATACTCTCACATGGACACGCGTATATAGCCTCTGCCAGGGAAGTCCTACTCACTGCCTTCTCGTGGCGAGGGTGTTGTTCACGAAAATGAGAGGACGAAAAGCGAATGTCCGGCGCTATAACCGGATCCAAAACCAATGGTGTACATGGGCTCCAGTATCCTGAAGGAACAAATGGCGTATGAACCGATTTCTTGGTCACCGGCTTCCATGGGACTGCATCTCCTCACGATGCTCCACTGCCTTGTGGACTAGACCTTTAGGTCGAAGGCTCGGGGTGTGGCCCCTAAGAAAACCACCTGCTTCGGTCTGGGCACCCGGGCAGTATCACAGCCCACACACAAATATAATGAAAATGATTATCTTCTCTGAAAACTCTGTTCACGCTGCGATTTATCGTCAAACAATTAACATTATTATTATTATTTACCACGTCATTTATTCACTCTCTTTTATTTCCACTCTATCTATCCTTATTTTTCGACTTATACAGCAGCTCGCCTATTGTGGACATTCGGCTCTATCTAAACGTTCTCGAGTCACTGCCTGGTTGAAAATTGTATGTTATCATCGAATAAGAGTACTGAAGCAGTCTTTCTGAAACCACGTGCACCATTCAAACTGGCTGCCTTCAACGTTCACACACTTATGCAGGTCGGACAACAGATAGGGCTGGCTATGTCTTCGGAAAGTCTTAATATCGACGTTTGTTGTCTATCCGAGACCCGTATTCAAGACTCTGCTGAAGATATTGTAGTACTAGCCGGAGACTTGAATGCTCAGGTCGGGCGTCTAGGCACAGAAGAGAGTCGTTTAGGTGGCCGATGGGGACTTGTTGGTCGCAGGACAGATAACGGGGACCGTATACTGAAAATGTGCACAGACCACAACCTGTTTCTGGCTAGCACTAACTTTTGGCACAGTCATCGCCGATGTGCCACCTGGCGTCCCCCTTCTGCATCTCAAGCCTAGACTCAGATTGATCACATCGCGATCAACTACCGCTGGCGTGGTTGTTTACAAGACTGCCGCTCCTTTTGGAGTACATATCTGGAATCTGATCATGCTCTGGTCTGCGCCAATCTTACCTTACTTTTCAGTGGACAACGAAGTGACCGCCACCAAAGGATTGATGTTAGCAAGCTGGCTGCAACTTCTGTTGCTAGTAAGTAACGAATCTAGCAAGCTTCTAAGCTAGCTACCATTCCACCGAAAAGTATAGATGAGCATTGGTTGCAATTGCATGACGCCATGACAATGGCGGGTACAGTCTGTTGTGGGTTCGCGAAACGTCCCGCTTACAAGCACTGGGTTTCTTCTGGTTCCTTACAACTCATGGAAGCCCGTCGGTCTACTCCGGGTGACCGTGAGTTTGACCACAAACGAAGGATATTACGTACTGAAATTGGACAAAGCTTGCGTAAGGAACGAGAAGCCTGGTGGTCGGAGCGTGCTAATGAGCTGGAAGCAGCAGCTACATCTGGTAATTGCCGAAAGCTTTTCCAACTCATCCGAGCCACTGGCAGCAAGAAGTCTGGTGTGAGCGAAACGATCTGCAAGGATGACGGAACGCCAATCACTAACATCCATCGACGTCTTGGACGATGGGCATAATTTTTCGAAGGGCAGTTCAACTGGCCTGCTGCTCCAGCAACATGGGTCAGACTGTCCTGCCCTCCATGGCCGGTGACGACTGATCCACCAAATGGAGCGGAAGTCCGCAAGGAACTCCAACTCTTGAAACGTTACAAATCACCAGGCACTGATGACTTACCTCCGGCTCTTTTTAAAGATGGTGGTGACTTTCTGACTAAGGGACTGACAACGTTGTTTGCAAAGGTCTCGGAACTAGGGAGTGTACCAACGTCATGGAATGAGTCGATAGTTGTCCCTATCTTTGCACCTTCGAATTGCAAAGTACTTCTACAAGACTGGCAGGATTCTAATCCTGTACTCACTCTGGAAGGTGAGCAGATTGAAGTAGTCGAGAAGTTCGTGTATCTAGGTAGCTGCATAAGTGCTGGTGGTAGTGTGAGTGATGAGATCAATGCACGTATAGTGAAAGCCAGAGCGGTTTATGACAATCTGGGCCATCTTTGGCGCCTTTGTGATGTTAGTCTGGCTGTAAAAGGTCGGATCTACAATGCGTCGGTGAGAGCAGTTCTGCTCTATGCTTGTGAAACCTGGCCTCTCCGAGTTGAGGATGTTAGACGACTCTCTGTGTCCCATCATCGTTGTCTCCGAAGGATTGCTGGCATCCAGTGGCAACACCATGTCAGTAATGCAGAGGTTCGGCATCGTGTGTTCGGGCACAGAGATGACAATCCAATTAGTGTCACCATCTTGAAACACCGGCTTCGGTGGCTTGGATGTGTCCTACGAATGTCGTCCCAAAGAATTCCACGTCGTGCATTATTTGCCGACTCTGGGACTGGTTGGAAAAAGCGGAGAGGTGGTCAGTATATGACATGGTATCGTGGTATGAACGAAGCTGCAAAGGGCTGGCTTCTGTTGGTCCTTCACGATTCCCTGGCAGGGGTCCGAGAGACGATGTAACACAGTGGCTAGAGACGTTATCACATATGGCTCAGAATAGAAGCCAATGGCGATCCTGCTGTAACCTTCTTTTACTTTCTTCATAAAAAGTGGCTGTATCCTCCTTAAATGTAAGATTTCTTCTGAGCGTACCTTTTCGTCTCCCCCGATTATTGTTCTTTTTTTTATTTTATAATCCCCTACGTTCCTTACTTTTTTTCCCTTCTTAAATTCTCATTGTTTTGTGTGGCGCATATATATTTGGTACCCAATATTTATGTGTTCAAATAAATAATAAATATATATACGCACTGAATTAACATAATCATAGAAGTTAAAGGATTACGTGCCCCCAAATGCCCTGGTATGGCCGAGAGTGGGGAGAGTCCGCTCACCCTCTCCAAATGCTCTCACATGGCCACGCGTATATAGCCTCTGCCAGGGAAGTCCTACTCACTGCCTTCTCGTGGCAGGGTGTTGTTTACGAAAATGAGAGGACGAAAAGCGAATGTCCGGCGCTATAACCGGATCCAAAACCAATGGCGCACATGGGCTCCAGTATCCTGAAGGAACAAATGGTGTATGAACCAATCGTTGGTCACCGGCTTCCATGGGACTGCATCTCCCTACGATGCTCCACTGCCTTGTGGGTCAGACGTTCAGGTCGAAGGTTCGGGGTGTGACCCCCTAAGGAAACCACCTACTTCGGTTTGGGCATCCGGCCAGTATCACAGCCCCCACACAATTCAATTGAGATTCGTGTGGCGCATATGTATTTGGTGCCTCCTTGTACCAATAACTATGTGTTAAAATAAATAATAAATAAAGGATTACGTAATAAGATGATTGGACAATGAAGCGTTTATAAAAAAAATAGGTAGGACGGGGTAGAGACAAATAAACGAACAGAGAGCATAGAAAATAATAACCCAGTTAACAAGTCCCAAATAGGACGAAACATGCGTCCTGGATTCCACTGCTAGCCATCATCCATCTTTGCTTATAACGCTTGTGAACTAAGGCAATATCGAGGCAATCCGCAAATGATGTACATATGCCAATAAGAGACTGATCAAGTGCAGACCTAAACATAAATAGGAAGATTCAAACAAACAAAATGAATTCAAAACTTTTTATTTACTAGTACGCCTGTCATCGCATTATTAATTTGTGCTTTTCAATGATGATGTTTATTTATGTAATCTGTTCGACTGTTATCACTGACACATCAACTAACTGTCTTGATTGGTTTAATAATTTGGTATATGTATATAAATATTACTGTATATTAGAATAATGCTTGACGAGAATGTAATCGGAAACAATATTGTTCGCTCGTATATGTTGTTCCAAAGTCAAAGTTATTACTTAACAGGTAATATTTCAAAACACCACTCTTGATGACTTTGATGAAACTCTACACATGATGACTCGACAATTTTCATAAAAACGACTATCTAGCTGCCACTAGGACTGATTGGGAAAAGAGGTGGTCAGTAATTAATTTTATGTTTTCTATAAACTGTAAGGTGTACTTCGATAGCAGTGTAGATTACACAGCACCCTTTGTTATTTCTATTTTTCATTCTTCACCCCACATTTCCACATTAAAATGCTGCGACTTTGTTTTGTGTGGCATATTTCTTGACTATTAATAATGCCGAGCATTTTTAGTGATAAGTAAACATTATAGATAAATATTTACATGATTTCTAACATTAGTTTTTCCGACTTAAAGTTGGTCACTTAGGTATCCGGTTATTACTTTGATTTAAGACTCAGGCAAGCGTAAAACTGGCAACAATAATATTACACGAATGAAGGATAGTAGGAAATGTAGGTATGTATAAATCGGCTAAAGATGTCCTATGACTAGATAAGGCCAACATCTGATCACTTTGAAAAATAGCCTAGATAGCTTTGAAGAGTGGATAATCGATTATGACAATAAGTTATTTTGGTGTTTGTACGCGATCGTAATTGATTTGTACATGGCTAAATGTTTTATTCTAGTTCTAATACAATTAACGCATGTACATTTATAGTCTTCTCATCCTTATTCCCTGGTTCAATGACAGCTACTAGAGTACGTTTAGGACAGATCTGGGATGAATTCATTACAATCGCTTATTCTAGTCAAATAAATAAATGTGTCACAAACAAATCACTTTTGTGAAAGATGATTACCTGGGAAGCACAACACACGGGACACCTTCAACAAAACCTTCAGTAAGAACACTTGATGGATTTCCGAATGGAGTAGTTACTGTTCGCACTTTTGCTTCTTGTAATAAATCTGGATCGTTGAATCCAGAACCTCCAATAATTCCAACCTGATATGTAAACATGAGTAAGAATAACTGCATTTTAGATAGGGTACGTCTGAAGTTTTATTAAACACATTTGAAAATAAATTAACAAAGCTGTAGATCACGTTAAATTACAAAACTACAAATGGTGATCTGTTAAAGCCAAATATTTGTTATCGCCACAAACCATGAGCTTTTAAAGTATGTAAACACAAATTTTTTTTAATAAAAGCGTAAAAATATATCAGTTTGGTAACTCATTTAAATGAGACAGTTTACCCAATAATCACCGTCTTTTGAACTTACCAAAGACCTGGTAAATAATATAAATAAAAAATCCACAGAAAACGGTGAATATCAGTTCGACAACCGATCGATTTCCCAACCTTTCAAAGAATATAATACTATTTTTTGCTAAGATATAAATATGCCATTCTCAATACGGTTTACCCCGACCGTAGCTGCTACCTTGACGTAGTGTTCGGGCTTGCCTATCCTGATGACCCGACCGAGCTATATTGGCTGGAACACATGTTCCTGCAGGTTCTACCATGCCAGGCAGGTCGACTGGAGAACGGTAAGACTAAAGGCAGTAACTCGAGGTCTGAGGGCGAAGTCGTACTGCTGACTGTACAGAGGTGTGACAGCAGTAAGGTGTTTCCCTCGGACAACCAGCATCTGCAGCGATGCTGCCTTCTCACAAGGAAGGAAGGGGTTAGAAAAGGTTGACCCTAAAAATGTCACACCTCACCTTACCCCACGGATTTCCGTCTCCGGCGGTAAGGCTGTTTGAAGAACGGAGCCAACACATTAAAAACCTCCCACAAAAAGGCCGTGCGCGACCGGCCTCAAACAGTTGTCCCTTGGACTCTGCGGTCACGCACTCAGGTCGCTAAGACCAACACTAATCCGATTTCCTTTTCAGGTTCCTCAAGAAATACCCTTCCACAGTGTGGGCAACCGGGAAGTGATATCAGCCCTCATACCCGTAACAGCACACGAGACCAAGTTGGTCACATTCAAATCCTTCCTATACCTCCTAATAACTCTCTTACCTCCACGACTAACCCTTCTTACGTCCCTTTATCACCTCGCCCCGCTAGTGCGAACGATTCGAGTACGCGGAATGTTATTCCTGGTCTCCTGAAACCACGCTGTAAACTACACCTAGGAGCTTTCAACGTCCGAACACTGTGCCAAATAGGACAACAGGCTTCCTTAGCTAAGACTTTAGAATCTCGCTCCATCGATATGTGCTGCGTTTTCGAAACGCGCACACAGGATTCTAGTAGTGTCATTCATTTGACCACACCATGTCAAAGTAACGAACCAACTCGATTTACGCTTCGTGTATCTAGAAGCCCTGATGCTGCTTCCCGTGGTCTCGCTGGCGTAGGTATAGCATTGAGTCCTAGGGCAGAACTAGCTCGCTTAGACTGGATCCCAGTAGACAGTCGTTTGTGCGCTGTCCGACTAAACGGAACAGTAAGGACTCGAAAAGATAGGGACACTCGTCGTTGTCTCTGCCTACTCTCCCACTGACTGCAGCTCAGATGATGTAAAAGATGAGTTTTACAGAAAGCTCTCTGACTCTTCGAAAAGCTAGGCGTTCAGATGTAGTAATAGTGGATGGTGACTTTAATGCTCAAGTAGGTAAACTAAGCGAAAGGGAAAGACACCTGGGTGGATCTTATGGTGTCGCGGCTCAAAGAACAGATAACGGCGACCGTCTGTTGCAGCTATGCTTAGATAACCGCCTGTTTCTTGCAAACACTAACTTTAAGCATAAGGAAAAACATCTTTTAACATGGCGACCCCCTAAATGGTTCCAATGTTGGACCCAAATAGATCACATCACTATCAGCCACCGATGGAGGGGCTCGATAGAAGACTGTCGCTCACTCTGGAGCACATGCTTAGACTGAGACCATGCTCTAGTGCGAACGTGTTTGTCTGCGTCTTACTGGACGTAGGAAAGCCGCTGCAAGGAAACCCCTTGGGGCCCTACTTAATGATAGTCAAGCTAAGGATATATTTCAGTAACAACTAGAAAAACAGTTAGACAGCCATGTAAGTGATGCCCACCCCGTGGCAGCGTGGAATGACATCCGAAAAGCTGTAGAAACAGCGGTGATGTCTGCAAGTACGGTAAACCATAAGGTTAGGGAGAAACACTGGGTCTCAGCAGCATCTACCGCACTGATAGATGCTCGAAAACTCATTCCATCTGGCTCTGAACATAACGAAGAGCGGAGTCAGCTTAAGCGTAAGCTGACTAGAAGCCTACGCAATGATCGTGAACAGTGGTGGGTAGCGAAAGCAAGAGAGACGGAAAAGGCAGACTTGTTAAGGAAACCGGTATTAGGAACCCAACTGTTAGCGAAACTATCTCCGAAAAAGATGGACATATTATTCATTCTCAATCCAGGAGATTGGATCGATGGGCAGAATGCTTTAGGGATCAGTTCATCTGGCCTTCAGCCACACTTCGGTTTCCCACGATCTCCAATCTACCTGAATGGCAAATTAATGTAAGTCCTCTGACTCTTTGGGAAGTTGAAAAAGCTATCGGAAATCTGAAGCGAGGGAAAGCAGCAGGCCCTGACAGGTTTACCCCTGGGATTTTTAAGGATGGCGGTCCAGTATTAGCAGCGAGATTGACTGAGGTCTTAGGTAGAATCTGGGAACTGGACGTAATCCCATCTGACTGGTCTCAATCACTGATTGTGCCAGTTTATAAGAAAGGACAAAAGTCCTCCTGTGACAATCACAGAGGAATTAGTTTGACTAATATAGTGTCTAAAATATTAGCTTCAATAATACTTCGACGTCTAACCAAAGCTCGTGAAGAGCAGACTAGAGAAAACCAGTCTGGTTTTCGACCTGGAAGTGGTTGTATTGATCAAATATTCACATTACGTCAGGTTCTAGAACATAGACACACATTCAGACGCCCCACACTCGTAGTATTTCTCAACCTCAAGGCGGCATTTAACTCTGTTGATCGTGAGGTTCTATGGCAGTGTTTGTCACTGAAAGCAGTACCAAAGAAGTACATCAACCTTATAAAGGCTTTCTACTTGAACACAACTGGTCGAGTGAGAGCATATGGTGAACTGTCATCAGAATTGATTACCTCAAGTGGTGTTCGTCAGGGCTGTCCACTCCATTCTTGTTTAACTTTGTCGTTGACGTCATTTTAGAGATGACACTTTCCTCATCTAAATTTCCAGGAGTTGAACTTCTACCGGGAGATTCACTTGTTGACTTACAATATGCCGATGACATAGTTCTATTTAGTGAAGACGCTGATAAAATGCAGTCTGCTGACCACTCTAAGCAACAATGCAAGCATGTTCGGCATGCAATTCTCTCCCTCGAAATGCAAAATGTTGCTTCAGGATTGGGTTGCGTCGACACCCGAACTAGTTATAGGGAGTGAAGTAGTTGAGCGTGTCGACCGCTTCACTTATCTTGGAAGTCTCATCAGCCCTTGTGGTTTGGTGTGTGACGAAATCTCAGCACGGATACAGAAGGCTCGACTAGCTTTTGCCAACTTGCATCGTTTGTGGCGTAGGCGAGATTTCCGTCTATCAACCAAAGGACGTGTTTACTGCGCAGCAGTTCGTTCCGTCCTACTTTATGGCAGTGAAACATGGCCAGTAAGAGTAGAGGATATTCGTAGGTTACTAGTATTTGACCATAGTAACTTCGAAATATTGCTCGTATATCCTGGGACCACCGAGTAAGTAACTCAGTTGTTATGAAACGGGTACTAGATAAGGATGGCAAATCAATTGAAGTAGTGAAACTTCATCAGTTGAGATGGCTGGGACACGTGTTATGTATGCCCGACCACCGACTGCCACGACGTGCGATGTTTTATGGTGTAGGAGTAGGTTGGAAGAAACTTAGGGGCGAACAGACCAAAACATGGCACAAATCCATGAAGTCACTGACAAGTGGACTGAGCCATGTTGGTAGGTGTAGACTACCTGGTTGGGGACCGCGAGATGATAGCAACCGATGGTTAGAGACCTTGAATGACATGGCTCAAAATCGTTTGCAATGGCGCAGGTGCATCCACTTTTTGTATTCTCTCAAACTCTAATCTTCTGAATTCTTCATGTCCTTTATTTTCTTTCCCAATTTATTCCACTGGACTATACTCCTTTAATAACATCATCAAACCTTAATGTCCCCTATCTCTACTTATACTTTCAGTACCTCTACCACTATGGTATTTGAAACGAAAATTGTATCTCTGTGCTAATGTAGCATGGCAACTCGAACTGATGTACGTACGTACGAAGTTCCACGTTGTTACTGACTGACTGACTGATATGGTTTACCCAATTACTTATTTCGAAATAAAATCTATTAGAAACCAACCCTACATACATTCGTCAAACTTTACACCCGTTCGAATATTTATCTCGAGATTTCGTTGAAACCACTTTCAAGTAAGGACACGAAACGTCTGTAAAAACTAGACAGCTCTTTAGCTGACTGTGACAAGATGTGATTGTATTTAGTTAGTTTTAGATATAAATAGTGTCCAGTAATGTATTCCCACAAACAGGAAAGTGTGGGATTGCAAAAAGTAATACAGTCTAGATGGTGCCCCACGGACTTCTGATGCCAACCTTAAGGTGAAATGAACTCTGCGAAAACTTCATAAAAACGCGTGATCCACATGAGGCAACAGTGACCGGTAAATCGAGTCATAAAATCTAACGGCAAGTAGAACTTTTCATTTGTAGTTTGTGCTAAATTTTACATTTCTAGTGAATGCCTAAGATTTATGATATACAAAACCCAGTAAAACCATGTCTTTTAAGTGTTATTGAGGCTTCGACAGGTTGTTTCAATATGCCACTGTGTAACAAACATAGTGGCCACGCCTCAGTTGCTACATTAATGATTTTTGCAGCATATTTTAGCAACCTTACAACTTAGAAACCAACTGTTTATTCGTATGCTAGGTCTTGAGTCAGTTTTGTGTGAGTCAACAACGATACCCGAATGTATCACACATGATATTTGGCCCACAGACCGCTCCAACTATAGATTCCATAATATCCTTAAATTTTTTGCTTTTCCTCTAAGCCAGTAACACCCAATTTCATTGAAAGAGACTGAAGAACAAAACGTTTTAATAATATGTTTTTCTCTGTTGGTTTTTTGCTTTCGTTAGTCTCCCTATAGTTCAAATTTTCACTCAGTAAGCTGACAGGAATGGGATAAGTGGAACATTATTGCTAAGAAACATGTTTCATGCGTAAAAGTTTTATGGAACTTAGCAGATGAGGTCATGATGGGTTTTGAGACGAAAGATACTTAAATAGACATATCTTTCACAGAAACAGGTGGAATAGTTTGTGGCGCTCATTCCTAACCAGTAATGACAGATAAGCGGATTGGAAATAATCCTTCTAGTACTTAGTAACGGAGAAATTCGGTTGCTTCTTGAAAGCATCAAAAAGCGCTAAGCACCAAATATTCAAAACAAGTATCCAGGTTTAAATAATCTGATCTCTAGTATTTGGACTTCGTAAGGTTTTTTTATAAGTCATCGTTCCGAAACGGAATGGTATGAAAAAATGCACATTTTTCAGGGATATTACATCCAAAGTATAAATATCTACCTTGAATATCTAAACAATATGACCGTGAGTGTAACGTACACGCGAAATTATTATTTCGAAAATTGTATAAGATCGAAATCATTTGTGAACTTTTGACCTAAAAGATAAAAAATTTAGTTTATGTTTGGTTGTTTCGGTTTACATTTTTGACATTATATGTAGAGTGTGGTCCTGTAGCAATTAAGTGTATAGCTAACGGGGGTATAAACACCTTCCCCAAACTCACATATGCGATGCTTTTTAACTTGAAATAAAGAATTTTATCATTGGTTACCAATATTGACACTATATGATAAGTTCAATGAGTGTATGAAAAGCCATATGTATAACAACGCTATCTCCTGAAAATAGAGAAAATTTCATGGTTTTTTGTCGCATTTCTCCGAAATTGTTTACTAGAGATCCATCGGGATTGGGAGATTGGAAAGTCCTAGAAATTAAATAGGACTTCTCTAAAAACATGTCAGTTTTTGAATGTTTACCTCAAATATAGGTTACTGAACTAGACAATACAGGAAAAACGCGTGTATTTCATATTTATTCTGTCTAATTTTAAACCATGTAACTATATAGTACTACGGACGCTGGTATGCACGCTACATATAAATGTCTTCAGTTTCCAAAAGTAACAATAGGTTCAAAAACTTGTCAAGTTTAGAAAGAGGTTCAGAGGTTCTGAAATCGTAATGCATTCAGTAGAGGAAATCATCCATACGGCTACAGAATGGTTGGCCTCTGGAGCCACGATAATGTCTCAAAAACTCTTTCAGCCTTGACTACATAGTTTCAATATTGTTTATGTGCACTTCGATTGTTGAGTACACATAATGCTACTTGTGGATAACGAAACGATGCACAAAACCAAGCCTATGTAGGGGTCTGTACGCTCTCCAAACATCCGTATATATTGTAGTACCTGGCTGCAGCCAGTGTTACTGGTGCTTAGAATTTCCTCTTAAGTGATCGGTCCTAGATAGAAGGAAGCGATAAGACATTATTACCAAGATCATCGCTCAGTGTACGATAAGCGATTATATCACCTCTTAACCTGTGGTAAGACAATGGGAATAGGTTGGAGCGTCGCAGACTTCATAAGATAGGCTACAGAATGAGACCTCGAAAAAGTCAGGCATAATACCACAGACACTTCTTCGTCTTAGTACTTAAATGACTTACGAACAGCCTATAAGACCTCTGAAGCCTTTGGCAAAGTTAAACAGAGAAGGACCTAAGTTTGAACTAAGACGTACGAACTTAACTAAAGAAAAAGAATAATTGCACAGTAAATTATAGGTATCTCTCGTTAAATCCATATGATTAAATCTCATAGTTTTTATGAAAAGCATAAACAGGTCTCCTCATACTCTCAGAAAACCCAACCTCCTTATTTTGCGGTTTTTGTGCTATTTCCTTAAAAGTTCCCATAGAGGCTTCTCCAAAATAGGGAGGTTTGGAAATATTTGTGAAAAACCGACATTGTGGTGCATTTCTTCGAAACGCGAAAAAAATCTGGGGCTTAGCCGAAAAACAGTCATAGATTGCTCCAAAATTTGGAAATTTTTCGAGAAACTGGAAATATTAGGGAAAAACCAAAAAGTTCAACCATTTGGTTAAAGGGCGTTTCAAAATTTTAGCTGATGTCATTTCGAAATGAAAACTTTAAATATAATTTTTAACCCTAACCATAAACTGTAAATCATAACCCTTATTCTTCACACAGGTTTATAACTCATTTAGCTCTAGCAAGTTCGTGGACATTCTCAAGGCCACTTTAACGTCGCTCAAAGATCGACCATAAATTATAGTCTCACCGAAAATCCATTGACTGGCCAACAAATAGCATTACATGAATGGAACATAGCTCACCTTAACGAGCGACATTTAGACTACACGCGTAAATGAAGGACAATTCGGGATACAACTGTATCGAGTTACCCGTAACTGCCATTCATAGACCCGCTAACCGCTAAACAATCAAATAAACGTGACAATAATGAGTTCATATCCACCATCTTTTCAATATCTAATATATTTGTCACGAGCGTGTATAAACTTATAGACTTTTTTCATTCACTTCTTGTTGTTTCGGAACGGTTACAGGTATTCGATATTGTTCAGTTGGTAGTAGTCTGGCCTATTGACTAGAATCATTCTAATTTTTGTAGTATCCATTTGTGAATTTTTATATCTTGCAATTGAGTAAGTGCATTTGCCTTAGGTTTATAGGGTTTCTGGATGTCATCAGCTACCACATAACCAGTCGGCAGATTGATTGGTTGGTTGCAATGTGAAAATAATAAAATGATGATTCGGATGTAATAATAAGACGATTGCCTCAATAATAAATATCTTACTTGATTTGTAATATGTAGGAAGACGGAATCGAGGGAATAATAGAGCAAACAGTAGTGGTAGTGAGGGATATACAAGGCAGTCACCGACATATGGTAATGTATGAGACATGCACCGGACAGCGTACCTGCTTGTTCGCTCTTTGATGTGCAATATTATTATTCCTAGTTTACTCCTTAGTCCTGTAGTGATCTACTTTTATGAAGAGAACACGATCTGTGTAATGGGAACACTTTGTTATAACTTTTGAACCTGTGTGCCCTGTTTATTGTATAACGCAACGATACCACCAACCAGAGAGCAGCGAATTATCAATCAGACCAGTGAAGCATAAAACACGTGCGAGCAGTCTAATTTCCTTATTAGTCCTGCTTTCTTCCTAGCTAGTTAAAGTCCAGAACGCCGATCGTGTCTACCTACCGACCTTACAGTCTAACCAGCATAGGAATTAGGTTACTTTAGAAAATGATTTGGGCTGAACTACGACCTCACACAGAATCACTCAGTTTGTAAACTACCGAGCAGCAGGGGTCTCGCATTAAGCATTCATGACCGGTCAACTAATTAACTGAGAAAGAGGATTGTACTGCAGTCCAAGATAAGTTTTTCTGTTGTTATGGCACTCACAGATTTTAGCACAGTATTTTATAAGGTTTCTCACTTAAGGTCTATACAGAGGCTTTCGAGTTTCAGGATAACAGGTGCTATACCTGAATAAATAGGAAACTTCCTCTGTGGCCGATGACAGAGAGAGGTTAAACATGACCAAAAGTGGTATACCCAACACATCATTTTAGGTCTTCCATCTTCTTTGCTCACCTAAGTCATTGACACTATTGTTGGATGATGTCAAAATCTGGAGAATAACAGGTAGTGAGGTTGATAATTTTGATCTCCAAGTTGACCTAGACGAATTAGTTGGATTGCCTCACAGTTATGGCTTAGAAGATAATTCTATAAAGATTGTGCTAATGCACATTGGACACGGAAATATTTGCCAGTATACCATCAACGGTGCATCGCTTCATTGCGTGCAGAAATGCAAAGACTTATGGGTGACAATAAGTCGCGACTTAAATACAACTGTGTCCAAGCTGCCGATCCATGTCTTACTGAGGATACTGGCACAATCAAGCGTGTTCAGCGTGTGGGAATAAGTTCAATGAAGGGTCTCTCCAAATTCCTTTTGCAATGACCTTGTCCCCTCATAATATCTTATAGCGTGAAGATACATGTCATTGGCATTCCATATCTTTCATAATGTCATGGATGTCAGTGCGTCTTGCATTCTGCTCCTTCCAGAACAATTCATCTCCGGGTCCATAGCAAGAAGGTTCAAAAACCACGATCTCATAAGCTCATAAGCTCAAAGGTTCCTTTTTGTTATCGATTAGTCAGTGATTGAAATGCCTTACCCGAACAATTGGTATAATCAACGTTGATGAACATTTTCAAGAATATGAACCTTAACTAGAAATCAAGCTGCAAGAACTAACGCACGCCCACCAATACATTAATAATAATAATAATAATAATATATTTCTGCATGAGCAGGTACACGCCATTTTTACAGGCATGATCTATAAATTATAACATTTGTTTGAGCATAGCATGCTTCCTAACTTATTAAGTTTATAGTTGTTATAAAGTAGTCTCGTAGAGCGCTTGTTATAAACCATGGCCTTGAGTTGACGCTTACGTCAAGTTTGTTCCAGACGTTAGAAGTTTCATAGCTGTGCCCTCGGAGCAAGATTCTGAAGAAAATAAAAAAGAGAAACAGCAGAGCAACAAGGCACTTGGATATGGACTCCAAACGTTGCATAACATTACGTAGAACAGACAAAAATATAATAAATTAGATTAAATTCATATTATCTCTTGTTAGAGGGAAATAAATTCAGAGGCTCCATTCAAGAGAATGTAGTAATAAAGAACAATGAATTGTGATGTTTAACAAGTTGGATTAAGCTCATATGAAGGAAGGGAAGTTAAGGTTGGTACAGGGAAAGTTGTTTATTAGAAGGGAGTGTGCATATAAAGGGTGAAGTGTTGAAAATATTAATAACTATATCTTTTGTTGTCTGATTTTTTCTTTCTTTTTTTTTTCATCCGATGCCAGCCACACAATCCATGTGTAAAAGTCCGAGTTAGCATGTTATAGGTTGTCTTAGTAGAATAGCTACTCCAGTATAAAATTGGAAACATGAGTCTGAGTGGTGAGCGTAGGAAGATAATCTATATCACAGATTGATTGACTTATGCTCAATCATAGAGAGTCTGATACATACAAAATGAAGATTTGAAGATTTGAGCAGCTTTTGGTAGTAAATAGATCCTCGAAATTAGTAGTTCTGTTAGTTTTCAGCATTAAAGATGAAGTAATAAGTTTTACTGGACACACCCTAGCTGAATGTGCTCGGTCACTCTACCCCACAAGATCACGAATGAGCACGCTGTGCTACGCACCTCTCGCAACAAATAACCAGCATAGTTCAAACGCTTTCCCAACACATCGACTGTACTCTAAATATAACGTTGATCTCCTTCATTCTTAATTTATGTTTTTACTGGGTGGAGAAAGGTGGTTGTATGCCCTCACTCTGCCTGAGGTGTTTGTGTATAAAGCTTTTAGGATGTTAATAAACTTCTCAGGCACACCCTTCTTCAATAGACAATCCCAGAGAACAGTTCTGTCCAACGAATCGAAGGCGGCCCTGATATCAAGAAACACTACGATTGTTGGCCTTTGATAAGTATGGCGGTGTTCTAACACTTGGCGGAGGGTGAAGATATGATCAATACATCCTCGACCAGAACGAAACCCAGCCTGCTCCTCGCGAGTCAATCCTTCTCGGGTTCTGAACAACCTACGAAGTATGACGGAAGCCAATAGCTTGGACGCAATCGGAAGTAGACTTATCCCCCGATAGTTGTTACAGGAACAACGTGAACCCTTATTAAAGATAGGGACAACTATCGACTCATTCCATGACGTTGGTACACTCTCTAGTTCCCAGATCTTTGTAAACAACGTCGTCAGTCCCTTAGTCAGAAAGTCACCACCATCTTTAAAAAGAGCCGGAGGTAAGTCATCTGGGCCCGGTGATTTGTAACGTTTCAAGAGTTGGAGTTCCTTGCGGACTTCCGCCTCATTTGGTGGATCAGTCGTCACCGGCCATGGAGGGCAGGACAGTCTGACCGATGTTGCCGGAGCAGCAGGCCAGTTGAACTGCCCTTCGAAAAATTATGCCCATCGTCCAAGACGTCGATGGATGTTAGTGATTGGCGTTCCGTCATCCTCGAAGATTGTTTCGCTCACACCAAACTTCTTGCTGCCAGTGGCTCGGATGAGTTGGAAAAGCTTTCGGCAATTACCAGATGTAGCTGCTGCTTCCAGCTCATTAGCACGCTCTGACCACCAGGCTTTTCGGTCCTTACGCAAGCTTTGTCCAATTTCAGTACGTAATATCCTTCGTTTGTGGTCAAACTCACGGTCACCCGGAGTAGACCGACGGGCTTCCATGAGTTGTAAGGAACCAGAAGAAACCCAGTGCTTGTAAGCGGGACGTTTCGCGAACCCACAACAGACTGTACCCGCCATTGTCATGGCGTCATGCAATTGCAACCAATGCTCATCTATACTTTTCGGTGGAATGGTAGCTAGCCTAGAAGCTAGCTCGGTTCGGCACTTACTAGCAACAGAAGTTGCAGCCAGCTTGCTAACATCAATCCTTTGGTGGCGGTCACTTCGTTGTCCACTGAAAAGTAAGGTAAGATTGGCGCAGACCAGAGCATGATCAGATTCCAGATAGGTACTCCAAAAGGAGCGGCAGTCTTGTAAACAACCACGCCAGCGGTAGCTGATCGCGATGTGATCAATCTGAGTCCAGGCTTGAGATGCAGAAGGGGGACGCCAGGTGGCACATCGGCGATGACTGTGCCGAAAGTTAGTGCTAGCCAGAAACAGGTTGTGGTCTGTGCACATTTGCAGTATACGGTCCCCGTTATCTGTCCTGCGACCAACAAGTCCCCATCGGCCACCTAAACGACTCTCTTCTGTGCCTAGACGCCCGACCTGAGCATTCAAGTCTCCAGCTAGTACTACAATATCTGTCGAACGCACTTTCTGGAGAAGAACAGTTAGCTGATGGTAGAACTCGTCCTTGATTGCATCCGGGCTGCAATCTGTCGGGGCATAGGCGATGACGAAAAGACATCGTTTCTCACGCCGATTTCTTCTCACTTTGATGGAACTTTCTAATCTAACAGCACATAACCGACTGTTAATGGGGATCCAGTCAACTAGTGCTGCCTCAGCTCTTGCGCTTAGTGCGACACCAACGCCAGCAAGACCAGACGAAGATGCCACAGGGTCCCCGGATAAACGCACATAAAACAAGCTTTTTGAAGTGACAGATGGAGAGCGAACTTGTAGTACTTCACCAGAGTCTTGAATACGGGTCTCGGATAGACAACACACATCAATATTAAGACTTTCCAAAGACATAGCCAGCCCTATCTGTTGTCCGACCTGCATAAGTGTGCGAACGTTGAAGGCAGCCAGTTTGAATGGTGTACGTGGTTTCAGAAAAACTGCTTCAGTACTCATATTCGGTAGTAACATACAATTTTCAACCAGGAAGTGACTCGAGAACGTTTAGATAAAGCTGAATTTTCACCATAGGCGAGCTGCTGTCTGAGTCGAAGCGGATACAAAAAGTAGAAATAGGAGATAGTGAATAAATGACGTAGTAAATAATAATAATAATAACAATAATAATAATAGTAATAATAATAATAATAATAATACCAGTCATTTCAATGTTAGTTGGAGAGAAACGAATACTTTCTATAAGCATATAGTTCATCATAGTTTTAGTGAGTGGGCTGGGATACTGCCCGGGTGCCCAGACCGAAGCAGGTGGTTTTTTTTAGGGGGCCACACCCCGAGCCTTTGACCTAAAGGTCTAGTCCACAAGGCAGTGGAGCATCGTGAGGAGATGCAGTCCCATGGAAGCCGGTGACCAACGATTGGTTCATACGCCATTTGTTCCCGCAGGATACTGGAGCCCATGTGCACCATAGAATTGGGATCCGGTTATAGCGCCGGACGTTCGCTTTTCGTCCTCTCATTTTTGTAAACAACACCCCCGCCACGAGAAGGCAGTGAGTAGGACTTCCCTGGCAGAGGCTGTATACGCGTGGCCGTGTGAGAGTATTTCGAGAGGGAGGGCGAACCCTCCCCGCTCTCGGCCATACCAGGGCATTTGGGGGCTATTCCCTAGTATATACAAGTCACAAATAAAGTGATTAAGTGCGAGGCCCTTTATTAACATATCGACTATGATTATTTTTGTGGCGAAGCTCAGGCCACATTTACGACCGAGACATTGAGACTACTTAACCTCCGATGCTGAGATCTTTACGAATATAATTTACCCAATGTCTTAAGCCTGATAAAAATCTACGACTTCCCCGCTTAATATTTCAGAAACAACTTGCTATGTATTAATGTGGCTAGAATTTGATTTCTTCTTAAAAACCTCTTTTACGAATTATCTGATCAAAAAATACAGGAAACTAATTTGCACAGAAGGATTGATATTACGATAGTATTCACTAGAAGGATGAGCTTGGTACCACACATGTGTCATAATATGGAATGTTCAACTTTATCGTAGATGTGCTTTTAGAGATGACACTTTCCTCATCTAAATTTCCAAGGGTTGAACTTCTACCGGGAGATTCACTTGTTGACTTACAATATGCCGATGACATAGTTCTATTTGGCGAAGACGCTGACAAAATACAGTCTTCTGACCACTCTAAGCAACAATGCAAGCATGTTCGGCATGCAATTCTCTCCCTCGAAATGCAATATGTTACTTCAGGATTGGGTGGCATCGTCACCCGAACCGATGATAGGGAGTAAAGTAGTTGAGCGTGTCGACCGCTTCACTTATCTTGGGAGTCTCATCAGCCCTTGTGGTCTGGTGTGTAACAAAATCTCGACACGGATACAGAAGGCTCGACTAGCTTTCGCCAACTTGCGTCACTTATGGCGTAGGCGAGATGCCTGTCTACCAACCGAAGGACGAGTTCACTGTGCAGCAGTTCGTTCCGTCCTACTTTATTGCAGTGAAATATGGCCGGTAAGAGTAGAGGATATTTGTAGGTCACTGGTATTCGATCATAGGTGTCTTCGAAACATTGCTCGCATATCCTGGGACCACCGAGTAAGTAATACAGTTGTTAGGAAACAGGTACTAGGTAAGGATGGCAAATCAATTGAAGTAGTGAAACTTCATCAGTTGAGATGGCTGGGACACGTGTTATGTATACCCGACCACCGACTGCCACGACGTGCGATGCTTTATGGTGTAGGAGTAGGTTGGAAGAAACTTAGGGGCGAACAGACCAAAACATGGCACAAATCCATGAAGTCATTGACAAGTAGACTGAGTCATGTTGGTAGGTGTAAACTATCTGGTTGGGATCCGCGAGACGATAGCAACCGATGGTTAGAGACCTTGAATAACATGGCTCAAAATCGTTTGCAATGGCGCAGGTGCATCCACTTTTTGTGTTCTCCGAGATTCTAATCCCCTGAATTCTTCATGTCCCCTATTTTTTCTCTTTCCAAATTTATTTCACTTGGTTGTACTCCTTGAATAAATTCTTCAAAGCCTAATGTTTCCGATTACTACTTATACTCTTACTACCTGTACCATTACGGGATTTGAATCTCTGTGTTAGCTAATGTGGTATGGAAACTCGGACTGATGTACGTACGTACGAAGTTCTACGTTGTTAATGACTGATATGGAATGTTTAGAATTCCTAAACTGGTTAACATAGACTTACTCATTTGGACAAGTAAAATCCAGAACTGAAGAAACTCCACTTGAACTTGCCTGAGAACAATTTATATCTAGTTGAAAAAATCAATTATTATCTAACATAAAAATCTCACCTTGAAAATCAAAGTCTGGTTTGTAATAAAATGGTCCTAATAACGATTTGAAATCATCGTCCGTATCCAGCATACTTTCGGCTTTACACAACAATTCCACCCCACATGTGTCTACACACTTTTTCGTAGAGTTTAAAAGACTTTTAGCTCTACTTTTATCTCCTGGAAATTTCAATGAGCTAATAATAATAAGATGCTTACCTTGTTTAGAATAATAATAAGCGACAGCCGCAATCAACTGTGGATTTCGACGTCCATTTATAGAACATAAGCTTAGAAGTACAGGACCACAGTCCGAATTCCTAAGTTTAAATTATAACCAGAATAAATAACTTACTCATATGATGCTAAAACTGCTCTTCTGATAAAAATGGTAAGATATATATCATCTGACCAATTCACCTCTAATGACTAGCATAAAAACGTATACATATTGTTGATATATTAACTTACATCTATAGCACTTTCATATAAATTTAAAAGTATGTTAGTCGCTGTTGACTCTCGATCCAATGATCTAACTTTTCTTTCCATATGATTAAGAAAACTAAGCCAATCATTACAAGATTTTATATTTTTAGGGTCTTTAAAAGAAGGAAATGAAAATCAGCAACTTACAAGCCTTGACAATTGCTATCTGCAAATCCCGCGATACATTTGGAAGTAGCAGACATTTTGAAATTATTTCATGTATTTCCCGACCAGATGCTGCCGCCTTCTTTTTGATTTATCTTTCAGTTTATTAATACCCCGAGGATCTCTATTATTAATGGTAGCCACCAGCGCTCTACGATCCCGCTCATTTTGGTATCGAACCAGCGTCACGTTGATTCTGGTGGGAGAGTAGAGTAGTGGCATTGGGCATTACCACGAGACAATATGGAAAATAGACATTCAATATTTAACGCAGAGAAACACAGAAGAAGGCGGGGATAGTGAATCGAATCAATTGGAGTTGATCGGATGGCATGGCTCAGCCATGCAGGCGTGGTCCCTGCCGAATGTTATCTTATATCTTGTATTAATATTTAATATATTGTCCTATCTCTAGCCTAAGCTTGTTCTCCATCGTGTATGGGTAATTGTTACAATGCAATGAGTTGGTATAAACAATGATGTAACTTCCACGTAAGATCTTATAAATTAGGTAGTTATATCATGATAAATCTACAATTTTAGGATTAGGTCTATTATTTGAGCAGTACTAATATCATAGTAGACCATAACTCTACACATATACTCTTTAGGTTTACTTCATATTTCACACGACTGTCATGAAAGACGAAACATTGTGTCGGTATCCCCAATATAAATAACTATGTTCATCCTGTCGCAGACGGCTGTATAGACATTGGTTGTTTAAGTTCAAGTTCAGTAATAACTAGCCTGACCTGAAAGGCACAATGGGCTAATTAACGGAGGCGACTTTCACATTCTGGCTCTTCAGCTAGACGGAATTTTATCAATAGAAGCAAATAATTATACGGTACCTATATGATAAGGAATTTGATATATAATTGATAGACCCAGATAAAACTTTCCGAGTATTTTTATTGTAAATATGGGTTTGGTAGGTTGCTGAGTTGATCGTAACGTAAAAATCTACCGATGAACGCTTTCCACAGAAACGTATTAACCATTAACCAGCGTTAAGTTTAAACGTTCCAATCTTCGCAATGTGTAGAAAACTTACTTCATCTGACCGACTGAAGGCTGGTAATAGTTTAGTAGTTGAGTGAGTTTCATGACTCAATAGCTAATCAGATACCTCGAGTGTTCTTTGGAACAGTTGATTAAATTTCGGTGTACGAATTATTTCTTGAATTAGTTAGTATGGATAAAATTAATGACATAAACATGGTTGAAATATGAAGAGAAATCAGATCCAGTATGCATAGTTGTTAAATTAAAGTTTGCAATGTCGATCACAAGTGAAACTGAAAATTTTTTATTGGATTGTATTACATACATCGAATCTGCCATTAAAGCGACGCACTAGTGAACAAGAACCATGCTTTATTCTTTTCGTGCTTGGACAACGGTGTGCAAAAACACCAGAGGTCTTAGGAAAAAGCAATACAAATTACATATGGTTCATGAAGAACCAAAAGCAAGATTCACTGAGCTTTTTTAATGAAAAACATGATCAATAATTTTCAAATAACATATACTGGTTGTTCGGAACTGCAATTGACCAGTTTCCTTCGAAGTGTGTGGGTCGTGTGCAGACTTCCTCGATAGAATCATGATCGTGTCCATGTAGCCGTAGAGAGATACAAACACGACATTTGTATTTAGGCTGCATCTTCGTGTTTCAAAGTTGACTTCGATATGCTGGAAGGGTAAAGAACAGCTATCCGTAATTCCAATGCTTAACAAAAGCTAAGAATAAAACAAAAAAGGGAGCTTTTAGTCTACAAGCAGCTACTATTGAGGCCTTTACTATAGTAAATTTTCTGTTGGAATCACGAATTAATGTGTTTTTAAAGTTATGTTTTGGTTGTGTAGTTAGCATATTTTGTCACGACAATTTGGTCAACGCTTAAGGATGTGACATTCTGTGCACTGTTTCTTTCATTTTGATTATTCGCTTCATTGACAAATCCACTGCTCATTATTTGCTCGATCATACACCAATTAAATGTAAAAAAAAATTCAGTGTAAACAAAGTTACTGTATATACGAATATTTATCAAGATTAGAACAAATAGCTTGACAGAAATCGGTAGCCGAGAATAGGGTAATAATCAGAAGTTTGATTATTAACCTTAAGAAGTCCAGACAAATTAGTTGGACGAAAAGTTGAAATTATTTAAATTTCAATCGCTGAGATTATTTCAAACATGACTTTCACATATAATGAAGTTATTGTATTTTGAACGTAATCCACTCGTGTAAAATGTCAATAGGAGTTAATAGTTAATTTCACAGACATGCTGCTGATGCGTTTTTCCCCGCAGGACATGGTAAGTACATGGTTTCCAGGTTCCGTATTGGAGATACTTTTGAAAGTGAGTTCAAATGGGAAGGATTCCTGCTGACAAATTTCGGAACCGCACTCATCTCCATAAGTTTGCGAGAAAAAACCGAGACGATGTCTATTTGTACATAATTTGTCCATAGACACATCTCTCATTTTGTTTTCGGTCTGCGTACTTGTTCTCAAGGATTTGTAGCGTGAAGTCGAATCGCGATTGACTATGAACACCGCTACAAGACTACGTGCCAATTAACCAATAAGATCCCCGTAGGCCAATATCAGAAGACAGATGATGGCTATAGTCGAGATGTATTTGTTGGCGATCTCGTGGTATCGAAAGAATACCGAGATCGTGTCAAAGGAGTACAAGTGTGGTTACTGAGCGTAACCGAATTCGTAGAAGTTCAAAGTCAACGGGAGAGTAAGTGTAGTGGCTGTCATTAGCATAGTTAAACAAATGAGCTCAGTAAAACAGTCACTGGTACAATTGGTTATAATAATAATTGTTTTCATTGAACCAATCGCGTTCTGTTGACAAAAGTAGGTCACTACAGATTATCTTCCGTTCAAAAAGGTGAGAAAAGTGACTTATAAACTGTGTTTTTCCTTGAGTGTTGAAGTGCCAAAATCAGTTCTTTGATGATAACGCCAAGCTATCTTCGTCAAAAACTAAGAGTTGGATTTACTATGGCTGCATCCCCAGTGCAGTTAACCCTGAAGATGAAGACGACTTGTATTGTGTTCCATAAATATATTTTGAGGAGAGTGACCTTTTAAAACACGAGACGCTTATTTCTGATGGATGTTCAACATAACACATGGATAGGATGTAAACCATAATCCACGGTCCATCTACAATACTTCAGCTCGTATTATGCACCGAGATGCCTACCGAAAAGCATCATTGACCCGTCGCTACTAGAAACAAGTCTCGCTTAATGAAGGCTTTTTCTGTCCCTTTCACAACAGATAGAACCATTGTTTAAACGTATCACGACTTCCGCGACCTAAGTTTCAGCGCTAGTTGTGGATTTCAGGGTACCTAGTCTTTGTTTTTGGCTGATAATTATTGTGTTCTTTTTCATTACAATAAATCCAACTTTTCATTTGATTCTTTTATGTTGTGTCATGAAATGCTGGTGTCACTTTACATTCGTTAAATTTGTTGTGGTTGCTGCACTGCTCCACATGCAGCTCCGGATGTTTGGAGTTATTTCGAGTAACTTCATGAAATAAATATAGTTTAGTGGATAAGACCATCTATTTCCACTCCAACGTGTTCATATTCCCGTTCGTTTACTTAGATATGGACATCGTTTTCCACCTGTCTTAAGGATGCTCTTTTAGCTACTAGATACGGAAGCCCGTTAAGCGAAAACTTCTATTCCATCGAAAACCATTTGAACTCCGAGGAAAAATTAGTCGATTTTGTGGAAACTCCCGTGGCGATTTTTGGGGGAATACAACAGAACACTCGAAAATCCCGTTGGCCTTTGGCTTCTATTCAAAATATTCTCGTCGTATGGGGCAGGAAATTTATTACGAATTGAGACGGTAGGTTTGTATTTGTCAGGAAATGTAGGTTAATACGCACACATTATTACAACAGTCTTCTCGAAAACTACCGATACTGATAGAAGTTTTTAACTTATAATAACTTATAATACTATAAATCGCTGTAATTCCACACACTTTCGTGTTAAAACATCTGCGAAACTGTCATTTAAGCAGACAAGAATCAGTTTTTCATCAATAATGTTTGTTATTGACAATCGCCTTGGTGGGCTCCAAACATCTGAAAATGATATCACATTTAGATTTTTTTTTTGAATGTTATTACTTAGGATATTGTTATTCTACGATTATGATAAAATCCCTTGTAAAAGCATAGCTCCAAAACTTGATGGTTAGCGTTCTTTACTTGTGTGTTGTAAGTTATTATTTTGAAGGTTAGTATATATTTACAACCTTATTAACGGGTGTGAGATTGTCGACGAAGTTAACCAATTCATTAATCTTCAGATCTCAACTAAACAAACCCTTATATTGGGCATCTCAGAGTCGTTACTCACCTTATTATACTATATTTTGCTCCGGAATATAGCGATTATTGGTTATTAGCACATTACTCCACATCTGAAAATGATATCACATTTAGATTTTTTTTTTGAATGTTATTACTTAGGATATTGTTATTCTACGATTATGATAAAATCCCTTGTAAAAGCATAGCTCCAAAACTTGATGGTTAGCGTTCTTTACTTGTGTGTTGTAAGTTATTATTTTGAAGGTTAGTATATATTTACAACCTTATTAACGGGTGTGAGATTGTCGACGAAGTTAACCAATTCATTAATCTTCAGATCTCAACTAAACAAACCCTTATATTGGGCATCTCAGAGTCGTTACTCACCTTATTATACTATATTTTGCTCCGGAATATAGCGAATATATTGGTTATTAGCACATTACTCCACTATTACTTTTGGTGAGGACTACTTGTAGATTGAAAATAATCGGTCGTTGATGTTTTCATCGTTTGGTTCTCTTATGATCGACTTCCCAAATAGGTACTACCGAGGTCGGACATTATGTCTTAGGATTAAAGTCCGGTTGGAAAAGTTATGGATAACTAGGCCTAACCTGAATCAATCTAATTTGGGTCGTATATAGTTTTCCAAATTCTCTGACAGGTTAATGACTCGTTTAGAATGACTAGCCCGTATATGAATCAATCTCATTTACTTTCACCCCCAATGTCAAAGGTTTTCCTAAATCCTCAAATATTATTTATTGGTCCTTAAATTCGTTTTTTTCATACATGTTTTCCGATTCATGTTAGTTCGCCTACTTTCGGAACTTTTAAGCGATGGTCCCTTGTTTTCCACTGAAATTTTCGCCTATATCAATTATCTGCTTTTCTTAAGGTCTTTAAATATAGGTTTTCTAAGCGGTACTCAAACGCTTTTTATCGAGGTTGCTTTCTACTGCCTGGGTTGCTAATCCTATGCCCAACCCTTTTTTGCCCGGGCTTATATCTAGTATTAAACCTATGTTTACGGGCGGAAAATTACAGTTTAAACCATTTAAACTCGACCATAGGGGTTTAAGGGTTTTCACTAAAAAAATTACGACACCTCATGGTGAAGGCCGAAATTCTTCGGAAGTCACGAGGCTTATGCCCCTTCTGACAAATAGAGCGATATTTAATGTAGGCACGTGGAATGTCCGGACATCGTGGGAGATCGGGCGGACTAATCGAATAGTTACGGATATGAGGAGATACAAATTGGCGATGCTCGGATTAAGTGAAACCCATTGGACCCAAGCCGGACAGAAAAGGATATATTCGGGAAATGCTGTTGTACTCTGGTCATGAAGAAGAAAATGCTTCTCACACATGAGAAGTTGTACCGATGCTGTCGAAAGAAGCACGAACACGTATAGGTTAGGAATCTCATGAATCCAGGGTCATCGAAACCCGTCAAAACAGAGGGGATCACAGTGGATGTTACCCAATCCGATGCACCTAACCGATCTGCGGTAGTGAAAGTATAGTTAGGGTTGGTCGTTGAACATAGACAAACAGCCACAACATACAGCCTTTAAATATGTGATTTTCCTTTTATCATGGATTTCCACTCGGAACTCACTGTGTATGACCGCTTGTCATTGTATTGAATAAGGTATTCCCTAGTTTTAATCTGGTCCTGTATTTTGACTCGCGAATCCTGGTTTTGGTATGTGTTTATTAACGTATTATTGTAACGTACATATACGAGGAAAAAAGATAATGTAAACTATCCGTTATACCACTAACAATAATAGCAATGAAGACGATAAAAACCAGTTTTATGAGAGGCTGCAGTCGATCGTAGAGAAATGCCCAGGAAAGGGTCTGACCATCCTGATGGGAGATCTAACCTCCAAAGTATGAATAGACAACACAAAGTATGAAGATATCACGGGACGACATGGGCTGGGAGGAAAGAACGAGGATGGCGAGAGATTTGCAAATCTGTGTGCTTTCAAGAAAATTTTTATAGGTAGCACTATATTCCTCCACAAACGCATACACAAAGCTATATGGATCTCACTGTATTACACTACGGAGAACCAAATAGATCATATTTTATCACTAAAAATATCCGGAAGGTCAATGGAGGACGTGAGAACCAAGAGAGGAGAGGACATAGCTTCAGATCACCACTTGGTTGTGGCCAAGATGAAATTAAAGCTAAAGAAGCACTGGACAATCGGAGAAACACTGTTACAAAGGTTTAATACGGCCTTCTTTCGAGATATGGACAAACAACGAATTCAAGCTAGCTCTCAACAACATGTTCCCAGCCTTACAAGATCTACTCAAAAAAGAAACTAATATGGCTACAAAGTATTCTTTTATTAGATGTAATGTCAGTTCGTGATTAAAACACTAAACGTAGTTTTATTCCCTCACTCCTAACCTTAACATCTATCCGTTTCGAATCCAACGATCATTTGGCATTCTGCTTGTAGAATCGCTCAAGTCCGTACATATGCTTTCGTCCCACCATGTGCGTTATGTTTCTGATCTTGGTCTTGCTGTCCGAGTAGTGCCCATGCTCTCTGTGATGTCGTAGCTCCATTCTATCACTTACAACGTCACCGCCAATTTATTTTCCCCTTTGTGATCTCATTTGGAATCTCTCGTACTATTTTCTTATGATATTTTAGACTTTATGTTCTACTGAGTTATCAATTTGATTATCATAGTTTAATTTTGCTAAACTTAACGTTTCCATTATCGTCTCAGACTTGACACAAAAGAGATAACGCTCTTCATTCACAAAAGTTGTTTGTCTTATTCCATACGGTAACTTTTTTCGAATGCAATGTAAAACCATTGTTAAATAATGTAACATTAATACGCCTTTAATACTATCCTCTCAATGTGTTGTAAGCAACTCATATTTAGGTCTTTGCGCATTTGTTGCGCATGCTTAGCCATTATATACTCCAATGTACTGGCGACGCAGAATTATATTGGAAGACTGTTATAGATGACCAAACCGAAGTGCCATCAGTCTGTCGTATCGTTGACTATTTTTTGAGCTATGTCATAAGGTGCAGGCAACTTTGTCCAAGTTCACCTGGTATATCATATACACTAGTATTATATTTTTTTATGATATTAGTCCTTTCGATTTCTTACTCTTCTAATTTAGTTTGACTACTCCAACCTAGTCACACTTCTTGAATGACTGCTCAAGTACTCGATCGATAAAGAAACTTTTATAATATATTTTTTTCCTTTGGGATCACACGTTAAATTTCTTATTACAGGTCTAAATTAAAAATAAACACTTTTTTCACTCCGTTCACTACAGTAACAAATCAATTAGCGTATGATGCTACTTCCAAATGTATCGCGGGATTTGCAGATAGCAATTGTCAAGGCTTGTAAGTTGCTGATTTTCATTTCCTTCTTTTAAAGACCCTAAAAATATAAAATCTTGTAATGATTGGCTTAGTTTTCTTAATCATATGGAAAGAAAAGTTAGATCATTGGATCGAGAGTCAACAGCGACTAACATACTTTTAAATTTATATGAAAGTGCTATAGATGTAAGTTAATATATCAACAATATGTATACGTTTTTATGCTAGTCATTAGAGGTGAATTGGTCAGATGATATATATCTTACCATTTTTATCAGAAGAGCAGTTTTAGCATCATATGAGTAAGTTATTTATTCTGGTTATAATTTAAACTTAGGAATTCGGACTGTGGTCCTGTACTTCTAAGCTTATGTTCTATAAATGGACGTCGAAATCCACAGTTGATTGCGGCTGTCGCTTATTATTATTCTAAACAAGGTAAGCATCTTATTATTATTAGCTCATTGAAATTTCCAGGAGATAAAAGTAGAGCTAAAAGTCTTTTAAACTCTACGAAAAAGTGTGTAGACACATGTGGGGTGGAATTGTTGTGTAAAGCCGAAAGTATGCTGGATACGGACGATGATTTCAAATCGTTATTAGGACCATTTTATTACAAACCAGACTTTGATTTTCAAGGTGAGATTTTTATGTTAGATAATAATTGATTTTTTCAACTAGATATAAATTGTTCTCAGGCAAGTTCAAGTGGAGTTTCTTCAGTTCTGGATTTTACTTGTCCAAATGAGTAAGTCTATGTTAACCAGTTTAGGAATTCTAAACATTCCATATCAGTCATTAACAACGTAGAACTTCGTACGTACGTACATCAGTCCGAGTTTCCATACCACATTAGCTAACACAGAGATTCAAATCCCGTAATGGTACAGGTAGTAAGAGTATAAGTAGTAATCGGAAACATTAGGCTTTGAAGAATTTATTCAAGGAGTACAACCAAGTGAAATAAATTTGGAAAGAGAAAAAATAGGGGACATGAAGAATTCAGGGGATTAGAATCTCGGAGAACACAAAAAGTGGATGCACCTGCGCCATTGCAAACGATTTTGAGCCATGTTATTCAAGGTCTCTAACCATCGGTTGCTATCGTCTCGCGGATCCCAACCAGATAGTTTACACCTACCAACATGACTCAGTCTACTTGTCAATGACTTCATGGATTTGTGCCATGTTTTGGTCTGTTCGCCCCTAAGTTTCTTCCAACCTACTCCTACACCATAAAACATCGCACGTCGTGGCAGTCGGTGGTCGGGTATACATAACACGTGTCCCAGCCATCTCAACTGATGAAGTTTCACTACTTCAATTGATTTGCCATCCTTACCTAGTACCTGTTTCCTAACAACTGTATTACTTACTCGGTGGTCCCAGGATATGCGAGCAATGTTTCGAAGACACCTATGATCGAATACCAGTGACCTACAAATATCCTCTACTCTTACCGGCCATATTTCACTGCAATAAAGTAGGACGGAACGAACTGCTGCACAGTGAACTCGTCCTTCGGTTGGTAGACAGGCATCTCGCCTACGCCATAAGTGACGCAAGTTGGCGAAAGCTAGTCGAGCCTTCTGTATCCGTGTCGAGATTTTGTTACACACCAGACCACAAGGGCTGATGAGACTCCCAAGATAAGTGAAGCGGTCGACACGCTCAACTACTTTACTCCCTATCATCGGTTCGGGTGACGATGCCACCCAATCCTGAAGTAACATATTGCATTTCGAGGGAGGGAATTGCATGCCGAACATGCTTGCATTGTTGCTTAGAGTGGTCAGAAGACTGTATTTTGTCAGCGTCTTCGCCAAATAGAACTATGTCATCGGCATATTGTAAGTCAACAAGTGAATCTCCCGGTAGAAGTTCAACCCTTGGAAATTTAGATGAGGAAAGTGTCATCTCTAAAAGCACATCTACGATAAAGTTGAACATTCCATATTATGACACATGTGTGGTACCAAGCTCATCCTTCTAGTGAATACTATCGTAATATCAATCCTTCTGTGCAAATTAGTTTCCTGTATTTTTTGATCAGATAATTCGTAAAAGAGGTTTTTAAGAAGAAATCAAATTCTAGCCACATTAATACATAGCAAGTTGTTTCTGAAATATTAAGCGGGGAAGTCGTAGATTTTTATCAGGCTTAAGACATTGGGTAAATTATATTCGTAAAGATCTCAGCATCGGAGGTTAAGTAGTCTCAATGTCTCGGTCGTAAATGTGGCCTGAGCTTCGCCACAAAAATAATCATAGTCGATATGTTAATAAAGGGCCTCGCACTTAATCACTTTATTTGTGACTTGTATATACTAGGGAATAGCCCCCAAATGCCCTGGTATGGCCGAGAGCGGGGAGGGTTCGCCCTCCCTCTCGAAATACTCTCACACGGCCACGCGTATACAGCCTCTGCCAGGGAAGTCCTACTCACTGCCTTCTCGTGGCGGGGGTGTTGTTTACGAAAATGAGAGGACGAAAAGCGAACGTCCGGCGCTATAACCGGATCCCAATTCTATGGTGCACATGGGCTCCAGTATCCTGCGGGAACAAATGGCGTATGAACCAATCGTTGGTCACCGGCTTCCATGGGACTGCATCTCCTCACGATGCTCCACTGCCTTGTGGACTAGACCTTTAGGTCAAAGGCTCGGGGTGTGGCCCCCTAAGAAAACCACCTGCTTCGGTCTGGGCACCCGGGCAGTATCCCAGCCCACTCACTAAAACTATGATGAACTATATGCTTATAGAAAGTATTCGTTTCTCTCCAACTAACATTGAAATGACTGGTATTATTATTATTATTATTATTATTATTATTATTATTACTATTATTATTATTGTTATTATTATTATTATTTACTACGTCATTTATTCACTATCTCCTATTTCTACTTTTTGTATCCGCTTCGACTCAGACAGCAGCTCGCCTATGGTGAAAATTCAGCTTTATCTAAACGTTCTCGAGTCACTTCCTGGTTGAAAATTGTATGTTACTACCGAATATGAGTACTGAAGCAGTTTTTCTGAAACCACGTACACCATTCAAACTGGCTGCCTTCAACGTTCGCACACTTATGCAGGTCGGACAACAGATAGGGCTGGCTATGTCTTTGGAAAGTCTTAATATTGATGTGTGTTGTCTATCCGAGACCCGTATTCAAGACTCTGGTGAAGTACTACAAGTTCGCTCTCCATCTGTCACTTCAAAAAGCTTGTTTTATGTGCGTTTATCCGGGGACCCTGTGGCATCTTCGTCTGGTCTTGCTGGCGTTGGTGTCGCACTAAGCGCAAGAGCTGAGGCAGCACTAGTTGACTGGATCCCCATTAACAGTCGGTTATGTGCTGTTAGATTAGAAAGTTCCATCAAAGTGAGAAGAAATCGGCGTGAGAAACGATGTCTTTTCGTCATCGCCTATGCCCCGACAGATTGCAGCCCGGATGCAATCAAGGACGAGTTCTACCATCAGCTAACTGTTCTTCTCCAGAAAGTGCGTTCGACAGATATTGTAGTACTAGCTGGAGACTTGAATGCTCAGGTCGGGCGTCTAGGCACAGAAGAGAGTCGTTTAGGTGGCCGATGGGGACTTGTTGGTCGCAGGACAGATAACGGGGACCGTATACTGCAAATGTGCACAGACCACAACCTGTTTCTGGCTAGCACTAACTTTCGGCACAGTCATCGCCGATGTGCCACCTGGCGTCCCCCTTCTGCATCTCAAGCCTGGACTCAGATTGATCACATCGCGATCAGCTACCGCTGGCGTGGTTGTTTACAAGACTGCCGCTCCTTTTGGAGTACCTATCTGGAATCTGATCATGCTCTGGTCTGCGCCAATCTTACCTTACTTTTCAGTGGACAACGAAGTGACCGCCACCAAAGGATTGATGTTAGCAAGCTGGCTGCAACTTCTGTTGCTAGTAAGTACCGAACCGAGCTAGCTTCTAGGCTAGCTAGCATTTCACCGAAAAGTATAGATGAGCATTGGTTGCAATTGCACGACGCCATGAAAATGGCGGGTCAAGTCTGTTGTGGGTCTGCGAAACGTCCCGCTTACAAGCACTGGGTTTCTTCTGGTTCCTTACAACTGATTGAAGCCCGTCGGTCTGCTCCGGGTGACCGTGAGTTTGACCACAGACGAAGGATGTTACGTAATGAAATCGGGCAAAGCTTGCGTAAGGACCGAGAAGCCTGGTGGTCGGAGCGTGCCAGTGAGTTGGAAGCAGCAGCTACATCTGGTAATTACCGGAAGCTCTTCCAACTCATCCGAGCCACTGGCAGCAAGAAGTTTGGTGTGAGCGAAACAATCTTCGAGGATGACGGAACGCCAATCACTAACATCCATCGACGTCTTGGACGATGGGCATAATTTTTCGAAGGGCAGTTCAACTGGCCTGCTGCTCCGGCAACATCGGTCAGACTGTCCTGCCCTCCATGGCCGGTGACGACTGATCCACCAAATGAGGCGGAAGTCCGCAAGGAACTCCAACTCTTGAAACGTTACAAATCACCGGGCCCAGATGACTTACCTCCGGCTCTTTTTAAAGATGGTGGTGACTTTCTGACTAAGGGACTGACGACGTTGTTTACAAAGATCTGGGAACTAGAGAGTGTACCAACGTCATGGAATGAGTCGATAGTTGTCCCTATCTTTAATAAGGGTTCACGTTGTTCCTGTAACAACTATCGGGGGATAAGTCTACTTCCGATTGTGTCCAAGCTATTGGCTTCCGTCATACTTCGTAGGTTGTTCAGAACCCGAGAAGGATTGACTCGCGAGGAGCAGGCTGGGTTTCGTTCTGGTCGAGGATGTATTGATCATATCTTCACCCTCCGCCAAGTGTTAGAACACCGCCATACTTCTCAAAGGCCAACAATCGTAGTGTTTCTTGATATCAGGGCCGCCTTCGATTCGTTGGACAGAACTGTTCTCTGGGATTGTCTATTGAAGAAGGGTGTGCCTGAGAAGTTTATTAACATCCTAAAAGCTTTATACACAAACACCTCAGGCAGAGTGAGGGCATACAACCACCTTTCTCCACTATTCCATTCGAGCAGTGGGGTTAGGCAGGGTTGCCCAATCTCACCATTCCTCTTCAACTTTGCCATCGATGACATTCTGGAAACAGCTCTGATGGATGTAAGTAATGGTGGTGTGGATCTGTTGCCTGGAGAAAGACTTCTCGACCTTGAGTATGCGGATGATATTGTCTTACTGTGCGAGAATGCCCAAGCTATGCAATCCGCACTTAATCAGTTGGTAATCAGTGTCCGTAGGTATGGTATGTGCTTTCACCTTCGAAGTGCAAAGTACTTCTACAAGACTGGCAGGATTCTAATCCTGTACTCACTCTGGATGGTGAGCAGATTGAAGTAGTCGAGAAGTTCGTGTATCTAGGTAGCTGCATAAGTGCTGGTGGTGGTGTGAGTGATGAGATCAATGCACGTATAGTGAAAGCCAGAGCGGCTTATTCCAATCTGGGACATCTTTGGCGCCTTCGTGATGTTAGTCTGGCTGTAAAAGGTCGGATCTACAACGCGACGGTGAGAGCAGTTTTGCTCTATGCTTGTGAAACCTGGCCTCTCCGAGTTGAGGATGTTAGACGACTCTCTGTGTTCGATCATCGTTGTCTCCGAAGGATTGCTGGCATCCAGTGGCAACACCATGTCAGTAATGCAGAGGTTCGGCATAGAGTGTTCGGTCACAGAGACGATAATGAAATTGGTGTCACCATCTTGAAACACCGACTTCGGTGGCTTGGACATGTTTTACGAATGTCGTCCCAGAGAATTCCACGTCGTGCATTATTTGCCGACTCTGGGACTGGTTGGAAAAAGCGGAGAGGTGGTCAGTATATGACATGGTGTCGTGGTATGAAAGAAAGCTGCAAAGGGCTGGCTTCTGTTGGTCCTTCACGACTCCCTGGTTGGGGTCCGAGAGACGGTGTAACGCAGTGGCTAGAGACGTTATCAGATATGGCTCAGAATAGAAGCCAGTGGCGATCGTGCTGTAACCTTCTTTTACTTTCTTCATAAAAAGTAGTTGTATCTTCCTTAACTGAAAGATCTCTTCTGATTGTACCTTTCCGTTTCCCCCACCATTGTTCTCTCTCTCTTCCTTTTTTTTTATAATTCCCCACGTCTATTACTTTTTTTTCTTCTTTTTTTTCTCTTTTCTCCTTCTCTTCAAATTATCATTGTTTTGGGTGGCGCATATATATTTGGTGCCCCCCTGTACCAATATTTATGTGTTCAAACAAATAATAAATAATAAAACTAGGGAATAATCTAGTACTAACCAACTTATTCGATTTCTGTCAACATAAGTTGTACCACATCAAAGTATTTATCTACTTTAGTATAGTTGCTGTCTATTTTTCTAAAAACGTTGAAGTCATAGAATCTCGTCTTGATACTTTGTGGTGTGTACAACAGTGGCTTATCTGTTTTAACATTTTCTATGAACTAATGATCTGTGTTTGAACTCATCCTCACCTATTTTCATTTAGTTTTTCAGGTAATACCTCTAGTTTAAAGTCGTATACTAGTTTATTCACTTAGTTACTAAGCTGTAGTAATTTGTAAAATCACGTATAAGTGATCAGAATTATATTTTTTGTGATACCTGCCTTTTAAAAGAACTTGACGTCATAAACCAGATCTGTGTCCAAAAAGGAACAGTAATAAGTCTTTCTTTGCCCTGGTAACATTACATCTTTTTTATTGCATTATTCATTATTTCAACTCTTTCAAGTTTTGAATACATCATTGTCATTTTTCTTTAATTCGTAATTTTCATTCGAACTGACTTGTTTTAATCTTTATTACAATTAATATGTTTACGGTTACCTTATTACACAATCGTCTAGTGTTTGTTAACGTTATGGATCCTAATTACTAGTTTGGTGTTCTGATACCTTCCCCTTCACACTTTACTTATTTATCTTAAAAGATTTTTTATGACCTTATAAACTCTATTGGAATTTTCGCTTCACTTTAATAAACATATTCATCTCTAATCACCCTTGTATTTATAAGTATGTCAATATCTATAATAATATAGGTTGTATGCAGCTGATGATAATCTAACAAAATGAAGTGAATTCATATCATTCTGCACCAATCATTGTTTTCGGTCTCTTCAGTATTGTTTAAGCCTTATGTTTTTGGGTAACATGTTTCAGCATGATTAACTGCGGCACAGTGCATTCACTTCCTATCTTCCTCCTCATTTGCAATTCCAGTATTTTCCCATATTTACCTTTCCATTTTCTTTTCAAAGGATATCCCCAATGTTCAATTTTTCTCATTACCATTTCTACCACATCATTTTGATTTCTCTTAGTATTCATCCAGCCATAATAATATAGTATGCCTGGTTCTACGTTGATTATAACTGACTGGTTGATTTAACCCTATATATTAGAAATCACTATAGTTGTTGCAAAGTTCCTGTCAGCCGAATACAACTTCCTATTATATATTTGCAGTTCGTGATTCCTTTCAGTTGAAAACGTGTATAAGGTCATTTTACCAGAGTTGCTAGTTTATATCTCAATTATATCGAGTCAGAAAATTAATCAAGTCCACAAATTCTGAGTCGGTGGTTAGACTTTAGACTGATTGGTTCGTACATGTGCACATTCGATGTTTTTCCGAATGGATACTTAAATACAGGATAATTCATATTTCATTTTAAGAATATCAGTGGAGCAGCATCTAATGGATTTTTTTAGTTTTATAGATTTCTTTTAAGCCTGTAGAAATGTTTTGATCATTGAAATACTTTGCTTCGTAAATTTATTCTAGTCACACAGGAGAACGTTCTCAGTCTGTGATAGATATCAATTTTGAACCGAATGGAAATTCACCAAACTTTCCTAGTCATTGTAATCCAGTTGAATCAGTACAAATAATTGGCCCAGTCAAGGTAGGTTATAAGATGTACTTGACCAAATAAATATAGATTTTATTTTTTTAATGGTTTTTATTTTCAATGTCGATTTTCAATAATTAAATGAATTGAATGATAACTTGAATAACAATGTTCTTGTATGTATATCTAATGAATCAATTAAACTGACACGTTCATTAGTAATAACTATGTAAGAAAGTTGGGTTACCACTAGCTGCGCCATGGCGATTAATAATCATATAAGGTTCATTAAAGAAGGTCCCAAACCTTATTTCCCCTATATTCCAATTAAGGAAGCAATAATTGATTCCCACTATATTTTACTCTGAAATATATCTAATACTAATAGATAGAAATTAGTAAAGACATTATACGTGAAAATTATATTTGAAATAATCTCTGATTGAATTTTAAGTAATCCCAACGTTTCATCCAGCAAACTTGTCTGAACTTCTTCAGGGTGATATCAGCCTATTTTTATCAAACTGTTTGTTCTAATATCGACGAATATTCGTATAAGAAATTAGTAAGTTTAAAAACAACCTATCAATTTTCGACATCGAAGTTATTTCGTTAGATTCTCCCAAAATCATGTCTATTTTGACTAATGTTTTGTTTTACCATGTCTTTGCGTGTGTGAATGATAAATCTGTGGTTTAACGAAACCCCGTGAAACCAGATATCAACTTGTCGTCAGTTTTTATAGAATTTTTTAATGTTCTGTTTCATATTCAGGGTCTGACACTAAAGCAAGGCGAACTTGTATGTTCATGATGAGTAACAAACATCTGGGGCTTATTTTTCAGAAAACGTGTGAAAAATGTTTCCCTTAATTTTTCAGGATTCATATAATTTTTCCCGGTTCCTCAAATCCCCAGGGCTTCCAGAAGAATTGTCAGTTAATTCAGGTAAATTATTCTTTTATTCTTGTACTCCTTTACTTTTTTGGTCATCAGGTTTCAGGTCGGGCCCATAAATCACATTCTGTAAATCAAACAAACTTCACAATTTAGGATTTGACGATCCAGCCAGTGTTTTGTATTTTACACAGCTTAGTTGAGGTTACTCAGCTTCTCGTTTTGGCGTTACATTCTTATGTCGGTCAGCCACTCGTATATAACTTAGGACCTGGCACACTCGTCTGTTCAAGTTACCACATCAGTATAACGTTTTCAACCCAATTACTAGAATAGTCAGAGTGGTAACAGCATGAAAGGTATTAGAAATCACTAGGCATGGACTATATGAATTGGGAATAAAAAAATTCGTGGAAAAAAAGGACGAGAAGTAATATTATACTATACTGATGTTCCTCAATAAAGAAATCAGAGTTATGATAGTGCTTCTTAAATTTTTGGCACGAAATTGAGAGAGCTGTATACAGTAACTTGGACCTTATTATAAACCCATTAAAAATTGTTTATATTTGATCCTTAAAATCTTCGAAATCGCACGAGAGAAAATATGACAATGTGTAAGCCAAATTACAGATTGTACCTGGCTTTACTAGATGGGATTCAGGGCGAAGTCAAGAGTTATTTTGTAAACCATGAGTTACAATAAGTACGCCACCCCCAGTCAGGTGTTCTGTCCAGCAGTCCGTAGCTTCATGATCTGATGTCACGTTTTGGTTTCGTCGCCCTTAGCTTTCTGCCAACCCAATCCTACTTCAGCAAACATCACCTTTTGAAGTTGGACATACTTGGTCCTCCAAAAATCAAAATCGGTGAAGACACTATTTCATTAACCAACCTGCCAGACTGACAAAGAAAGTTTCGACACTTGAATATATATTTTCATCATGCTTTTTTATACTAAACTAAGCAAATATAACGACAATAGGTTCATGTTTCACTACTAAAAAGTAGCTGATCAATTTCTTGCTTGTGAAATCAGATTAGCAAATTTTGTGTAGTTATCGTAACTGTAATCTAAAATATATTTGGCGTTTTCGTCCACTTTTAAAAGTTTTCATTTGGTTTTCCTAGTAATTATTAATAAATTCGGTGGCAGCTGAGGTGTGCTATGGATGTCCACAGGTGCCTTAGTCTGAGCTCACTTCTATAAATCCATCGTCGAATTGATTTTTCTCATATCGATTAAAATAACGTGATACAAGTGTTTCATTTCTTACGTGCCCTAGTCTGCTGTACAAATTTCAGTGAAAGCAGGTTTTTCAAGACCTTAATGAAAATAAATCAAGATGGCACTAATCAATTGGTGTATTTTATTCGTTATATAATACAGTTGATGTACCATTGAAAACTAAGGAGCATTTCATAACCATCTCATCCTAGTATGATACACCTGGACAGTGTACACCCACAATTCCCCCAAAGATGGGACCTAAGACCGTCAGGTCTTGTAGCAAATGATTAACAAATTAAAGCAATCCCCTTAAAACCCCATCAAGTAATCAATTAAATTAGCAATCGATAATGTAGTTTGTGTGACAAACTGTTATGTCCGGGCGAATGGTAACTGCTAGGAATTGCTTAGGAACTGTTATATATATTCTTATTGGATAGTTGTTAAGTCAATGGATCATATATGTGTTCATGCTTCTTTTGTCACAAGCCTTCATTTGACTCATTGGCTACTATTATACGATTTAGTGTTTGTGATTTATTCCCAACCTATTAGTCAAAGTGTTCTATACTCACGGTCACCTTTTGCTTGATTTTATAAAATTTATATTTTTCATTTTATGGCATGATGCGGTCTGTTCTGCCTGTATATAAACCACGTATGTCTGAAACATACAATTCATACGGCGGGGAAGGTGGATATTGAACTCAACGGGCATGTCTAGGCGATAAGCTACTAATATCGAGGACCAATAAAGATTCCAAGTTGACTCAAGTTCGCTAGTGCTTGTTGGCGTGACGTTGGTTTAACACGGACAAATTCATAGAAGTCGATATTCTGATTAATTAACAGAGTCATAAATCATAACACAAACATCGTCTACTCTGTAATACTCAACTTTTAAAATTGATAAAGAGATCAATGACGACAGAAACCTGGAATTAAGATTTATTACCAATGTTCCGAATACATCCACTTTTTATTTGTTCATGAAGAAATTAGATTTTACAGTTATGGTTGTGCCATATGTTCTCGATGATATGTATGCACCGAGGTTTCTAACATTATCCTCCACTGTATGTGTTATTTTGTTGAATTTTTCTGTTGACGAATTCACTCGTATGGTTATTTTTCTTATTTTAAACTAATAGCACTAATCTTCCGTTACATATATATCATTGGTTGATCCATCTTAGCTACACTTAATTTTGGTTACTGTTTCAAATATAATTTCTGCTCTTAATATAGTCCTTTATACCTTGAATGTCACTGTTTATTTTCTTTTATTCATAACCTAATCTTTTCTCTTTCCTTCTCTCTCTCTCTCTCCATACTATCTGTTTCAGTCACAAGTAATCCACATATGGAATCATTACAACAGCCTGAACTATCCACCATTGTTGGTTCGATTAAATTGAATGGAAGTTGCGAAAAGGTATTTCCGTTTAATTCGGTATGTTTTCTTCTTATTTTATGCTTAGTATAATACGGAAAATGTGTGTAGGATGTATAAACTAATAGCATGTTTAACCGTGTATAGTCTTAATTGTTATATACGTTTTGTGATTCGCTATTTTTCTTGATGTAGGCGCAAGTTGGAAGAAAGCTAGGGGGTAACCAAACCAAAATATGGCATCAATCCATGAAATCATTGACTATTGAACTGAGATGTGTTAGTAGGCGGCAGCTAACAGGTTGTTAGCGGGACATAGATTGGATTAAATCATACTCATTGCACGCTTGCGTTGGCGCTGGCTGATTGGCTAATTCTTATCCAATCAGAGCTAGCCGATGCCTGGAGAATACTCTGGAATCTTCTCATGTAAATACTATAAATATACTAACGTTTTTCCTATTGTGCTTCTTTCTTCCATCTAACCTTGTTATTTGGAATACAATCTCTTTCCTGTTCAACCGTGTTCTGATTTGGGGACTTGTCGAGCGAATTGGTGTCCGGGAATACTAAGCAATATGAATAGCTGGGTTATAACCGTAAGAGAGAGAAATATAACACAGGTTACAGTGGCTTTACTCAGAATCACTTGCAATGTCTCTGAGGCATTCCTTCTTAATATTCCCTCAGATATAAAGTTTTAAGATTATTTTATATTTCTTATTCTATGAGCTTATCCTCCATGGACCACTTCGTCCTTGCCTACTGTTTTTTACTACCACTGACTCTGTTACTACTTGTAGGTTTTTGGTACTTGCCTTGATGATCTCATCTCGTTATGTTTATATGATGTGGCAGCTTGAACGGATATGTCTATATGCCAAGTTCTACGTTGCTTATGACTGACTGATTGGCTGTATGTCAATTTAGAAAAATATTATTTATCTTAGCAGATTGGAAATATGTAAACTTAACATTTTACCTCTTTCAAGCACCTTAATTAAACACTTAATCAGACATTTAAAATTACGTATTTTCTAAATTCATAATGTTATAGTTTTATACAGCTTGAAAGTCTGAAAAGCATTGGTGTCCTCGTAGTTTTTCAATGATTTTTTATTGCTTTTTACTTACCTATTTTTCTAAGATACATAGTTTTTCGTATATCATATGCTATGATAGTAAGCTTCACTTCTCTTTGTTACATGATTGACAATTACTTTCCGCATACTTATTCGTATTAGATGTATCACAAACTATATTTTAGAAGTTTTTAGATTACAAAGAAATCTAGGGAATCTGTATCATTATATTTGTACGGGTTTGTAATTTGTTTATGTTGCGGGCTGAAATCCGTTAGTCTTTTTGGCTTATGTTCACGTTGAGCGGATAGCCTCGATATTGACATTTAGTCTCAACACCTCAGTAAAGTTGAGTAGTGGTCAACAGTGGAATTCATGACACACCTTTCGTTATACTTGAGACTCGTTAGCTGGGTGTATCTGTATTTCAGTATCGGTGTTCACACTGAAATTTGAACACATTGCCTTTCGTTTCAAACAGCAATTAATTATGCACTGAACTATTGTGTCCATACAGTCACTTATCAGCCTTAACAAAAACTGTCGTCGCTTCATAATTTTTATTGAGACTGATCTCTGTGAATATATTAAGTGATTTAGTCTAAGTACTGTTGCTCAGTAATCATGCAAGAAACTTGCCGTCATAGGCTCGATCCTTCTTAAGGTCATCGCTATACATTAATGTTACTGTCCAATACTCTCTGGTCTTCAGTTCGTTTTATAGAGTACAAAAATTTCATTTGACCAAATATTTAGGCGATATACTTAGAAGTTGTGTAACCGCAGCTTTTTGAGAACTGTTTTCTGCGTTTCTGCGATACGTTTAAGTAGATAGATCCATTGTAGTTACGTTATTTATGTAATGTTTTTTCCACTTAAACACCTGGTAGCGACTCAACGCTTTTGTCTTTTAATCACCTCAATTTATTATTCAGGATAAGGAATTGATTTCTGTCGGTGTGCAAACTGAGCTGGTCGATCAAAGTGAACAATTTATTATGGTTAATGGTAAAAAGTATCAATTAATTAATGAATTGGGACGGGGAGGTTCATCAGTGGTAAGTAGTTGATCCAACATTTATCTATCTTATTTATATGTACTTTTCTTTCAAATAGCTCAATCACGGAGTTCATGATTGATATCTATTCTGTCATGGTTTGCTGATAGATCTAACACTTCCTCTAGATTAAAGCTTGTATATAAACCAGGTGAGAAGACTTATATTCTATTTAAGTGACATTGAAGTCCAACTTGTCAAAGATCACGCCACGTTCATCTATTCATGATCATAGTGTGTTTGCATGAACGGAGACATAAAATATACATTTCCTTTATACTATTCGTATCCTACTTTTTATTTCCTCCTTATCATCAACGAGAGTAGTCAAGATAGAATATGTCAGGAATTAGTAAGAATCTATATTTTTCAGCATCAACTAACTATACACTGAAGTTAATCAAGGGAGGCACACATTGAAATATTACTCCATTTCTGTTACTAAATATTATATATTATTAGTTCTTAATCAATATCATATTGTGGTGTATACTACTTTTGTTGGCAGATATAAGTAGTATACAGCACCAGTTGGAAGTGGGATGCCTGCAAGCATATGATTGAAATGAAGAGAATAGGGAATAAAACTCAAAGCAATCAAAACAACAACAGAAATGGGGGAACTATAAAGTTTGTAAGAGACAACTGATGGAAGATTTGCAAATGATGTATATAATGTATTGTTTTTATATTTCACGAAGATAGTGTAATCTTGTACTAAACAATAAATTGGTTATCTCCAACCAAGTCTTCGTTTACTACAATATAAGCAAGGATGTAAGAAAAACAGAATTCTTCACTATTATAAATTTGTCAAAGAATAATTATCATCTCTGTTTCATTCACTCCTAGGTGTATTGGGCTATGGACTCCGATTTACATCCATGGGCAGTGAAAAAAGTTGATTTGAAAAATCTTACACAAGAAACAGTTAAGTCATATATAAATGAGATTGAGATGCTTAAAAGTTTGATAAATTCTGAAAGAGTTATCCGACTATATGATTAGTAAGTTATAAATCACTTTCTTATGTCTTAAAAGTAAAACAAGATATTTCAATCAAAAAGTCGAATTTATTAAATTCTTATTTGTAAAGTGCATCTTCTGTGAATATATATATATATATATATATATATATATATATATATATATATATATAATTTATTTTAACACATAGTTATTGGTACAAGGAGGCACCAAATACATATGCGCCACACGAATCTCAATTGAATTGTGTGGGGGCTGTGATACTGGCCGGATGCCCAAACCGAAGTAGGTGGTTTCCTTAGGGGGTCACACCCCGAACCTTCGACCTGAACGTCTGACCCACAAGGCAGTGGAGCATCGTAGGGAGATGCAGTCCCATGGAAGCCGGTGACCAACGATTGGTTCATACACCATTTGTTCCTTCAGGATACTGGAGCCCATGTACACCATTGGTTTTGGATCCGGTTATAGCGCCGGACATTCGCTTTTCGTCCTCTCATTTTCGTAAACAACACCCTGCCACGAGAAGGCAGTGAGTAGGACTTCCCTGGCAGAGGCTATATACGCGTGGCCATGTGAGAGCATTTGGAGAGGGTGAGCGGACTCTCCTCACTCTCGGCCGTACCGGGGCATTTGGGGGCATATATATATATATATATATATATATATATATATATATATATTATGGCGTTTCTTTTATTGGGCCTGTGGTTTACTTATTTATTGGTCAAGGCGTTCAACTTTTAGCTATTAAGTCTTATGCTCCTACAATTAATTTTGTTTACGGTTAACTTTGTCAAGACCTTTAATTAACGTATTTAATAGATAGTGTTATTCGAACAGTCTATATTTGTCCATTTCTTCGTATTATTGTGATCACCATCATGTCTGTGTAAACGTGTATGCTTGATCACATGCGACAGCCTACGCACATATCTCTCCCTAGCTTAAATATCGATCAATGAATCATTCTCTTTCCCATATATATGTGTGCTTGATTCGTTTTGCGTCGATTCGATTTGACTCTGAATCCGCATCTGCATTCACCTGCTCGCGCTCATTCGCCTCGCTGCTCCAGTTGTCTCAGTGTGTTTGTAACTTTGTTGTCTGTGCTATTCAATAATATTATTTGTAGCTGCCACTTCGTATTGCCTTCTGAACTCATACAGCGTTGGGATTTATTTAATAACGGTGATTGATAAACGAAACCTAATGAACTATCTCGTAGCCATGCCCTACAAAATTTTCACTCCGTTTTGGGCAGCTGGGATATATCATTAGCCTTCACAATTAGAGTACACCTTAAACCCAAGTACCTGGTGAATGAATTTATTTATTTTAGTTTACTACTCATTGGCTTGAGAAATTCAAATATTTGATCCATCTTAAGCTCTAGGAACTAAATAGTGGTGCCTCACCTTACTATTAATTTCCGAGCATTAATCGTAAGAGCTATTTGTTCCCTTTTAAAATTAATTTGCTCGTTTTGGACTGTATTTAAGGGATTCAGTCTTTGTTACATTTTGTTTTCTAACTCCCCTTCACTACATACTATTGGAAAAGAGAGAATATGCTCAAACCTATGCGAACTTTCAAGTTAGATTCTCCATGTTTTCTCATCTTTTTAACATGAGCTGATCATACATTTATTGTCTTGATATTTAAAATGCTTACAATTTCTTTTTCAAAAATGCTTAGTCACTGTACATCAGAAAATCTCATACTTGTTATGGAGAAAGGAGATTGTGATTTGAAAAGTGTCATTCTTAGCTTTTGGTCTGGTGGTGCACAAAAATCGTCTCGTTCATCATCAGGTATTATTTCATCTGGGATTGTGTTCTATTGGGATCAAATGTTACGGTGTGTGAAAGCACTTCATGATCGTCGTAAGTTTATTTTTGTTGTTAATATCTTATTGCAATATAGTTTTTTCGGCAGAATGTGTAATGACGAGAAAATGTACCGGATTAGAATTATCGCGGATATGCATAACAATATCTAACTAGATCTAAACAAAATATCGAGAAAAGTCTAGTCCGAACAAATTTATAGTTGATTGACTTTAGTTCACTAGTGTCTAAAGATATAATAAATGAAACCGAATTGAAAGGTAGCTGAAAATGAAATAAAAAGCAACCGTTTGTTATATGTTTATAGAAATACAAGCCAATTCACTAAGTAGTAGCTAACCAAGTTTAAGACTTTTCTCTTACTCTCCGTTTACAACCAATAATTTCATAGATTCACTTCTAAAATCTGTAATTTTCCATACGTGTGAATACCTAAATGTACAATTTTATTTTAAGAGTAATATTTATCCAACTTTGGAAATTAGTAGTTTTATGTTGTGATATCCTTTGATTCACTGTTACACAAAGTCAATAGTAATAAGTTCTTTGGGATGAACAATTCATTGCTTAGTTTCATTTCTATTTAGTTTTTGAAACTGGATAATTTTGTGTAAATTCAAAATAATGATTACTTCTGTTAAGTGTTTTTTATCTTGATTATTTTTTTCGCTACTCATTCTAGGTATTGTTCACTTAGATTTAAAACCACAGAACTTTGTTCTAGTCTATGGACAGTTAAAGCTTATTGATCTGGGGATTAGTCGTCTGTTACCAGATGATTCAACAACTGTAAATCATTGGCTAAAGTTGGGAACATTATCTTTTATGAGTCCAGAACAGTTGGAAGAGGCTGCTGCTGCTACTACTCCTTCATCCTCATCTGGCCTTAATCAGTCGTTTTTCTTGGGTCCTGAAGTTGACCAGGAAAATCGTTTTAAGGTTGTTTTTTGTTGTTTCCAAATAATGCATTTATTTCATGGTGCTTATTTTCATAGAGTTATTTCTATCATCAGAGTTTGCTTTTTTGATATAGATTGCATTCTGCATTTGTGTTCTCTTTTTCACAATTTTTATTTTATGATAAAACCTGTCAAGTAAATATAGAATATTGGAAATTTTACTGCTGAGTTGTCGATCAGCGAAGAGTACAAATATACATGGCTCTTAGCCACATTATTGTGCTACTCGGTTAGTTATAAGCATCTATATATGCATTGCTCCATATTACCATCACATCAACACAGTAAAGTCAAATGCTCAAAATAAGTACCAGTGTAGTAGTTTTTCAAGGGTTAATACAAAAAGAATAAACATATAATGTGGTTTGTGAAGAAAGAATAAATTTGTGGAATAAAACATGTGAGATAAATTTTGATCTCATGATCTGAGATTATTACCAAACGTGAATGGCTCTGCGCTACTTTAAATGATTCTGATCCTTATTATTCACAGTTATGTGAGCTAGTGATACTACCCGTTTGTCCAGACTCAAGTAGATGATGTAGGGTTAGTTATAGAACCTAGTGATCTCCTACTTATTGAACGCCAAGTGTTTTAATTACCAGTCCATCACCCCTCAACTCATTTTTTAGTCGTATTATCACTGTAAAAACAAATTTTTCGTTGGTTAGAACATTATGAAACTGAATTATAAACCAAAAGATTCTAGTATTTCTGAAACGTGGGACATATTATATTTCATATTGTATTAGTGTAAACGAATGGTACCAGTAAATTACATAAGATCGAAATATTTTCAATAATTACCCTGTCCTTATGTTCACCTAAGCTCGTAAAACTCAATCCGCAGGACAGCGTACTTACTTACGCCTGTTACCCCTCATGGAGGTGCATAATCCGCTCGCCAGGATTCTCCATCTAATTCTATTCCGGTTAATCCTTTCCAGTTGCTATTGATCATCTTCGTGTCTGTTTCCAGTTCCTGACGTTGTGTGTTATTTGGCCTTTCTTTTTTTCGTTTCCCTTCAGGATTCCAAGTTAGCGCATGTATTGTTGTGCAGTTTGATGATTTCCTCAACGTGTGTCCTATTCACTTCCAACGTCTTTTCCTAATATCCTTTTCAACCGGAAGTTGGTTTGTTCTCTCACAGTAGGCCGTTGCTGATGGTATCCGACCAACAAACATTGAGTATCTTGCGTAGACAACTGTTTATAAATACTTGTACCTTTTTGATAATGGTTGTGGTAGTTCTCCACGTTTCAGCTCCGTACAGTAGAACTGTCTTGACGTTCGTATTGAAAATTTTGACTTGGATATTGGTTGACAGTTGTTTTGAGTTCCATATGTTCTTCAATTGACGGAATGCGGATTTCAAACACTATTGGGTATTTTTATAATAACGGTTATCAAGGTGATTGATTAACGAAGCCAAGCCACTACATTGTGTCCGTAAATTTAAAGCACACCCGTTCAATGCTCAATACGTGTGCTATTTCAAGTGTTTTCCGTTCATTTAGCGTGTAATTGTTGAATGTAAGAGCATAATTTCCACACACGATCTCATTTCAAGTTTTACCTTTCATTTTATTTGCTATATTTCATCCCTTAATCCGTTCTGTGATATTGTATAACTGTCCCACACTAAGCACTAACTAAACTCCACTAGACATGGCTTCTCACTAGAACTTCGGGTCCTGCGTGCGGGATCGTGGATGGTCACTACTGAGGAGTCCAATACTAGGACTAAATGACAGTCAAATACTTCCAGGTTTTCGATGATAGTATAGCTTAAATCGATCCAACTGTAAAAACACATCAATCTCCACGAACACCCATACTGAAAGTGAATTATACATAAATTAGTAAAACAAAAATTTGTAGAGGAATTCAGAAACTGGAGATCTGAATGTAAGACAAAGGATAAATTTAGCTGGGTCTTTGTGGACAGTTTCATATTATGAATAAAAATAATTTCTCGTGTTTTTAAATATTTAACAGAAGTTTGTTTGTTTTGTTACTATGAAAGGTTGGACGTAAATCGGATATTTGGTCATTAGGTGTAATCCTTTATATGATGGTCTACGGTCAGTTACCGTTTAATCAAGATAAACTTCACTCTCGTCTATCAGCTATTATAAGTCCCAGTGTAAAAATATCTTTACCAGCTATCAAGAATAAATCTATTTATAAAGTAAGCAAATGTTACAATTATTGTATTTCGTTTTGTTATCATTATCTGGTTGAAAAAAAAACAGTATAATTAACAGAAAGTGTCTTTGGTCTATTCTGTGTATAACACTCTTTCGAATATAAATAAATCCCTGTTTAAATAATCATTATCTAAAGTCGTTAGATAATAATTCTTTTAGTAATGGTTTGATTACTACTACTGTAGTGAACAAGAACACCGATGGGGGCAATCGGATGTATTCGATAACAAATTACAGAGCTAGTTAGTAAAATCTAACAACCATATAGTAAATCGTTAATTTGCAAAATATCAATCTATCATATCAAACTGGACTGTTCCTGTTGCAAACATCAATCGATTGTCTGACATTTCATTGTTCATGCGTTTTCATACGAATTCCATTGTGTTCCCGCTCTTCCTTTCTTCATCTTCCCCCATCTTCTGCTGCCAGACGTTACGTTTTTAACTTGCGTCATAAACTACTTATATCAATATAAGTAGCGCGCACCACACTACGACTGGAAAAAAGACGTCTATGTTTTCGAACTGTTTATTTTTATCTTATCATTAATTGTAATGCAACTTGTTCATTTTAATGCTTGTAGTACCCACTTTTCTTGGATTACTATAATAGAATTACCAGAGACATTTTTTAGGTTAGAGTCAATATTTGTTTATAATTGTTTCGCCTGTCCAAGCGTATTTCTAGTTACTTTGACTAATCATTGATCAGTGGACAATATCATACTTGTCCTAGTTCTCAGTACTGTTGGGATTTTATTTACCAAGTTTCAGTGTAACTACTTGTTGGTGCATTATGTTTCCGAGGTCAAATTTATATATATATATATATATATATATATATATATATATATATATATATATATATATATATATATATATAAACATTAGTACAAGGAGGCACCAAACAGATATGTGCCACTAATCATTCGATTCGCTTGAGGGTTGTGATACTGCCCGGGTGCCCAAACCGTAGCAGGTGATTTTCTTAGGGGGCCACACCCTGAGCCTTTGACCTAAAGGTCTTATCCACAAGGCAGTGGAACAACATAAGGAGATGCAGTTATGCTACGAGAAGTCAGTGAGTAGAACTTCCCTGTCAGTGGCTGTATGCACGTGGCCATGTGAGAGCATTTCGAGATGGATAGATGACTCCTCACTCTCTCACCCTCCGCCAAGTGTTAGAACACCGCCATACTTATCAAAGGCCAACAATCGTAGTGTTTCTTGATATCAGGGCCGCCTTCGATTCGTTGGACAGAACTGTTCTCTGGGATTGTCTATTGAAGAAGGGTGTGCCTGAGAAGTTTATTAACATCCTAAAAGCCCTATATACAAACACCTCAGGCAGAGTGAGGGCATACAACCACCTTTCTCCACTATTCCATTCAAGCAGTGGGGTTAGGCAGGGTTGCCCAATCTCACCATTCCTCTTCAACTTTGCCATCGATGACATTCTGGAAACAGCTCTGATGGATGTAAGTATTGGTGGTGTGGATCTGTTGCCTGGAGAAAGACTTCTCGACCTTGAGTATGCGGATGATATTGTCTTACTGTGCGAGAATGCCCAAGCTATGCAATCCGCACTTAATCAGTTGGTAATCAGTGTCCGTAGGTATGGTATGTGCTTTCACCTTCGAAGTGCAAAGTACTTCTACAAGACTGGCAGGATTCTAATCCTGTACTCACTCTGGATGGTGAGCAGATTGAAGTAGTCGAGAAGTTCGTGTGGCTCAGAATAGAAGCCAATGGCGATCCTGCTGTAACTTCTTTTACATTCTTCATAAAATGTGGTTGTATATTCCTTGACTGAAAGAATTCTGCTGACTGTACCTTTTCGTTTCCTCCATTATTATTATTGTTGATATTATTAATATTATTACTATTATTATTATTACACTACCTTACACTAATCTGGTCGTTATTGTTCCTCTTTTACGCTCCTCAGCCTCTTCTTATTTTTCTCTTCTCTTCAAATTCTCATTGTTTTATGTGGCGCATATATATTTGGTGCACTCTTGTGCCAATATTTGTTTAAATAATAATAACAATAGTAATTATAATTATATATATATATATATATATATATATTCAGCTTATGTATTTTTTGTTCGATGTGTCAGTCAACGTTCTATGTGAACATAGCAAAAGGCGAACTATTCAACATGACTATATGGATTTCAATAACGAATAATAATCGGAGCTAAATTTTAATTCATCAGTAAACTGTGAGGGAAGGAAATTGTAAAATCAAATAATAATCACTGATTAGTATTGTTTTTTGATTAGATTGTTTATTGCATGTTACGTCAGTGTTGACGGTTAGATTTGATTAGAGATTTATGCTATGAATAATAAAACTGGTGTAACTATTGTCTAAAATCCCTATCAAAATCAATCACGGAGAGCATTGGGCCAGCGTTTCGTTCTAATTCTAAATAATGCGCGTTCACACATTATCGAACTAATAGCTTGCAAGCTGCTCGGCAAGCACGTTATACCTTTTATCTTATGGTTTTCTATTTCACTGGCTATTCCGCTGACTGCGATTCATGATGAATATTACATTTAAACAGGTACAACTCATTTTTTTAAATTTTTATTATACCCATAATATTCTTTTACCGTTTATTTTCTAATTCGTTGTAGGCATTAGAACGAAGTTTAGTTCGAAATCATTTAGAAAGAGCATCTGTTGATGAATTACTGAGTTATGAATATGTGTCTAGTACATCAGCTGCTGACTTATGGTAGTGTTATATTTTCCTTTTAATTCCTCAATTCTATTATATATATTCAGAAAATAATTAACAAGAGCACCCCAGTTTATATTCATGATTAGGTTGTGATACCAAAAAGTCCTATGAAGACAGTGAATAATAGCTTGATATTATTTCACATTTATATAATTTTGTTGTAATCTTAACTCATCAGTGTCATATATATTCCGTTTTTTTCTTTCAAAATTTTTTTAGATGTCTGAAAAAACAGTCCGTTATTCTTCAGTACTGGGACATATTTTTTTGTATATAAATGTACATATTTCTTATTTGTATTATTTTTTTGCATTTCTAGTTTTGCAACCGATTTATATCATTTAGTAATTTATTTTCCCTTCTTTTGTTCATTCTTTTTGTTTGTCACAATTACTTTCCCGTGTTTACATTGTTGTTTATTTTCTTCATTCAGTTATGTATTTCAGAGTATCTGAAGACTCAATCACAATCAATATATTGTAGTGTATAAGTTTATAATAATACTTATCATCATACGATGGATTGGATATTTATATAATAAATTGTTTTCTTTTTTATGACGACTAGTAAATTATGTTTCACAAACATTTATAACATTTACCTAGTGTGACTTTTTGTCATACGTTTAGCTAGTGATTGTTCAAAAATTTCAGGTCCCTAATCCAATAAAATAACTAGGTCACCCTCCGTACTCGATAGACTTGAATCCCTGTATTTTGGTTTCGTTCACTGTAAAATAATCATGAATAGGATGATTAGATGTGAAACGGCGAAGCAGCCAGAAAGTCTGACTCTTAATGACTTTCGTGAGTGCCCGGAGAAATGATTTAAATGTGTTGTCATAAATGAGGGGTATACTTTGAAGTAAATAAGGTTGGTTTACCCCAATGTACCAAAAAATATTTCTTTGATCTCAGTCGACGTATGTATTGTTTTAGTTGTAAGGGAAGATATGTGTAGTTTGGAATTTGTGTTCTATATCAACTTATAAGTTATCCCAATACATAGCCACATGAACCTTGGCGTTCACCCTCCGTGTGCTTACATTTGTCTATTTGAAAATATTGTTTGACTGGAAACGTATCGTTATGTCAAAGATTCCTACGATGACTGGAACACGTTGTTGTTGGATCAGTATGAAACTGAGGGAGTAGAGTTGTCACGTAGTCCTACATTCACGGCATCGAACTAAAAAATAAAACAATTACGCTGCTATAGATTAGATGATCAGCAGTGTGAAGGAGCGATGGGTGACCTTTTGATACTTTCGTGTATGTGCTGCAATATTCTATACTATTGAGACATTTAGAGACGTCTTTGAATAGAATCGCATACTTCAAGCACATGATTATCTTATTAAAGAAAGCGTTATATAACCTACTTTCGTGGGTGACTAATAGCTTTTAGGAAGACGGGTTATAGCGGACAGCGATTCTGCGAATTAGTTATGTTCACTTGCTACTAGTATATAGTTTTGGCTTGACATTCTGAGTCTGATGAAAATCGGGTACGATTGCGATGGATTTGATAGAAATTTTGCTTTGGCCAGTTAAATGCCTACAAATCGTCTTCATCTAAACGTTTATAGATCAAACTATCGTACAATGCGGTGGCGTTCAGTTTCTCGAAATCAGTCTATGTGTGTTTGATTTTGCCTCGTAATAATGATAATATTTAGAAATCCTTGAGTGGTTGCGGCTGTTTTTAGCTAGGATTAAGTCCAGTCTCTGGAATTGAATAGTCGCTACATTTTTGACGCATTAAAATACTTCAATTAAATTAAATCTTTAAGTGAATGGAAGTATGGTATCTGGACCTTAACGTTTTGAGACGATCGGACTAATAATAAATATAACTTTGTTACATTACTATTGGTAGAAAAACCGTATTTCTGACGTTTCATGGCGTAATGTAAGCCACTTCTTCAGAGTAAATAAACGACCGACATCAAATTAACACAAGTTTACATAGCACAAAGAAAACAATGCAAAATATTTTTAGTACAATCAAAATTATAATAGGTCTGAATATGTCAATGCGAAATTATTCTTGATCATGGCGAATTCGCACGGCCTGTAACTGTGCTAATTTGTGTGTCAGAATGAGAAATGTACGCATTTGTGATATGAAGTGGTGGGTTGAGATTGTGTGTGTATATAGTCGGATGTGGTTGTCTGGAAAAACAATTCACATTGGATGAATCATCCAGGCCTTCATTTCTATTTAGGGTAGAGGGACTTAGCATTATTTGAAACGCTTTAGCTACTCGCCTCTCTTTGTAGTTAGAAAGCCCTTTCTGAATTATTTTGATATTTTTAACATCAATTTGGTGAATATTGAAAACAGCACGTACTGCTATTGCTGGTTTGTGAATTTTCCAATTCTTGAGAATTATTAGGTTTTTTGTGTAACTTAAATGTTCCTTGGTACGAGTCCAGATCACACGGGGAGATTCTCCAACAATGAACGCATCACAATCAACACAGCCTAATCTTTAGATACAATTTTGAGTGGAAGTGAACGGAATCCTATCTTTCCAACTAAAGCGTTTCTTAGTGTTAGTTGTCTTATAGGAAGCTTTAATTTCCTAAGCTTTTAATATTAGCTGCAATTCTTCTGTTGTACCTTGGTGGTAAGGTACTAATACAAGAAATTTTATTAGGTTTTTATTTACCGAAGAACAGTTTTCTTTTAATATGTTTATAGTAATATTTTTAGGAAAATTGTTAGAACTTAGGATGTATACTGTATTCTCTTTTTCTTTCAGCTTGTCTTCTGAGGTTATGTTTTTGGTTGCTCTTCTGAAGAGATGTAGGGCTAGGGAAATTTCGGCACTAAATGCACGTGCAGCGTTAAAATCAACATACCGATTTGGATATGTCGGTTTTCGGTATATAGCTTTCATTAAAATTCCTTTTAACCAAACAGTTTAAGAACGATGGTTCACTATGTTCATCTTGCTTTTCGGCAATGAATTTGATGTGTTTTGAGAAATTACTAAGAAGAGTCTTCTTAATGATGATAAATGTGTCATCTACATATCTGAGCCAGATGAGTGATCTTGATGGTGCTGGCAAAAATGATCGTCACAATGTGGGACATAAATAGATTTTCAACGATCGTGGATACTGGAGATCCTTTGATCAAGAATAATTTCGCATTGACATATTCAGACCTATTATAATTTTTATTGTACTAAAAATATTTTGCATTGTTTTCTTTGTGCTATGTAAACTTGTGTTAATTTGATGTCGGTCGTTTATTTACTCTGAAGAAGTGGCTTACATTACGCCATGAAACGTCAGAAATACGATTTTTCTACTCATTGTAATATGACACAAATATGTTTATTATTAAATCTACACAATACTCAATTTCTTTGAAACTATTAAGTCCAACCTTGGTATGTATACCTACTTTGCAATGTTGTTAATAATTTCAACGATCATAATATTCACATTGCATATTGATAATATCTCGTACAAAATTAGACATTTTGATCAGTCCTATTATTAATAACAACGTAGAATGTTAAAACTTAACTAACATGTCAATCTTTTTACTATTGAAATTAGTCGAGAAACCAGTTGAAGTTTGGAAGCGCTGAGAAGTTATCAACCAGCAAACAGTTATCTTTTTCGTTCGTGTATACGGGTTTCAGCTTGTCACTTATGTAACTACTTAATACACAATTATCTCTCTCTGATATCTCTTTATTCAGTTATTTCTGTGACAAATTATGGTGAATTAACAGAAGAGATAAGTCTGTATTTGATATTGAGAAGTATGTATGTATATTAAACACAAATACTCAAAAGAACAGACATAGACAACAAAGCCAACTTCATAGATGTCAATATATATGAATATATGTAGGCTTTTATACTTAAATTAATAGATAACAAGAGTAGAATTCACAAAGAATAATGCTGTGTATTAATAATGCATCATTTGTAAATCAACTTAGAAAGGATATTAGAATTGTCGTACCATAACACATAATTCACCATTTATTTTATACAATGTAAGGTATATATACGTAGATGAATGAGAGTTAATAGGTTTGCAGTAGATTATGTAGATAAAAGTGCAATTTAATGGTTTACCATAATACATCATGCCTACTGAATATCAGTAGCTTGAAAGCATATTAAAAATAAGCAATAATTTGGTGCATCGTATTTGAACTGCAACCCACCACACTTGGAATTTAGGAATATGAATGAGAATTCTTAGAATTAACAGGAAATTAAATCAGATAATAAGATTAATGCAACAAACAAATGCCTGCAATAAAATTTACACACATTTACCCAAAAATAAGAATATATAAAGATGTACGTTTCTGGTAAGATGAAAGACTTAATTGTAATGTAATGATATCAACAAGAACAACTTTAATGTATGATAAGAATTATCTGAAAAGCGGGGTGAAAACATCTCATATTTATATTTTAACAACGAGGAATCAAGAACGAAAACTAATACATTCGTTTAGATGAAGCTGTATAATTAAATGAAATGTCAGGAAACAAGTTATAGCTAAGCAATTTTAAAAAATAAAGTCAGCAGGAAAATTCGAAAGACTGTTGAAACGCAGGCATTTGTCTACTTTCTACACATTCAAGTGAGTTGATTTTGTTTTCTATTATTTTCTTTCCATAGTTCAGATCCATTTTGTTTATTCCAGTTTATCCCTGTATATATTATTAGTATTGTAATCTTATTAATAAAATGCATAAGATGAATGTCCATACTTTATATGAATTAAAATTTTAATGATTTTCGGATTTAGAGGTAAGAATGGGGAGAAAAAAAATAATCAGTTAATTAATCAAACGATATTAAATACTTATTCTAGTAAAATAATGAAATATTTCTTTTAGACGAACTTGAATAGAAATGATAGACATCTCAGAATGTGATTATCGAATAAATTATTACATACAATTTAGAGATAGACTGATAGATTGAGCGAGTTGGGCATATCACATGTAGGTGCTATAAAGTTATCTTAGTGTTAAAGCGTAAGTGAAAAATCGTAAATGGAACGCGCTGTTAGAGGACATCGATTATATTCTTAGTCAAGATCTCAATTTAAATATATTTGACTGTATTGAGAGGATAAGTGCAAATATAAATATAAATTCTGTTAATAATATCTTATTTCCTTTCACTCATGTCATATTCCTTTCAAAAATTATTGGTTTTGTCTATTTTGTACGTAATAAACTACTTTAGTGTAGGATTTGTTTGATATAAAGTATAAACAGAATTTTTTTTCATATAGCAGTATCTCAGATGAGATTTACAACTACAAAGATAAGACATAATACTGACAACGTGAAAACCATTGTGGTTACTCAATTTCAAATAAAAAACGAGACGTATTACTCTATGGTAAAGTTTCGTAGAAACATTTTAAAGGAATGAATAGTTTAAAGCATTCATCCCACTTAAAATTACGTTCTAATTGAATGATTGTCATTATTGTGGAAATTATTGGTACATACGATTGAATTAATGGAAAATGTCATTATAAAATTATGTTCTGAGTATTTAGAATGAATTTACGACAAACCATTAACACATGTTAAACATATGATTGTGGCTTAAAACAATTGAGATGTTGCAAGCAGTTGGCTAGTATGATTTCTCATATTATAATCACCATATATATATATATATATATATATATATATATATATATATATATATCCAGTATTTCAAGTAGTAATTCAAAAAATTCCTCAATTATATTACATCACCATGGGTGCAGGAAGTATATCAATTCGAAGTATTTATAGGTATGATAAATAAGCTCTAGAATAAAAAATTGACATTGGTAAAACGTTTGATAGGAATTGTGTAACAACAATAAAAAAAGTGCAGTTTACACAACATTAAAATCTGAAAACTACTACACTTGATATTTAGATTGTGGATTACGTAACTGATCAACAAAGTCAATATGATGACAATGATAATAAAGAAGACAACAATGAATATATAGATGAATAATCGTGTGTGTACGAGGATCATGCAATCTATGCAGCCGAGTATATACAGACATGGATACATAAACGATCAACAAAGGGTGTATATATGGTAACCAAAATACTATTAAATTATATGATCAAAACAGTATGATATCTTTACATACTTTATGATACTAACTGGTCATTTTTATTTCATTATTCTGATCCTGTATTTAATGTGTACACACTAGGATAAACGTATGGATAACTATAAATATACGAAAACACACACATACAATATACACATGTGTGCTTCTCATTCTAACTCACACGAATACGTTTACATTTTATGATCTAGAAAAAATATAATTAGTTGCAAGGAGAAAAAAGGCAAATAATGATATGTCAACATTAAATAAAATTGGTAACGTATTATACAATAAATTTGTTTAATTACAATCACATGGGTAGGTAGATGTAAAAATATAATGAAAATTATCATTGGTGAAAAAACATCACATCATAAATGATGGAATATACATTTGTTTGTTGAATATCTTTTCTACGAATTCAACTTCAAGCGATTGAAAGTGATGATGATGATAATAATAATAATACACTTTAAACGTGTCATGTCAAGAGTTATGCGCATAGAATTGAAAAGTAATAGGCAAATAAACAAAATATCATTATAACAACAAGAATAATTACATTGAATTAATCTAAATGATATTTATGACGTAGGTGGCAGTTAAAATGCTTTAAGAAGATAAATCACTAACTAGGTTGTGTCATGTTTGGGCTCCACCCTTCATGATAACTTTAAATTAGTTGATTAGTAGTAGTATACATGTATTTCTTAATATTGAAAATATAGTTGATACTTGCAACCAAGTACATATGTATAATGCACTTGATAAACGAGTTGTGTTACAATCGACAAGACTTATAGTACAGGTGGACAGATTTTTTGGCGATGTGTTTTGCAACTGTAACATGTTTATTTAAATAGTGTCATGAACTCAAAAGAACGAAGATTCTATCAATATATGCACATGACTAAACATCATATGTGGGGTTTCTTATAATGTTATATATTAAACTTAACAAGTACACAGTTATAAACTTGGCTTTCAGATATACATTAGGTATGAGGTTAAGTGACACCACCCTGAATATCTAAAGAAAATTAGATGAAAGGCAGATCGCGAAACTAAGATCTAGTGTTTGAAAGTTATTGCTCTGATGGTCTATACAGGAAGAAATATTCTAGTTTATCACGAAACTTAATATCACTCTTATAGTCCCATTTTTTTCAAATGAGATTATTATATACAACTGTGGCTAATAAAAACAACTGCGACGAAAAACTCTAAATAGAAAATTATAAACATGAAAGAAGTCGTAGAGTATTACAAATTAATCCAATTTTACGTAAACCATGTATAAATAATACCAACTAACAATCGTCTATTCAATAATGGTTTAGTGATATCGTTAACGAACTGGATATATGTTTCACCTTAGTATGGGAACTCCACAAAATTAGGCATCTAATCCCATACAATGAACAAGTAGCTGTTCAGTGCTTCTTAATTTTCAATAGTCGTCTAAGATCAGTCCGTTATGTAAGCTACAAAATTTCAAATAACTTTAATACAAAAACGACATATTTTACCATGTGTATCCTATGCTATAAACATATGGTATGATTACTTGATGTTCTATTTTAATCAAACATTCAAAATCAGAATTCCTAAAGAAAAATAATTCATGAATACACTAATTGTATAAAATAAAGAGCATATTTATAAGCGGGAATTATTTTCAGGAACTTTGTCTTCACCTTTTAAAAGTATTGAAAATTCATTCATAATTTATTACAATTGGTATTATGTTAGAGAATAATTATAAAGGTTTTAATTACATTAATCAGTGTGTTTAGATTGGAAATAATGAACCTCATCCACATTAAATCTTAAATCTATTACAAAATACGTCATATGAAGCCAGAAAGTTGATGAGGTTATAATCACTAGTGAGGAATCATGTGAATATGACATTGAGTAAGAGAAATGTTATTTTGTTGTTGTTATTCTGATCAAAAGTAACGATAATTTTAATGTCATGTGAATTTAAAGAGAGATGAATAAGTAATCATTAATCTTCTATGAGTATGGACATAGCAAAGCTAAACATGAAAACAATATTGGAAGGTAAAATTCTTCTTCTTCTGACAAAATCAATTAAATTAAGAATGAGATGACTTTATATTGTGTGAGAAAAAACAAACAAATGGTTTGAAATAAATAGAATACAGTAATATAATAATAATGTCATATTGTGTACCGAAAAAAAAGATTTCAATTCCGATTGATAGGCATCTATGACACTGTAAGATTAGCACTGGCAGGCTTGTTGTAAAAAAGTAATTTCTACTTTGAGGATTACAATGAAGTTAGAGAACAACATAACAGTTTGAGTTAATGTAGACCTAAATCCCAAGGAAATTGCATTATTATCCGCTTATCCTAGTATGTATTGAACAAAATGTGGCTCTTAAAAAGATTTTTTGTGTATATTTGTCTAATTTGTGAGTAGCATTTATCACATATTAATTTCAGCGAAGTTAACTCTTAAAAATTCGGTTATCTTTGGACAACATTCTTGACAGGGTCATGAGTCCACACTGCTGAGGAAGAAATAGCTCTCTAGTGCTCCATGTTTCCAACGGTGCGTCAATTGAGATCAGTTTGTGAAAAACACAACCTACATCTAGTACAAACGCTGTATTATGTATATAATCAGAATAACCAAGAGAAACAGTAATATTTATGTCTTTTGATTATTGATTTTACACAGTGGAAAAATACGTATTTATTTATATTAATTAAGGTACATTGACACTAATCTAAAGGCATTACACAACGAAACGTGTTTGATCATCTGTAGACGCAGGTGCACACTGCTGATTTGTACAAAATTAGGAAAGAAATAATTGTCTACTAGTCTCTGGTTTTCGACAGTTTATTTTCTCTCATTTTAGTTTCTATAAAAATTGATCTCCAAAACGAACTAATACATTCACCAGAAACCAAACAAAAAAATAGTAGGAAAAAGTTTCTTTTTCACATACAGAAATTATTAAAATACGATCAGATTGAAGTTGCGATGTATCAAGGTTATTTTTGGTACATGAAATGGAGCAGACAGAAAATCTAATAGGTTACTACAAAAATCAAATGTAAACATTGTATCTGATTACACAGAAGTCATTATTATTAGAAATCTAAGAAGGGTATTTGGTTATTTTGTTAAATAAGTTTTAAAATAGAAGTAAACTTAACAATCAACCATTATTATTAGGGGCTCTACATGAAATTTGACGAGTTCTACAAAGGTATTTGATGAAATTATTAGATAAATAAACTATGGTACAAAACATTATACCGGAGCAAATGTAGGAGTGATACAATTCCACGTGAAACGATACCAACCAGTAGTGTTTTTCTATAATTGTCAGTGTTAAAATTCGTATTAAGATTGGTTAAGCAAGTAATAATAGTGATGATTGTATACCGTTTACTTTATAGTAAAAGGTTTACGACCTCAACTAATTTCGTATTAAAATTGAAGTAAGTTGTGTTAAACAAAAATAATGTATAGATGAAATTGTTTGAACATTTAAAAGGTACACGATAAGATTTGGAAAACATTTATTGTTTTTTTCGAATGGATGTCGATGCATTTGTATTCGTTCCACTCTGAAACTCATCTACAATTAGTAAGTAAACTATCCGAATGGACAGACCTAATTAAGAACAAGTAAACCAAGTATATCTATAATTGAAGATTCGTCTGAGTTGAAAATAATGACAATCTGAATTAAACAGATTTAGTTCATGATTTTAAATTGTTTCGCTGAACTATCCGTTGGAAGATAAATGTATTTGCAACAAGACGTGGGCTCTTTCTGAAAATATCTTTGAGCATTACCTTGATTAGTTTTACAAATAATTGTGCAGTTCAGTCAGTAGTTTCATTCAGGAACATCTTACACTCTAATCATGTCGATCCACTAAAATCTGACTTTGAAATGATTCATACAATTAGACAAACTAATGCAAAAGGAATAGAGGTTAAAAATTTATACTCTAGTCTTAACCCTTTCTCCCATATTCAGCAATGTGTCACTATCATTCCCTTTTTATTTTTTTCTATGATTAATCATCTGTCACTATTACGATACTAAATAATTTGGTTTTCCCTAACTACCAATTGGACAATCATCTCTCGTCTACAAACCATTTTTATCTCAATATGTTTCTCATCAGCATAAAGATCATTATATAACCTCTTTTCGGAATAACATTCGTAACACAATAGTTTTTTTGATATTCACACATAATTCACCCATTATTAAACCTTTATCATCCCTTCCAAATAAAGTTTTAATGGTGGTCATTGATTGTTACAGTTTTTATATGGCTTTCAAATTGAATTAGTCTGTGCTTTTGCCTAGTTTCGCAAACTGATGCTGAATAGAATGTCAAAAGCAAAAGTATATACAAAACTGTTGAAATAAATCTAATGTTAAAGGTTAACCATTATTTCTTCTAAAATACTGAATGACTTCCGCCGCATGTCACTTGTGGAATGGTGAGATGCCCTAACTATTTTTTGAGGTCGTTTTTTTAGTAGATACCTTTAATGTCACACATGTAATGAAGCTCAACATAACTGGTAATCCCTAAAATTGTATTTACCGCCTTGAAACTGGATATAGGATACTGTCTTCATTTGCTAACTTAATTTTCACTAATAGCGAAGTTTCCAGTGGAGATTTTACTACAGGATAGTTGTTTGCGAATACTAACCCCTTCTATGTGTCTGTTCGGGAATATAAATTCAGAAAGAAACAACCTGGATCGTTCTGGGGTTAGAACTCTGGTCTTCAATTTACGAGTTTTATTTGTTCACATTGGTTCTGATGTCAGGTTTACTTTAGATAATTGATATTTCCGAACAATTTATAGCCAAATCAGTTTTATAGTAGATTATTATACATGACAAGTTAAACGTACATAAAATTGTACAACTTAATTTAATGATATCGCCAAAAAGAAAATTTTCTTCGTTGAAAATACATATGAATATGTTTAGAAATACAAAGGACAGAAAGACAAATAGGCAGAGAGTAAATTCTTATGCATGACTTTTCTAATAATTAAAATCTGAACATTTCAATGTGCTAGTAGAACCTAATACTGTTGGTAAAACTGTTATTATATGGAAAACAAGATAAACTTTTAACGAAAAACAAAACTTACATTAATATGATTTTGATCATTATTCTTTGTTACATTCGGATGACGAAAATGAAATCTTATTGGAAGTGAAGCAAATGACAAAGGAGTTTGAGTGTTATTTGACGCTGACAGTTCACTAAAAAATGATGATGGTGATGGACTGGTGTAAAGATTAACTGATGTATTGGAATTTTGACTAGTTGATGGTAAAGAATCATAAGTCATACTGCTACTGCCACTACTACTATTATTTGAATAATCAGATAACTGTGATCCAATTAACAGATCAGATAAATCTGTCATAGAATTATGTAGTGCCCGAGCACGAACAGATCTAGTAAAATATGGTTCTCTGGAAGTTTTATTAATTGAATACGTAACTGTTGGTGATGATGATTTGACTGTTGTGGCTGTTGCTGATTGATTATTTCGGATGAATAAAGGATCTTGAGAGTACAATGTCGTCCTAATGAAAAAGAAATATGGTAATAATATAACGTGATTATGACTACAAATTATCGAAAAGTTATTACTACTAGGATGTAATGAGAATATACATATTTAGGCCAAAGTGGTAGCGAACCAGTTTATTTAATAAAATTACACCTGTTTAGTATCATTCTCAAACAACTTTTACAGTTGCAATCAATGTTATAGTAATAATCATTTGTATATATGCTTTACGACAACGAAAGAAGATTACTGTAGATTACTTTGTAACTAGAAGTTATATTATTCAATCAACAATTAGATTACGCGTTCTTCAAAAAGAAAAAAGGATAGTTGAGGATTCAAAAATTGACTTGAGTTTACAATTTCATGCATGAACTCTATTTCAGGCGAAGCTGGTTTGCAAGAGAGTGTAAACTTGATGGGTGAAATATACATAGATTACAAAATTATGCAACAACATACATATGGGACTAGTCAACCAATCACAAACACACAAAGACTACTTACATAGGTAATCGGATTGTTTTTGTTCCTGGACATTTTGTAGAATGACGATTGGAAGAAGTATCAACAGTTGAATGAATATGATTCGTTTCAGTGAAATAATCACTAGTGGTGGAAGATTTTTGTTTGCATAAGTGATGTCTTTGTTGTTGCTGCTGTTCTTGGCGAACACTTTTTCTAAGATTATATGTCGGGGTTTTTATTGAACCAGGACTCTTATTATTATTATTGACATTAAAATTATCTGTATAATTCAGTGTAACTGGATTGGAAACATCACTAAAGCTATATCGATTATTGGTAGACATTGGAGAATATTTCGTATTGTTTAATGGATCTAACTCACTTTGTACAACATTGTCATATACAGGAATATTAGTCAAATTGGTATTGTGATGACTATGATTACATTTTGCATTATTACAGCTATTGTGTTTGATATCAACAGAAGTAGCAAATGGGACTATATTCCCTAAATTAAGAGATTTTCGTATTGTTGCTGATGTATGTTTTATTGGTTCTAATGTATGATCCATTGTCATTGGTACTGAAGTATCGCTTGTGATAATTGTAGTTGTTGTTTTCATTGATGGTGATGGAACTGATCGGTTAGCTAATAATGAAACTGAGTTACCAATCAACTTGTCTTTATCAACGTTATTTTCAGTAATAGTTAGATTATTATTAATATTATTATCATCAATAGTCGGTTTAGTACGTTTCACTCCAATTCTATTGCTATCAAGTACAAAGACAAACAAATAACAAACTGAAGTCTATGAAATTCTGAGTATAAAAACTTATAATGTATCATTGATAATTAGAATAAAACGATAGACTGACATTTATTTATTACGTTTGAATAAGTGTAGTTATTAAGTAAGGTGTACATAATATAGTCATTAGGTTAAACGACTTTGAAGACTGTAGTCAGAAAAACGTAAAATATACAAATTTTTATAAAATAGATGAATAACAGCTAGCAGTGCAATCTGAGATACATATTTTATTCCATTTTAAACTTTTCAACTGGATAAACTTGTATGTCAATATTGATGTAGCTCAGCAGATGTTAGGAGTTTGAAGTGAAAGATACTGAATTGAAGTCTCAATGTGGTCATCGAAATTTGAATCTAGGTACACCTAGAATACAAGTCTCAAATAGAACAAAACCAGCGTACTGAATTTCAGTGCTAGCAACAAACCATCTATTCTCTAAAAGCTTATGACAAAATGGCCTGATGGAGGCAATCCAGACAGGACGAACAGATGCTGAGATTGATTAAAATAATAATTTGAACCGCTAATAATAATGACGTGAATTGCGTGTGAATCGATAAGAGAATTTTGCCACTATTTATTTACTTTGGTTAAATGAATACGTAAAAAATTTAGTCATCAATATAAGACTGAGAAATGATATCAACAAGATGGACTGATGTAATATAACTGAACGGTATGACTGTTAAAGAATCACTACTTACAACTTCAAACATCTCAAAAGCCGAAGTTCTTGTCTAGTTAACAATGTGCTCTATATGAAGAATTATTTCTAACTGACAAGTAAGTAGACAATTAAAGCGGTCTAAAAATATTGTTACAAACAAAAATTATAGAGCAACCTATCATTAAATCCATAACGTTTGATGTTATCTAGGGAAATCACTTTCGATTTTACCAATTTATGTCCTCTTCCATGGGTATCATCTAAAACACTTTATTCACTTAATTTTGATGAGTTTCGGCCAGAATAAATCAAACGTTTTATGTATAAGTTGTGATGACATAGAACTAAATATGTGTCTCAGAAAGAAAATACTTGGAAAACGACTTTTTATGAATAGTTGTCGAAGGCTTAACTTTGAAGAGGTGTATGATTCGATAAATGTATATCGAAACAATCGGATATAGTAAACCCATAGTGTTTGTTGTGAATGGATGAAAAACATGACAGTTAGTTTTTTAAACACTGAATTAACAGATTTCTCTATTTCTTAGAAGTAACATCTTAGCAGGCGAAACGTTAGATTTACTTTAAATTCATTCGCAGAGATTATACAAATAAATTCTTTCTCCTTAATGTCTCACATCAACTTGATGCCCAAATACTGTCATACATAGCATTCTGCCTTGATAAATATAATTTTCTCAAGACTATAATTATAAAAGAATATTAAAAATCCATAAATTGAATAATATGAAGCTTTTGTCGATTTGATTTCCACATGTTTATCTGATAATCCTATAAAATTAATGAAAAGATCAATTTTTTAAAAAATTTTACTGGTTGTGTTGAGCATCGAAAACATTTGTTAGTCAAAAATGGGGAAAAAATGTAATCTGAGGGTAGTTTCAGACTATGTCACGTTGGTTATCCAACCGTAGCTCAAGATTAGCTTGTGGATCCCAAATGATCTTCCATGTTCTGAAAAGCTAATACTTCCAGGCAATAAAATCAAGTACGCCAACGGCAAACAAAATAATGGTTACCCAGATGATTCTCACTAATATCAAAAAATGAACTTAACCATGGTACTTCAAAACAACAATAACCACGCAAGCCAGAGGCTTTTCAAGACAAAGGATATCTGTTAATTTGGGAAATATAAATTGTGAGCTTTTTATTATTGTTGACGTAAATAGTGATGTAATGGAAAGCTTTTGGAGTTTTCTGTATTTATAATTGAGCCAGATAACATTCTACTTCACAATTTAAAATACTGACATTAAAATAACTTTTCTCCGTGAAGTTAAGCAAATAATTTCTGTCTACAGATCAACGTAACTCACTTGCGTCTATGGGATCAAGAAAAAAACTCCAATTTACATTAAAGATCGACGTAAAAATACCACTCAGATAATATATTCACTTAATCATACACTTTACAGACAATAAAAGTATAAGTTATAAAAGACGAATCCTGGAAACCTTGAGTTTGACCAAGTAAATTGAAGGAAATTACGATCTTTAATTAAATAATATGTTTATATAAACGAGTGGAATTTATTGCGGTAAACAAAATGGATTGACACTGTTGCAATAGGAATCGAAAACAGATATAGTTACTACTCTCGAGAACTACATATCCCATTAAACCACATAACACCAGAAGACAGAGTTTGGTCTAAGAGTGAGAAGAATTGATATTGGAGATAAATACTACATTTTATACACAATTTTAAGCGAAAAAGGTGATTAAATGGTTTGTGGCAAACAGATATATTATTATTAATGGCTTTGTTCAATATTATATTTTTGCACAATATAGAATGCTCTCAAATGCCCTAGTATGGCCGAGGGTAGGAAGAGTCAGCTCTCCCTTTCGAAATGCTCTCACATGGCCATATGCATACAACCACTGCCAAGGAAATCCTACTCACTGAATTCTCGCAACGAGGGTGTTGTTCACGAAGTTGAGAGGACGAAAAGCAAATGTCCTATGCTTTAACCGGATTGGTGAACACAGAGGGTCCACCTAGGGGAGTTGGAAAACCCTGATTCCAAACCAATGGTTCACATAGGCTCCATGATCCTAAGGGAACAAATGGAGTATGAACCAATTATTGGTCACCAGCTACCATGGGACTGCATCTCCTGACGTTGCTCCACTGTCTTTTGTATTAGACCTTTAGGTCGAAGGCTCGGGGAGTGGCTACCTAAGAAAACCATCTGCTTCGGTCTGGGCATCCGGGCATTACCACAGCTCACACACAAATCAAGTGACTTGTGTGGCGCATATGTATTCGTTGCCCCTTTGTGCCAATATGTATGTGTTAAAACAAATAAATAATAATATGGAATTCTCAGAAAAAATATTTCAACAAGTTTCCTTTCTTCATTTCTTGATCCACCCTGAAAATAAATATTGAGCGATCCCAAGTTAGATATTAGCAGTTCAGGAATCGACATCCGAATATTGTTCACTCTTTCAATGTATGTTCCCAGCCACCACGATGTCTCTGATTGTACTTTTTTGTAACTTGTACAGTGAAGGGTCGCAAACCTTTCATAAACGCGCCTAAATGGGTTATGTAATTAATGGACATAAAGAGGAGTTAAAACAAATAAAAACAGATCACTTATTGAAATATCTAGATAGCAGGAACAGGTAGCCCAAATATTCAAGCAGGCCGTCAGTGAATAGATTATTCAATAAGGTTTATTCTGACTATGGAGCAGTGAAAACCATAATTTAGGGTAAAAGAATTTCCTACATTACTAATTATTGACAGAAAATTTTGATCCCCACAACAGCTGCTTTCTTACACTTGTTGTTTTATAAGTGTATAATGATGGAAATGTTTGCCATTTAATAAAAATTTCTTTTAAATAGAACAACACAGTACAAGGAAACTAAATCGCATTATGAATAATCTGTCACATGTTTTCACCAATATTGTTACATGTGTAATAAATTGTTGAAATTAAGGACATATTTAACCAAAGTGGACTTGGAATATTTTGTGTTATAATAGTTTGTTAGTGGTATAAATGAGAATAGGATATGAATACTAACTCATTTTTAAAATAAAAAAGTATATACGCTTTATGTATATTATGGTTATCCATAATTTCATGTAGGGTTTAAAGTTTAGTTGGATGTTTCTATACCTATATCATAATCAATGAATGAAATTAATCCCATGTGTCTATTTAAAAAACTATAATTATTTAGCAAGTATCTTGAATGTTATTTTCAATGAAAATGAAATGTCGACAAAAGAATATATTATGAATAGCACAAAAATAAACTGACTAATGAATATTATTGTTTAACTGTGAGTGCTCTGATTTAGTACAGGAGGTTAGTAACTAAAACTGATACATTGATTTAAATTGTGATCTCTACATTATGTCTTTTGCCACTGCCAATCGTCACGTTACAAGATCGTCAATAATAACATTGACTTATATGACCTTGACCTGCATCACACCAGTCAACCAGTCCGTCAGCTACAAAGTACAACCAGGCACATATACTCATCGGACCAAGATGCCACACCACATTAGCAAACAAGATGAACAACGAATTCACAGAAGTCGTTAATTCAGTGGTGATAATATATAAAAGGAAGATTTCATATAATATCATTGTATATCTTTCCAAGCGACAACTGGGTCAGCCTCATTTTCAGAACTACCTAAGTGTGACCCCAGTTGTTCCTGAAACCTACTTTTGGTTTCCCCGTTACTCAGTTCAGTTCTAATGGGTCTTTTTAGTGTGGCTTTTTTGCGTCCAGTGAGGCGCAAGCAGATGCGTGCTCGTATTAGGGCATGGTCGGAGTCCAAGCAGGTACTCCAGAATGAGCGACAATCTTCTATTGACCCTCTCCAACGATGACTGATGGCAATATGGTCTATTTGAGTCCATCGTTGATTTGGTGCAGGGAGTCTCCATGTCAGACGGTGTCTCTCCTTATGCTTAAAATTTGTGTTTGCTAAAAATAAACGATTGTCTGAGCACAGTTGCAGCAGACGATCACCATTATCTGTTCGCTGAACTGGGATACTAAAATACCCACCTACCTATTTGAGCATTAAAGTCACCTACTACGAGTACTATGTCTGAGAGTTTCACTTTCTAAAGAAGTTCAGAAAGCTTTCTGTAAAAGTCATCTTTCACTTCATCCGAACTGCAGTCACTGGGAGCGTAGGCAGAAACGACGAAAAGGCAAAAACGTGTGTCCCTATCCTTCCGAGTTCTTACGGAGCAGTTTAGCCGAGCAGCACATAGACCTCTGTTAACGGGGATCCACTCTGATAGCGCTTGTTCCGCCCTCATGCTTAGTGCTATGCCTACACCTGCCAGTCCACGAGAACTAGCCATCGGGTCGCCAGATACACGGAGGGTGTATCTCGTCGGCACTCCGTTTTGCCGAGGTGAGGTCAAGTGAATGACCACACTAGAATCCTGTACGCGTGTTTCGGAGACACAGCATACATCAATTGTACAAGATTCTAAGATTTTAGCCAAGGAAGCCTGCTGACCGATTTGGCATAGTGTGCGTACGTTGAAGGCTCCAATGTGTAGTTTTGAGCGAGGTTTCAGTAGACCTGGGACAGCGTTTCGCGCACTAGAATCGTTGGTTATGGTGATACTTGAGGAGGAAACCAAAGGAGGACGTTTAGAGTTAAAAGTCAATGTAGGAGGAACAATAGGAATTGAAGAGGGAGGTTGATAATGAATACAGTGGTCTTGAGTGCTGTTAGAGGTATGAGGGCGGTTATCACTTCTCGGTTGCCCACACCGTGGAAGGGTTCTTCTGGAGGTGCCTGAAAAGGAAATTGGATTAGAGGTGGTCTTAGTGACCTGAGAGCGTGACCGCAGTGCCCAAGGGACGACTGCTTGAGGTCGGTCACACACGACCTTTTTATGAGTAATTTTTGTGTTAGCTCCGTACTTGTTGAGACCTTACCGCTGGAGACCGATATCCGTGGGATAAGGCGAGGTGTGCATTTTTAGGGTCGACCATTTCTAACCCTACTCCTCCTTGTGGGAAGGCAGCATTGCTGTTATGCTAGTTGTCTGAAGGAAACACCTTACTGCCTTCACACCCCTGTGCAGTCAGCAGTACTTCGCCTTCAGATCTTGGGTTCGTTGCTTTTAGTCTTACCGCTCTTCAACTGAACTGTCTGGCATGGTAGGACTTTGAGTAATGATTGTTCCAGCCAGTATACCTCGATCGGTTCATTACGACAGGCAAGCCTGAGCACCACATCAAGGTAGCAACGACGGGCGGGGAATACGAATATATACACAATCTAGCTACTTTACAGTTATACGATAGGAATATATGTAACAACAGTCCATAGATAATCCCTAACAGTTACCATTCATTTATTCTTCGTTCGGATATAATACTCCAAACTAATTAATTTGATTGTAGAGCTATCATTGTTATTTTGAACAATGTACAGTCACATGTTATTTCAATTATAAGTAAGCTTCTTCAATTTTTCCACAAGCGACACACGTTTAGTTTACATGATGACTTAAACTAGTCAATTATGTTACTCATAATAAGACAATAAAAGCTCGGTAATTTAAACTATTCAATTAAAAATAACAATAACGATCTATTGGAGCAATTCTGTTAAACCAAACATTTATCAGTAAATCACTAAAATCCAAATTTTCTTAGCAAAATACCAAGTTAAATGCAATCACTCACCGTACTTTAACTGTGATTGAACCACTGTTGTTACGATTTGACGACTGACGAGTTGAATATCGAGAAAAACGTGGTGGAACAGTTAGAGATGCAATAGTAGATGGAGTACACTTTGTGTAGGTATCAGGTTGCGTTCTTAAATCATTATTACCAGAATATATAAGAGACACATTTCCACTTTTTCTATTCTTAGTTTTTGAGTATAGTGAATTAATATTATTAAAGTTGTCAGGACTAGATGAATAGGTTAGAGTAGATCCAGGTAATTGATCTTGAATATTTGTCATGGATGATGTACATGAAACAGAACCACGATACAAATCATGTATATCAGTTGGATTACTTGCCGCACGATTGAAGATACGATTCAAATTACTATTACTGTTTGTTAATTTTATATTGCTGCGTTTTTGGAAATCTGATAAACGCTGTTGCATTGGACGTCTCATTGCTTTTATTCTATTCAACTGATCACCTTGACTAATACGTGATTTCGAATTTAATTTAGCTGGTATTTGAAAAAAATTAAATATTGTTTAAAGGTATCAGAAATTGACAAACTTTTGAGTGAAACTTAATGGTTTGAACAATTTTGTTATTGTTTATTAATTCTAGTTCCACGACTAAGTATCAACCAAAGTATTGATAAAATGTTAGATAACTCATTGAGATATCGTTCATAGTAACAGAACTAATCAGTTACAATATTAGATTGTTTATCAGTCATTCAGTTTTAACAGAAAAGAAAAATGTGAACTAAATGTGGCTATAAACTATCTAAGTTTTATTAAATAATATTCTGCTTTGTATTTGAGTAGGATTTAATGTGGCATAATAAGAAAGATATTTAGTGACGAATTCAACTGTGAACTATACAACTTTAGGTATTTGTGCTGATTACACAATAGGGAATTGAGATCAGATTTATTACAATTATTTCATTGTACATAATGTGAGTGATCAAAATAATGCAGAATCCAGAAAAAATAGAATGTTGGTAAATCTCCTTACTCCTCAAAATGTCAGTTATACTGAGAGAACCGGGTACTAAGTAGTTACATAAATCTAACTTCAATACTTATCTTCTAAGATCCACTCGTTCGTCAGAATCGCTACGAAAATCCAGAAGTTTCACCTGGCTTCAATCTTTGCTCGCTTAGTTTATCATCTTTCAGGCCAAATGGATGATTATACTCTGTCTCAAACTAAGGTCACGTGTCCATGTCATGGGACGTGTAGGAGATTTTCTGTCTGCAGCTTAAATGAAACGCGAGTAAGACGACAGAATGAAATATAACTTCGGAGACAAGCCAACGCTTTACGACCACTTCGCCTTTGGGTTTCATACAAACCCGATGACCTGCATGTATGTTAAACTCCCTGATCAACGTCTTAAGATGAGTCAGGTGAATCGTCTAATACTGAATTAGTGAAATAAAAAGAAAGCATGAAAAATTAAGTCCCATGAGGTAAACAAAACTAGACTCGTAAAACGTTCAATTTCGACAGTATGAATAGCAAAAACAAAATAAAATTTTGATACAAGTCCTGGTAGATAATTCAGGACTATCACTCAAAGACATGAACAATCGAAGGGACATTGTGAACAATAGAATTTCGAAATCAATGTCATAAATTTTAAATAGCAATTAAATAACATGATATCATCATTAGAAATTTGAACCATTTCTTTATTGATATTCTTAACTGAACTTTGATCAATTTTAACTGGTATAAATGCAGTCTGTTCGAATTATCTCGACATGGTTATTGATTCGTACAATTATTGACTTTATGTTCTAAATGTATAATGATCCGATATACATATATATGGGGACCATAGATACAAGAAGTTAATGTTTCTAAGTCATATAAACATGATTCGAAGTTAGTGTCAGTGACTGAGGTATAATCAGCCTCTGTGTTGCTTTAAAGTTTAGTCTAGACGATAGTTAGCACTTGTTAGCAGAGTGTACCTGAAACATTGAGAGAATTAGTGTTCTCTGTGGTATTGAGACTTGAGTCACCTAGCTCCATAGTCTGCGACATTAACACTGAACAGTTTGAGCCGCAACTGACATTCTATGTGACTTGAACATTTACAACTGGTTGATCACTGAGTAGTAAGCTAACTAGTATTTATCTAGTCCCTTGGTAGTGATCGAATCCTGTCGATCAGGTTGAAATGTCGTCTCAACCTTGTAAATATTTTAGTCCGATAGGAGGTCAGTCACGACATGAACAGCTCAGTGGTATTATCTCTACCTACGAAGATGGGTGACGCAAATTTAGATACCCTAGAGATTGTCAGCTCCCTAAGGATTTCAGATACACTCTGCTGACGAATGTCAACCAGAAAAAAGCAAAAATTCAGATTTTTCTATGGCAACCACCAACGAACAAATACAGAATAGGCTAAATCTGCTAAGTAATTTCCCCTCACTTTGTTGTTTCCTTGTATTGTGCAATACTTTAATCATTTATTTGGCCGGTGGATCAAATTGAAATCATACTTGAAATATTTGCGATTCTGATAATGAACAAGTACAATATATGGATATGACCGACGTAGACGTACGCAATGAATTCTGCTTTTAATCTTTAACTTAAAGACGATATTAAGGTCTAATCATTCGCTCCTAAACAACCTAAGACTCAGGTATTATACTCCTCGACACAACATACCAAAATGCTACAGAAAATATAGAAATCATCAAAGGAAATTAAATTAGAAAGATATAAATAAAAGTGTAGGATAAAACATACATCTACTCCTCAACGATAGATTTTGCGATAATTGACACCGGGTCTTCAACTACAGATTATGATCACATCTCTTGAATATCTCGATTAATAGGTCCACATCTCCTTTGATGTAATTCACAACTTGACCATCATTATTGTCCACATACAATGAAGAGATGGCTTTGTGGTTAAAACGTGAGACTTTCAGTCATTAAGTGCCAAGTTCCAACCCCTCTCCACCTACGTCTTTATAGGCGGCTCGGTAGCATCATTAGCCTTCAGACTTGAAATATGATTCATACAAGTGTTTGGTGAATTAATTAATTATATAATTGTGCTTGCCATAAATATATACCCATATCATTCCACATGAAGTTAAACATATATTCTTTGACGCAAATGTGCTTCATTGGCCGAATGAGAAATCAACCGAATGATAATTGTACCATACTAAGTAGTAAATGGTTTGAGTTTCCAAGGAATCAGTGGCATAATTTTCTAAGGTACAGAAGCTTATATGTATGTATAAATGAGTTTACATATAAGTCAATTAGACTATTCAACTAGGGCTTCCTTCCCACTCTTATTCTACTTATTCATATAACCAGCTTAGCTCGAACTTAAGCAGTTTATGTATCCTTATCAAAATCGAATACTATACAAAACAATATTTTTCATAATGATAAAATTCGAAATAGATGAAAACAGTAAAACAAAAGTGTTTGTTTACGTGTTAAAATACGATTGGAACTGTGCAGAACAATAGAAAAGAAAGTTAATAAAACTTACATAATTTCTTTGATTTTTGTATATTAATTAAACTTGGATTAATAATCACTTCACGATCAAAACATTTAGATGAAATGTCTGAATTGGTTTTTGATAAAGATTTATTGTTTTTTAACTTCGATGCATTTTTTGATTGATCATTAGATAATTGTGATAAATTAATATTTTTAACAGTTATATTGTAACATCGTGGAGAATTAGTGAGAGTCTCAGTGATAGATGCACTACTACTACTTCTACTGTTATTACCAATACTACTACTATTACTAATACTAAGACTGTTACTATTACTATCACTAATACCACTATTGTCATTATAACTATCATTACTACTGCCAGTATTATCAGTACTAATTCCAAGAGAACGGATACTATTGTTATTTTTGTTATTGTTATTAGTAGTAGTGGTTGTTGTTTTTCTTGCATTGCCGATATTCGATTTGATGTTTTTATTCATATTCATATCCATATTATTATTATTATTTCTATTATTGTTATTAATCAAACATCTTTTATGCTGATTTTGAACACGACTGTTTGAAAACACAATTTCGGAAGATAAAATAGGTGGAATAGTGCAATCATTTTTAATGCCAAGATCATTTGAATTGTTATTGGACCTATATGATGGGAGAAGAAGAAAAATGGGACAAAGCAAAAACAAACATTTTATAGAAAAGAATTCAGTTTTGTGTTGAATAATCGTATTTGATAAATGAATTAGAGTATCTCGAACTAATTAAAAATAATAATGAGTAATTTCATACCTAATTTTTATTATATATAATCAGCATCTATCATTTGAGGCATTAATATTATGTTCTTTTAGCAGTATACTGTAGATGTGTTGGTAATGGCTTATATAATTGATGTCAGGTAGTTTGAGGCACTCAGTAGGTAACCCTGGATCTAGGTTTCGTGTTAGTTGTTACTCACAAGCAAAGTATTCTTGTGGAATTGAAATACTATAAGAGACAACTCCGAATCAGAATAACTCAGTGGTAACATCTCATACTGTGAAGCTAGGTGACCCGTGTTTGAATCTCACAGGGAGCACCAACTCCCTTATGATTTGAAGTACCTCTTTCTAAGAAACATCATTACTGCCGACTCATTCTAAATAAAATCAAAATATAGTGCGTATGATTTCAAGTCACTTAGTCTAGTGATCATAATGCAATTCAAACGACAGGACTCAATCAGTACAAAGGATTAGATCAACATTAGATTGACCACAACTCAGTGACCAACTAACGAGTTATGAAAGTTTGAATTCATGACAATATAATTTTCGTTTTAGCAAATATAACTTACAAAAAATTTAACAAATCTAACAAAAATTATTTAATAATTTCCAATAAGTTGGTTTAAATAGTTAATAAACTTCAGTTAGTGAGAACCATGAAACGGAGTAATTGAATGGGTGATGTTTATTATAGAATGAATTCATTGTTTAATACGTTTTTTTTTAACTGAACCATCATGATATAAATTAACGAAAGAATTAGGAGAAAATTTTGAAAAAATGTTAAACATGAAAAGTATGTATACGAAAATCAAACTTACAAAAATATAGTTTCATACATTCGTATAGGAAAATACATACAATTAGATTTAAATGTAACATTCCATTATACACTGATGTTAATTAAAGAATTAATAAAAAAAATCATGAAGAAAAATAACATTCACCTGCTTTCACATAGAAATTCAAGATTAAATGAATACGGTTTGAGCTATACATATCAACGTTCAATTAGAATTCAAGCAATCTAGGATTATAACAAGATTATTGTGATGTACGTAAGAAAAGACTTGATTAACTGGGCATGAATATCAGTCATAATCAAAGAACACCTTCGCAAAAATATTCGTTATCTTAAGTTTCGTAACTATATTAGCGCAAAAAGATGAATAACAAGGGAATCGAAATAATTGTAATACCAATGATAATGAGAAAGACTAAACATTGAAAATATTTTTCAAGAAGATGGGACGAAAAAGTATGTATGGGAGAGTAATGGATCTCAACATCCAGAGTATGATGAAGAAGTAATGAATCTACACCATTGTGACTGGTTCTAGGACATGTCATTCGACATCTCCAACGACTACTGATAGCACTTATCACGTGCACTCAGACCAAGTAGTCTGCATCTATCAATACGACTCAGACAAACAGTGAATAACTTCATGAATGGACGCCGCATTTCAGTTTGCCCATCCATAGCTTTTTTTAACCTACTTCCACACCAACCAATATACTCTGTAGAGGCAGTCGATGTTCGGGCAGACCTGACAAACATCCTAACTAACTCAGTTAATAAGAATTGACAATCCCGGAAGGATATTGGAGTCAGTAAAACATGATGTTTGTAACACACTCTTTCATTCCTATAATCGTTTCACTAAATTTCAGTATAATTTTAATGCTTAGTGGTTATTTTAAGATTCTCGTCAAAATTTCACTGCTTATTATTAGTTAGTGCGACTATGTCTAATACTTTTTTACGGTAAAGAAGTGTGTAATAACACTTATAGGTCTTAGTTCTCATCAAATAACCCTACTGGTTGGTTACTTATTGTCATCAGTTTTATTGCTCCGGTGTGTTTTACTCGTGCCATTACTTATTTCAGTGGGTTCGTCTTCCCCAGCATAAGATTGTTTGAAAAGATCCCAGAAGCCCTCAAAACAACCCATGGTTTCCGCTTATGAAGTCACTGTTGTTTGGTGCAAGCCTTCTCAGAAAGCTGAGACTTCCTGATGTGTTACATAGTTAAATACTCTGAATTTCCCTTCAATCATTTAACACAGCATTTGCTGCAAAGTTGACCGATTTGATTCACATCAGTAGAATTAATTTATTTCTAGTCAGATAATTGTGTATGGATGTGTCGCTCGATTTCGTGGATTAGTTGAAGCTATGCATTAACACCATTGGATGCCGGCTCAATGGTCTAGTGGCTACGCACTCACGCGCGAGACTGACAGGTCCTTGGCTCGAATCCCGCGAGGCAGGGTCGTGGATGCGCACTGCTGAGGAGCCCTACAATAGGACGAAACGGCCATATAGTGTTTCCAGGTTTTTCATGGTGTTCTAGCTTCAATTGACTCATGATCTCAGCTATTGAAAAATATTAAATACTTGACAGTTTGTTGAAATAACAACTAGATAAAGATATGTGAACTAAATCATCAACTATCCAGTCATAAACAATGTAAGAATCTGATACGAATGAATATCGGCTCAAGTTGACGCATAAGTAGCTAATCTTATTGACTGTGGACGGTAATTAACTGTATTTTATTCTCTTACCTTCACCCTTCTGTGTCGATCAGTTCGTAATTGATTCAAATAAATGCAGTTCTTATTCATATGATATGTTCCAGATCATTTATTATCTGTCATTTTGAATCTTTATTAATTCAGTTGCATCTCTGATATTCTACTATATTGTGTTCTAACCTTCATCTCCAGTATGCAGTTTGTATCAGTACAGTCTGTGTTATTCATACATCGATTCTAGTTACTCAGTCAACCAAATGCATATTTAATCAATCAGTTAGTCAGTCGCAACGTAGAACCTGGTAAGTATGTACATTGATTCAATCTCCCATACCCCATCAGCACAGTGAGATGAAATTATCAGACCAAATCCCGGAATAACATAGGTAGTAACAGTTTCAGTAATAATAAAAAAGATTACTCATGGAAGATACGATTCGAGAAGAAAATATAAATTAGTGAATTAAAAAAGATTATGAGGCATTTCGAAGCTTAGAATTTGAAGGAAGACAAAGAATGAATGCACTTGTATTACAAAGTCTCTAACCACTGGTTACGATAATCAAGCAGCCCTCAATCAACTATTCTACACCTGTTAACATGGCTCAGTTCAGTTGACAGTGAACTCATGGAGTGATGTGATGTTTTGGTTAGAGCGCCCCTGAGATTCTTCTAGCCCACTCCTGAACCAGACAACATCGCTCGTCGAGGTAAGTAGTGACTGGGTACACGTAGCACATGTCCTAACCACCTCAGTTGACAGAAATTTACTACCCCATCAAACGATTTTGCATCATTACCCAGTACTCTGTGCCTAACCCAGGTATCGCTTACTCTGTGCCTCCAAAACACGAACAAATGTGATTTTATACTAGTAATTTGTGAATATTCTCTATCCCTAATGGCTATACTTCACATTCATAAAGTAGAACGGAACGAACTGCTGCACAGCAACCTCCTCCTTTAGTGAGAAGGCAAATATCTTGCCTATGCCACAAGTGATGCAAGTTGGTAAACGCCATCTGAGCGTCTTGAATCCGTGATGAGATTTCATTAGACGCCAGACCATCAGGACTGATGAGACCTTCAAGATAAGTGAATTGGTCGGTGTCTTCAACTACCTCACTTCCTATCATCGATTCGGGTGATGATATAAGCCATTCCTGAAGTAAAATTTCACATTTGAAATGGGGAAGAAGTGTACCCTGAACATGCTTGAATTGTTGCTTAAAGTGGTCAAGAAACTCTACATTTTGTCGACGCCTTCACCAAACAGAACTATATCATCTGCATATGCAAGTCAATAAATGAATCTCTTGGTGAAAGATCGATACCTGAAAAGTCAGATGATAAAAGTATTATCTCTAAAACATGTATATGACAAAGGTAAATCAAAACGAGGAAAGCAGACAGCCCTGAAGTAATCAATTCCGATGACAGTTCATCATAAGCTCTGACTCGACCAGTAGTGTTCGAGTGAAGGACATGTACAAGGTTAATTTACTACTTTGATACGTCCTTCAATGACAGACACTGTCATAGAACATCACAGTCAACAGAGTCAAAGGCTGTCTTAGTGTTAGGGAACAAAACTATAGTCGGACGTCAAAAAATGTATCTGCGTTCCATAACTTTCCGAAAGGTGAATAATTGGTCTATACGTTTACGTTCAGTCTGAAACCAGCCAGGTTTTCTCGGGTTTGCTCTTCACACACTCTAGTTCGACGTATCATTAAGGCTAATATTTCAGATACTATATTAGTTAAACTGATTCCTCTGTGATTGTCACAAAAGGGTTTTTATCCCTTCTCATAGACTAGGACGGTCAGCGATAGAGACCAGTCAGATGGGATTACGTCCAGTCCCCACATTCTGGCTAAATTTCAGTTTATCTAACTGCTAAAATTCGACCACTACCCTTAAAAACGCAGGAGTTAGTCTATGATGTCCTGATACTATCCCTCACTTTAGATTACTTTTAGCCTTTTTAACCTCACTCCACAACCCCATACTGCATAGAATGCAGTGAATTAATTCAACTTTGATCAATGAAGTATCGATACATACATTAATTTCGTTCTTTGATGTGGTTTGCAACTTGGATGGTTACTTCAGGTGGTGTTGCGTTCTCTGAGCTAGATATCGTAGTTGTTGAACTACCATTTTTTTCTGGACTTTATCAGCCCCTGATTCATGCGTTTTCCAGAACGATAATGAAAGCTTCTCAATCAAACTGTGAGCATCAGATAACCTAACACCATCAAAATCAATCTTTTCTGTTTAAATACTAAGTGAACTTATATAAAGTAGACAGAATATCGCTAGCAGTGGAATTCACAATGTGTGATTTGCCCTTTTTGAGACTCACCAGCCGGATTTACTCACATCCTAAAGTTTATGGTGAATCCAGGACTCAATTCACAATCCTTCTCTATAAACGCCATCACGTTATCCGTTTAGCCACTCATTTCCACCAGAGTAAACGTTAACCTTAAGATGGAAATACATCCAGCCGATGAGTCCCAAGTAGGACGAAACGCGCGTCCTAAATTATACTACTAGACATATTCTATTTATTCTACGTAAACCTGCGTCATAGTGTTTATATACAGGCAATCACAACAGAATGCACATATGTCAAGATTAATCACATTTAGGTCAAAATAACAACAACGGGATAATTCAAAACATTATAAATTAAATAAGCATAAATAAATTATAGTGTATTAAAAAATGCTTACCTAACCAATGATATTGGAGTAACAGATTTACAGATTCTACCATTTTTAACTAATAATCCATTTTCTGAAGATTTATACGTTAATAAATCATTTTTCTTTACAGCATTTTGTAATTTTACTGTTTCTGTTACGTTGAAATCTTCATCACTACTCATGGATGATTCTACCAGATGTGTTGTTGTTAATTGACGTTGATTTTCCCTGTAAATTTCACCGAATTGCCAACAAATTGGTTGTTTTAAATCTAACCAATGTTGTTGTGGTCCAATAATTGAACCAGGACGACAGATGCGAATCCACCCTATCACTTCACGTGAAGTAAGTTTATAATGTTTCATTAAATAACATCCAATCAATGTACCAGTACGACCCAAACCAGCTGAGTTTTTTTAGGATTTAAAATAAAAGATAAAAGAATCGAAATGTTGAAATGCACATCTATGCAAGACTTTACGTTACTTATGACTTACTGATTAAGTAAACAAACTGAAACAAATCAAATAACCTATAAGAAACTGAAAAGTTAAATACTAACACAGATTTATTGTCTATTGACGTTCTTGTCAGTTAATACTGAGGCTGAGGTTGTCCATGAAATAAGAAATTATCAATTATTCGAATGATCGTTGAAAAAAAATTTAAGCGGGAAAAACTTTCCGATATTGATTTGGAAATTACTTTCAATGCACCTTATTATGTAGACAATAATATCTTTAAATACAATTTAATGTATTAAACATCATTGTATATAATGAATTATGTTTCTTTAATCTGTGTTATTGATATATCTGCAGGTGCAAGTGAGTAATTTGAGTGGAGTTTTTGTCCTTTGAGCTGGATAGTTTGGTCATGTAGCTTTCATTGTTCTTCTGAACATCATCAGCACACGCTTCAAGTAGAAGCTCTACGATCAAACCATCCAGCTCAGAGAACAAAACTCCATCAAAATCATCCATCTGAGCTACAAATCTTCTCCACCATCTCATAAGAGAATAATTACAATTTTATTATAATTAAACATGAGTCCGATATATTTACAGTAACAGCGACTAGTTTGATGACACTTTGACCAATAATACAACAGACTGTTCATATAACCCATTTACTTGAAAACACAAATGTAGAAGGAAAATTTATTTAACAATGACCACAAGAGGATTCCAAATAACATTCGGGAACAATCAGTTATTAAACGATAAAAATTCAGTGAATTTTGATTATCACACTGATCAAATATTATCTCAAACGCAAAATCATAAGGGATTAACTAATAAACAGTAACACCTTTGGGATGCCGGCTCAGTGGTCTAGATGTTAAGCATTCGCGTACAAGACCAACGGTTCTGGATTCAAGTCCCGCGTGCGGTATAGTGGACGGGCACTGTCGAGGCATCGCATACTAAGACGAAACGGCCGTCCAGTTCTTACAGGTTTTCAATGGTGGTCTAGCTTAGATTGATTCATGATCTCAACCATTAAAATTACTACAACCTACACAAGTCCCCAGTCTGACAAAACAATAAAGTTAAATCGGAAATTGAAGTTAATGAAGTTCACATTCAGTAAATACGAAAATTAACTGAATGAAATCATGATATTTTTCTTGATTTCTTAGATGGAATTATATTTAGGAATTGAATCTCTGTAACAGAGTTTTGATAATTTACTATTTATAAACATTTTACATGATTGAAATAAATTCATTATTTTTATCGAGTATTTGTATATGATCATGTCAACAGAAAAAAGTAAAATGCCAAATCATTATTTGACAAGATACATTCCATAAAATAACAATCAGCTTGATAAGAAAATCGATTGACCAATTGACATTAAAAAGCGTGGGATAAATTCAACTGTAATTAATTGTCACCTCATCTTCTCGGCAAAATAAACTTGTATGATAATATAAATTATTTTCAAATAAAACAATATGTACAAAAATTAAATTAAAGGATTTATTGAACAGATGAATGGTGGCTAGCAGTGAAATCTAAAATATGGGTTTCATCTCATTTCAGACTCGTCAGCTGGATGTACCTGCATCCCGGAATGAACCAAACTATATTAAGGGCACTACATTAGGTACAATATTAGTTTCGTTTGCTTTTACACTGTACATTGTTTTTTTAATACATAAATACAGTAATTTGTTGAGTAACAGCGTTCACTATAATGTATGTAGAAGTATAAATAATATAGAAGCAAAAAATCTTAATAAATTGGTCTAACATTTAACCTAACTTACATAATTTAAGGATTAAACATTCAAATACTGTACATCTGATTAAGATCAATTCTTGCAGTATAGGCAAACTAATGACTAAGTTGGTATATATATAAGTAATTCAGTACAGACCTAATGCTACAATGTTTTGCATAGTCAAGCTTTAAAAAACCAATAGATTTCGATAAGGCAAAAACTAACCTTTGCAATGTACAGCAATTGCTCCCGAAACATTTTCGCATATTTCTAAGAATCGATTCATTATATGATCAGATGGACAACTTCCATCAGTAAAAAATAAATCATAATGAGCGAAGCCAGCATTGGTGAAACGTTTAGCATCGTAAACTTTTTTATTCAACCTAATTATAGTGGTTACATTTCGTTTACGGAAATATGGGAAGTAAGCTTCTGGTGAATGTAGAGGATAACCTATATAAGTGAAATAAAATGAAACAAACAAATAGATTAAACTAGTAAGCGAATGTTAATTAATGAAGAGATTGTAAGAACATTGAAGTATTACTGGAGTCTACACAAATTAGTCAATAATTCTCAAAGTATTTCAGCCTAGAAAAACTAATCACTCAACGTTGAGTTATTTTTCATACTTGGTCGAGGTCAACGGTGGTCCAACGCTAACTAATCAATCGACCGCTTGGAACTGGTACTTGGGGCATCTCGGTCACCTCTTGTCCATGTTACAGTTTTATCACCCGCATTGTAAGATTTTATTTGTTCTCCAAGTGTACTAACAACGTCGAATAGCCTAGCTACCAGGTTTGGAAAGGAAAAACTTATGAGATATCAGATGAGCTAGCCTTAACGTAAGACTACGTGATAGAAGCTGCTGTACAATTTCTGTTAACTTAAATGGGTTGAAACTATTGGTGAAACAATATAAGTGGGTTCATTCCGTCAAATGTAGTGTAAATCAACAGAAAATAAAACGTAAATAAATATAATTAGTTTAATCTTCGAAGCACATTTACGTAATGAAGTAAATGAATTTCCGAAAATGCATTCAATAGTAGGTTTAAATGAAAAAGTGTATTTCGAGCGGATAATAACATGATTAAGATTTAAATAAAATCTTAACAACAAATAAATTAATATTTTTCACAATCCTTGTTGAATTATGTTTTCATTTAGGCAACATCAGACTAATTTTAATATCTGAACAACGTTTACATAATTCTGACACAACCGCTTAATAAATCCCATACATAATAACAAGTAAATACATTTGTTTTGGTATTCTCTTAATTTAAAACCATAAGCATAGTAATACTGATGTGAACGAAAACTCAGGTGGGAGAAACCAATTTATTATCTAATGCCAAATTATAGTGTCTTCATAAAATAGGAAAAGCATATATTAAATACTTTATTTGCACATCTTCCTTCAGTTGTTCTTTACATACTTTATGATTCTTTCAACTCTGCTGTTATTACTTTCTCTCTGTTTCTCTTCCTGTTCTCTTCAATTCAAACTTTTGCTGTCCACTTCAGATTGCTGCTACGGACTACTTATCGCTGTTAGCATAAATATCATTCACTACAATGCCACAATATAATCGATTTCTAGTTAACTAACCACTGGTGGTGGTAAAGTGGTCTAAGAAGAAAACACTGCATAAATTTTAAATAAAGCCTGCAAGTTTACACATGATACTTTTCAAAAAATCAATTAGTTACATACATGTTGTCATACGTAAACTTCTAAATCTTTGCACTGTCATAGTACTGATGATTTTATCTGACATGTACGTTTATCAAAACATTCACTCCGAATAAATCTATAAGCTTGGAAATAGTAAAGAGAACTACCTTTATCATGTTACCTTCCATGAAATCTCATAATGACGCCTATCTGGATCCATTATTTCGAAATTGAAGCTTCAGCATAAACAAATTAGACTGATATTCTTTTTTAAATGGTATTAGTAATAATACTGGTTAGCACATAATGAATGTAGCCTATAAATTAATAACATGCTGGCAGAAGATAATGATTTATTTCTAAATAAATATGGTAGCTACATGGGAGACAATCTTTCTTGGCCCACAGACTACAAATACTTATTTCAATTAAGTGTTTCATAATAATATTCAATCACTTACAATGTAATAAGAAAAAACAAATCTTTATACAGTACTTATTAAAGATTGATCTCAGACAAATCAGTGAAGGCTAGAAGACACTGAACCCTTTGGAAGTGGGTAACCACTACTTTATTGAGTGTCAAACTTAAAACCATCGGTATCATGACGAGCGCTTAACATTTAGACCTCTGAGTCGGTATATGATGAATAGTGACTGCTAAGGGGTTCCATACGAAATAACTTTCTAGTGCTTCCTAGTTTTCAGTGGTTTTCTAAGATAAGTCTATTATGTACCTTATGAAAATTCAACTATTCACTTAAACCCTAGAGTTTTAAAGTCTAAAATCAACATACCATTTTCTATCTTCGTTTGTGAATGTGGTCCACAAAACGCAAGGAATTTATTTGGTATTATCCAAGAGAGATCACCATTTTCTACTTTCTGTAAAATTATTTTTAAAAAAACGAAAGATTTATAGACGTGATAAAACGGAAAGACAAATATTCAACTTACCTCAAAATGTTCATATTCTTGTAAATCAAATGTATCAAAGTCGAGAAATTTATTAAGTAAAGCCTAAAATAAAAAATCACAAGAAATCAGTTTCCAAAAAACACGACAAATTTTATGTATTATTGTTAAATACTGATTTTTTGTTGTTGGAATGACATAATCATAATGAACGGTTAACAATTCTTGTCAGTTAAATCTGTCCAGGCTGAGGCTGTCCGTAACCTTTCCAATATTCAACAAGTCTGTTATATCTAGCCCTAACGGACACTTTTCTATTTATTTAATGAAATAAATAGTTTATGTCAAACACCAGTTTCCACCAAAAATTTCATTTCGAGACTTCCCTTTCACTGTATTTTCACTGTTTTGTAATGCAGAATGTAAGGGTTGCACCATAATACACGAACACTATCATAGAAGATAGTTATATATAATTCCAGATGTTTTAAATGAAGTTTTTGATGCAAGTCACCCTTCAATATACAACATTCATTCATTAAATGGAAAGAAATATGACCGAAAGCTATTAATAATATATCCTTACTGAAAATTAGAAATGTTGTGGGTAAATTTAGCCCCATAGAGCAACTCTTAGGGCTAACACGTTATCTATTGAGCTCTCCAAGTCGCAAGTTAGAAGACAGAAAATGAGTGAGAAGGAATGTTATCCCAAACAATGTCAAATATGGTACAAAACTACCAGGTATTTATAGTTTTTAGTAAAAATGAAATCATCATTACAGTCATCCAATCCGCATACAGCGGTTTTTAGCATTTGTCCAACAGGGAAGCTACACGTCGAGATTCTGGAATGTTCCTCCATAATATGATTGGATGGAATGTCTGGAGATTTTTAAGCAGCTTAGAGCTTTCTTGAGTTCACCCGTGGACCGTCCTCACACTTCCATCCTTTGAATACTAAACACGGTGGATTGTGATCTTGAGTTTCTGGGACTAGTTATAGTAGCTAACATTCGGCTTGGTCGATAAAGCTCGTTCAGTACTCAACACCAGACTACGGCATTTGGAAGCGAACTAGTTTAACAATAAGCATATCTGTTCTCTCTCTCTCTCTCTCTCTCTCTATATATATATATATATATATATATATATATATATATATATATATATATATATTGTCAATCTCACATACGTATATTATCACAAAAATACACGATAATAAAGTGCCTTGAGAAATAAAATTGAATGGCATATATATGTTCAAATGATGGTTAGAAAAAGAAATTTTGATGGTGTAAGAGACAGAATAATAATTAACATTTAGATGACATTTATTAAGGAAGATGGACATTTACCTGTTAATATACACTCGTATAACCTTCAAAATTAATAACGTTCACTATGTAGGAATGTGTACAGTAAGTCAGAAACTGTTATAAAGCTTTGACTGATTGGTTAATAATAGAATTAATGAAGTAGTTGAGTTAATCACTGGCCTCGCATTCCAAAACAAGAAATTTCAGATAATAAAAATCATAACCTCACTGCGTATGAAAATAATTTAGTACGTTTAAGCATACATACAGACGTGGCAACGAAAGTCCTGTTTCGTAGTTTACATCACGGACTGACTATAACAAGACAACCACTGAAAAACAGGAAGCATTGGGCAGTGGCTTTGTTTTAATGTGGGACTCTTCAGGAATAAGCATTCACACATACATGTAAGCTTACAATATTATAAGTATAGAGTTGTGAAGTAGATTGAATTTCATTAAAATCCTAGACTGATGTACGTTATACTACCATTGAAAACATTGAACGGCCGTTTTATCCTATTATGGAACTTTTCAGCAGGAATCAAACCCAAAACCCTCGGTTTCGAACGCCAACAATCAAGGCAGTTTATAAGTCAGTAGTGACAGCAACATAAATTACACAACTTAATGGAAAAGTACAAATTGATAGTGTGATAATGCAGATGTGCTAGTTGTGATAAGAATAATAAAGGCTTGAGTCAGTGTCTGATAATGGGAAGTAAATCAGAAACTTGGAAAAATAGACATTAAAATAACATTTGTTAAAAATAATTCAAGTTACATAATAAGAAGTGTTCATATGATTAAATTATGAAGAGTATAAACGAAAAAGAGGTGAATAAAAGTAAACGAACAGATGTTATGGAAATTAAGAAGTAAAATCGTTTTTAACCCCTTCTTGTCCAAAAAAGAGATAACTTAAGAATTCCATATGTAGGAGACGAGATCGAACCCTTTTAAAAAAGCAGAAATATGATAAATTACTCTGAATGAATCGTTTCTATGTACTCCCTGACCGCTGTCGGCTGAGTGTGATAGAACGGAATCATGTATTGTTTTAATCATACTCTTTCCCAACCACGAAAGAGGTGTTTACTAACTTGCTAGTTAAGTTATTGATCAACACCAAAAGAACTAAAAAACCATCAGATTAATTACCCCTTTATGATCAATGCATTTTAATTGTAATTTGGATTTGCTGGCCAAACAACAATATACATAATTTAAGGAAATAACTATCGGTATAGTAAATGCAATTATTTATATGAAGCGAACTCGTGGCATAGCGATTTGTATGTGACTATTAAGTATAAAATCATGTATACCGGACATTAAAAACATGAAACTATCTTTAGCGTTAATAATTCTCTCTGGAAAATAATACTAATACATATACAATGAGGTCTGTAAAGATTTTTAAATTTCATGGTTTATATTACGGGTTGATCTTGGTTAGATAACCATCGAAAACCAAGAAGCACTGAACCTTTTGGTCCTACTATGAGACTAATCAGCACTATTCATCTATGACCCCAACAAGGATGGTTACCAAGACTTCCAGGTCACAAGGCAAGCGCCCAACCTTTAAACCAATGAGTAAGCATACGATGGTTCACATTCATAAAAAAGGTCAGTTCTTGATGTAAACCATGGAATAATACAATTTAAAAGCAAATAAAGCAATAAACAGATCGATTCTGTTTAACAGATTAGACAATAAATCTGGTAACAGCATTAGGCATAACATCATATAGCATTAGCTAACAAAGCACTATTTGCTGATTAACTTCAAAAACACCGCTTGTAATAACTCAAGTTATTCAGAATTTTCAGTGATAATTTTTAACCATTTGAAGTTTCACACTCAAACAATTACCAGCTGAGGTTACTAAAGTATTCCGAAATACATTTAAAATGATTTATAGTGCTGTATATTCTATGAAACTATTTTATCTGATCATGATTGTTAATAATAGTCTGACTTAAATGTATTTGAGTTTCGAAAAAAAGGTCTTATTTTACAGTCTGGTAAACAAAGACGTTCAAAATAACTTTAAACCAAAGTACTTTGCGGTTCATTTAGTAATACTCTCTATTTGGTATATCTATATTAAAAATACATTAAATAACTAATAACTTCAGAAAGATATTTGATATTGATGATAAAACTCTCGGTGAACTCATAAAAGTTTTAAGAATCTTGTTATGAATTCTCTTATTACGACCCAGCTACTCTTATTGCTTAGTAATCTTGTACACTATTTCAATCGACAAGTCCCCAAATCAGAACATGATTGAACATGAATGTAACCATGTTCCAAATAACAAGGGTGGACGGGAGTTGGGAACAAAATAAAAATGTTAGGATAGATGTATAATTTTTACAAATATCCGCCAGCCCTGATTGGTTAAGAAATAGCCAATGAGAGGGCCCAGACACAACCCTATACAGAACATGGCTTTAACCCGATGTATATCTCGCTAACAAGTCTACTAGGAACTTTGAATAAAGTTAGCTAGTAAATGGATGATCGACACTTTGATGTACACCAATTATTTTATCCATATTAAACGTAAGCTTATTACACGACTGTTATCACGTACAATGAGTCATATGAACCAATGCGTGATTAGAGTTAAGACGTGGTTATATGTTTTATTCATACAATACCACATTAGATTTAGCTTGCTCTTATGGAGATCAGTAAAATGGAAGCAAAAAATTACAGATAACAATAAATAAATTCGGCACAACCATGGACAACTGTGATATGACAAATAAAAATTATTGAAATTCATATGATCATTGTTAAAAGAAAAAACTCCTTCTCTCTTTGCAAATGAAATAAGTAGTAATCATCTTGAATGCAATAACGAACTCATATTAAAATAAAAATAGACTTATTCAATTGTTCAGTCATTCGATTTGAAAAACTCTAATTCGAATCATTTGATTTTATTGTCGAGTAATTTAATTTTAAAATGTGATTTTAAGACAATAAATGTGGTTTAGGATTTACGATTTAATGCAAAAATGTATACATAACTATGATTCAGTCATTTTGTAAGCAATGATGGATAGTGGCTAGCAGTGGAATCCAGGACGCGCGTCTCGTCCTATTTGGGACTCGTCAGCTGGATGTACCTGCATCTGAGTTGATGTTCACTCTGGGACTCGAACTCAGTACCGTCCGCTTCAAACGCCATCGCGTTATTCACTCAGTTACTGAGTCTTGATAGCCACTTGCTTGTGCAATGGGGTGAATTTAAATTTACTTGGTATTATTTGTCAGTCTTAAACCTCAATGAGAAGATACAAGCCAAACAATACCAAGTGAATTTAAATTCACCCCATTGCACAAGCAAGTGGCTATCAAGACTCAGTAACTGAGTGGATCACGCGATGGCGTTTCAAGCGAATGGTACTGGGTTCGAGTCACACAGTGAACATCAACTCTCTCAGATGCAGGTACATCCAACTGACGAGTCCCAAATAGGACGAAACGCGCGTCAAACTGGATTCCACTGCTAGCCACTATCCATCATTGCTTACAAATAGCTTGTGAATTCAGGCAATATCGAGGCATACGCACAGTATGCACATATGCCAATAACAGACTGATCAATTGCAGTGTTAAACCTTAATGAGAAAATACAAGCCAAACAATACCAAGTGAATTTATGATTCAGTCAGTCAGTTAAATGTCTTGCACAATGTATATATATGTGCATCGATTCAAGTGGCCACATTACAGCAGCGTAGTGACTTAAAATTATCATGAC